GTGACAGCCCGCCGCGTAATCGAATTAATATGGGTAATACCAATGTCTTAAATATAAATATTTTCCCCTTGAGGTTTCCCTTTGTAGGTGCCACTATTTTCAAGAAAGTGCTCTTCTTTTAAAGACGCTCCACCCCCCCCCCTGGATAATTTTTTGTTTATGGGGGTGGTGTTTGTTTTGTTTTGCTGTATGCCTTTATTGCTTGTTTGTTTGAATGCTAGACAATTTGACTAAAATGTTACACCTATTTTTACACCTACAGTTCGCATGGGCGTTTACATATTATAAAATTCTCGTACACTTTCTACGGAGAGTTAAATTATGAATATCATATTACTCTACATTTACGCATAATTATATCTATATTTCTTGTTATCAAATAAAGATATTGATTTAGAATAACATTATAAACCAGGTGGCGTGTTGTTACTATTCTTGAAATTCCTGCCACACGTTAATGCAGCGATCGCTCATTACATTAAAGCCCACGTACTGCACTGTTTACAGCTAATTGGCGCCATCTATATAACAAGCAATGGCTAATCGGTGCCTGTTGGTCCCCCATGACCCCTTTTTCCTAAGTTAGTTGAGAGCTGATTTGATGAGATAACCACCTGTCCGTGACCTTGCAGGGAGGTCTAATCCCCCTGGCCAAACTAGTGCAGACGGGATTTAAAACTCACGAGAGGGCAATCCAACCGTCAATTGTAATAATTTGATTTGTGTAAAAAACGAAATAATAAGATAAAAATGAAAGGCGTAAGTTTAAAATAAATCAGTTATGAGTTTGAAATATGAGATCACTACAAGTCTATGCGAATCTCAAATTGGCAGTTTGGTCCAAGTGGATGGTGATGAAGTCGCAGATAACTCAGTCTCCCATTTATCGTGTACAAAAATATCATAAATTTATGGGTTTTTTTCCTAGTCAAGGGTGCCCGCTCCCTTGGGTAAAGGATAGGTCCTCTGTTATAAAGAAAAAAGACCCTTCAGAGTCATGCATGTTTTGAGATTTCCTTTATAGTAATTGAATTAATCTGTTGAAACAAAATAATGGGAAAGTTGTCCGCCATTATAATGTACATCACAGTGACAACTACAGATTCAGCCAATTTGAAAAGCCCATACCTTAAAATTCACAACTTGTTCACTCATTGTTCGGATTCATTCAAACTTTCAACTTTACACTTCTCTGATTGTCTGCTTTCCTCTGGCATAGAACATAGTTTCCTATCAATATTTCCCTTTATTATCAGGGGGCAGCCGCGGGTAGGTAGACTCCCACCCAGCGGCGCCGGAAGTGCGGGCGGTGGGGGGGGGGGGGGGGGTAGGGGGCAGTCGCCCCCAAACGAAAAAGTGGGGGGGGGGGGGGAATGCATTTTCGTCCCGAACCCCCCCCCCCCCATCCTGAAACCAAATCAGCATAGTTAAGGAGTAAAAATGGTTTGTATTTTTTAACAAAAGGAAAATAAAAAATAACTCAGCTGGTGTAAACAAATAGACAGATACTTATTTATTAGTTCAGGGGGTGAGGGGGCCCGGGGTGGGGGAGGTTACTCAGGTTTGGTTTGGACGGGGGTGTGCCGCTGTGCCGCTCAAGCCTCAAGCCTCAACCCCCCCCCCCCACTCAGTATTATTTAGAATACGGGTATGCATGTTCCCTCCTTTTGAACCCCCCCCCCCCCCCACCCTTAGTCCGGTGTGTAAACTGTAAAGTCATGCAATATGGGCCGGATTTTTGCGTACTACAGTACGAGCCGGACTTTGGTGCGTGAAAAATACTATACCCCTTTACCGGACATTTTGGGAACACGCATGTGGTCCCTCCGACCCCGGATTGGCGGGGGGGGGGGGGGGTCAGAACCCTATTCATTATTCATGGCCATTTGGGGGCATTTTACTTGAAAAAAAAAATTGTATTTTTTTAAATGTGGGACCCATGTTTGGGGATTTTTTGTGAAAAAGTGCATTAGAGCGGCACACCCCCGTATTTCCTAATATGTGAGTCTCCCCGGTGTCTGCTTTAACGAAATTTGTTTGAGTAGGGTGTCTCCACGGGTCAAAGTCTGGATAGACTTCTGAACTAGCACCTAATTTTGTATTTGAGTGGATTGTGCCACGATTTAATATGCCCTTTTATTCACACCAACAGCAAAGAAATAAGAAACGTCTTGATAATCGGTTTCTCGAATTTGCCTACAACCTAGGCCTAGCCTAGTCTACAAGCACAGACCCTAATTTGACATTTTATCAAAAAATAATTGTGCCTTGAGAGAAGCCTAGCCCAGCTACCTACTGGTTGTGCCAATATGTCAGGAGCACTGATCTCTACGGAAATTGGTCAGGAGCAGCTACAGCACATGGCCTATGTTAGTCTTATAGTGCAGACTCACTTTTACGACTGACCAGAGTCTGTGCTTGCAGACTATAGGCCTAGCCATGGCCATCCGTGAGTAAACAAGAGTACGTACAGCGGCCCGCGCATTGCCAGTTTGCCACTCTCTTTCTCCGTCTACGTTTCTCTGGATTGTACTTGTAGACCTAGCTGTTTAGTGTTACGGTAATTCTCCAGATTTTGCCCAAACCGCCCAAGTAGTAAGACAGAAGTAACCGTCTGGTACGTATGGGTCATTCTTTAATAAAACTGTCATTTGTCAACCCCCGCGTCTCAACCTTCCCCAGGCACACATGTACACGGCGCCCACGTACATAGTGATTATAGATCGAGCTGCATTAGGCCATAGCTGCATTACTATCCTGGCTGTGTATGAAAAGCTGTGCTATTGATTCTCAACATTTCAAACACCTCTGTACAAAACTCAATTGATTTCACTCAAAATCGGTACTTTAGTGACATTTGTTGATACCTAAATAGCAGTAAAATATAATTTTTTCAACTTTCTGATGTTAGAAAGAATAATTTAAAAATTCAAATTGTGAGTCTCTACCGTCAAACTTACCGATCAGCTGCATCGGCATGATTGTGTGCATCTTTGTGTTATGAGTGTATTGACTATTCATGTATTCAAATGCTGCCTATTAACACGTAGGACAGTGTTAGATGTCAATACGCATTAGTATACTCTCTATGCTAGCTTTGCTGGAGTGATAAGGCCTATAGTATAGACCTATAGACCTATATCCAGTCCGTGCACAACCTCTGCTCTATTTCAAGCTCTCTAGATTGATTCTCAACATTTCAAACACCACTGTACAAAACTCAAATTGGTATGGGGTCTTGAATTTGGTTCAAATAAACATATTGTAAGCATATGCGATTTGACAATATTCCATGATCGTTGTCGCGGTTGAAATCGAAGTAAAGTGATGAAATTATAAATAATAAACCCTTCAGGCTTCATATCCTCTCAAGACTGATATTACTTTAACCTTAAAACATTGTTTCTTGACTACAATCGACCTATTTGCTATTCCTGTTTGGAAATTATATATCAAAATTGCATATTCTGAGATTTTCATGGCCGCAGCTGCCATGGAATGCATGGCCTTTAATATCCTAATGGAGAGTAATGCTTAATAAATTAGGCGCTATTTGACATTTTTCTTGAAAGCAGAAGTAGAAGCAGAAGTGTTTTAGAGGCTAAATTTTCTAGGGTTTATAATACAACCACAGGGGTATTCATATCAAATTATAAAGAATTACTACATGTATGCATCCAATTTTCAAAATTTCCAAAAACTTTGCATTACCTTGGCTTTAAAGGTACTATGTCCCTTTTGCAGCCAACCTCAAATTCTGTAGAACTTTGCAGGAATTATGAATATGTCACGTATGTCCTATCTGTAAAATTTAAACGTTAGCAGTGTCCTAATATTCAAATTATGCAAGGAATTAGGAAACCCATTTACTTGCTAGACTTCACTGTCAGACACTATTGAGTGACTGACTGGCTTTTTTCTTCTCTAGTAATAACATACATGAAATGAGCTGTAAAGGGTACATGAGCATTTGTCTACATCAATAACCCACTTCTTGTGATGGCCAAAATTAAACTGATTGAATCTTTGCGCAGCATAAAACGTAAGACCATTCGGTACAATGGTCTGAAAATCAAGACTGTTACTTATTGGCTCTGTAGCTCCTAAGTCGATTTGACAACTCTAAAAGTCCTTATTTTCCCATTTGAACACTTTTTCAAGCCCCACCTTCTTTAGGGCAGTTCTAAATTAGTATTATCTTTCAAATGCCGTTGGAATTTAACCTTTTCATTTTTTGGGCCTGCAAATGGGACATAGTACCTTTAAAGGTAATACAAAGTGTTGGTATGGGGTCATGGATATGGTTCAAATGAACATATTGGAAGCATATGCGATCCTACAATATTAAGTGATCGTTGTCGCGGTCGAAAACGAGTCTAAAGTTATGAAATTGTAAATAATAAACTCTTTATGTTGTATAGCTCCCTCTCAAGGTCAAGATATTAATTGAGCTACAAAACAATGTTTCTTGACTAAAATCGACCGATTAGCTATTCCTGTTTGAAAATTATTTATCACAACTACATATTCTGAGATTTTCATGGTCGCAGCTACCATTGTACAGCCGTAGGCGCCATTTGAAATTTATCAAAATTTACAGGGAGCACCGGTAAATTCAGATCCAATTTTTCTCGAATGCAGAAGTGTTTTAGGGGCTAAATTTTCTAGTGCTTATAATACATCCACAGGGGCATCCAAATACATCAAAATTGTGAAGAATCACTACTGTCAAACTTGCAGATCAACCACTTACATGTAGTATTCATTGTGTACACATGCATTAGTGTGCAATTGTGTGTAATGAGTGCAATTGCTACCTCTCAGCAATTATACAGCGCTGGAGGTCAATACGCATTAGCATTGATGCTTTGCTGGAGTGTCCCCAGGCCCATACACGGTCTGGTGGGAAGAAGGCCAAAAATTCTGTCTCTTTCGTTCATTAGCCTCTGATTTTGGGTAGGGTCGGCTTCTCTCTTTCGTTCGTTAGCCTCTGATTTGGGTAGGGTAGGCTCCTCTCTTTCGGAAAAGGAAAAGCAACAAATAGAGAATGGATTCTTGACTAATGTATATCATGTCTCTTGGATAAGAGCAAAGAATTCTATGATCCTGTCAGCCTTCTCCCGTACTACACTGTTTCTTCAAATCACCTCACATCTAGATGTGCATTAAAATTGGAGAACTGTATGATTCATTCAGTTTGCAGAAGTATTTTTTTGACCAACTGTCAGGAACCCTCAATGCACCTCGATTTTTGAATTCAACATGTCTCCTAGTGTCAGTATTTAGAGCTCTTTGGTGCTGTGTTTATGTTCCACAGTATGGTGTTTGGTATCCTCGGCTGTTCAAGAACTGGTATGCTTTCCAACCATGACTGCATGTAATGGAGCCCATTTTTACGTGTCTCTTGATGAAGGGTGTGATTGTTCCTTTAATTCATGAGCTTAGTATTTTAAATAAAGTGGAGGGATAAATGTTTTGCTTGTCCAAAATTCCACACCTTAGTCGCGATGGCCTGGGATTTCCACAATGTATGTTTTGTTTCTGGTTTGTAACCTATAGGTTGTTTTTAGCTGGTAGCTCCTTAAATTCCTTATTGGTTGAAGGTTCCTGACCTTTGGACCCTTAACAATTGTGCTTATAATTATCGAATGAGAAGTGACCTGCTTTATTTGCATTAGGACACGTACTAGCCAGAGCATTTTTCATTTTAGCTCTTGCCAAGGCACTCTGAATACACAAGTTACCGGGTATTAAAATATCCTGTCACAGGATCATTGAAGATTGCGGTACATGTAGGTGAGAATATTGTTGAAAGTTTATTAGCTAGGGAAGAGGGGAATTTTATTTGCTATGTTTTGTTTTTATTAATTTGTGTGACTTCTTTAACTTTTTCAGGCTGTATGCTAACACTGTGGTGTGCTTGTACTGAATTTGGTGCAGCAAACACAGATCGTGCAAAGTTGAGTTAACAATCAATTGCACTGTGTGCCTTTACAGTGTTGGTAATACATCTCTCGCTCTGGACTCTGAAGGTATCCAAGTCATGCATACACCAATTACACAGCATTTACAATTCAAATCTTATTCGAGAGATGATGATCCACATTATGCAATTAGAAGTATACAGAAATCATTTGATGTATAACTAGAATCAGTGAGAATTTTATATCGAATGCATTGATTCACTAAATTTGATTGTCTTATATCTCAGAATCATGCAGAGCTTATTAAGGAGTGGAGTTGGGCATAGATGGTGCCATGCTGTACAATGGAAGACTATGCTTGGTAGTAGACACAGGCAGCTAAGCCAACCAACAGTCAGACACAAGACAAGAGCTGTTATATTTGACCTGGGTGGAGTATTGGTACCAAAGCCATACCCTATATTTGCAGGTAACCATAAGAATTGTCTATTTCTTAAGTATCTAAATGTGATGGTCGATTTTAACTTACAACTAGTTTACTCTTTCAGATATTTACTTTAAAATATATATCATTGGAAAAAATTCATTCTCAGAATGATTTTAAGCCATAAAACCTGAGATAATCCCACTCCATTGCTGAGTGATTCCACCTCAAAGCAACATGCAATTACGACAATTTATGACAGATACGGTAAACGTGGATACCCCGAAAAAGGAAAAAAATAGAATCTAGACTACATTTAATGTGGCCTATATTTCTAAAAGAAATATACCGGGCAAACATATAAAGTGCTTAAAAAGACTCTAATATGAAAATCATTTAAATGTATGAAACGATAATGAATTGAAAAGTTATTTCTTCAATCAAATTTTCAGACTTCAAACATTGTTTGAACAAATGCACAGAAACCGCAGGCTTATACGGGCTCAGGCTCGCCAGTGTAAGCGGCATTTGCACAGCATTTGCGCTTCAACTTTACTTGAAGGCATAAGCAGTTTCCAACTTAGATTTCATGAATTCCGCTAAGTGAACGATAAAATAATTGATTATTGACATTTCTGATCGAGATGAGATCTGTGTATTATGTTGTCAAATACTTGTTGCCAATTTTTACTCATCAACAAATATTTTGAGCTATTATGATGAAGACACATGTTAATGTTGTGTCAAGACTACAGAAGACTATGGAAGTAACTTTCTTTGCAAGGCTTGAATGAGATTTCACCTAGCAATTACTCTTCCATTGTTTGGCTTTTGTTTATGCATCGATCACCAATTCAAGCGACATTTCTTTTTCATCCTAAAGCTTGATTTGAAGGCAAGCACCCACTCATTGTTTTTACTATCAACCTCCTTTTTTTTTCTTTATTCAGATTATGAAAGAATGAAAGGTGTACCTATAGGTACAGTGAAGGACCTGATTGTAGCTGCAGGAAAAACAGGTTCATTCAGACGGCTAGAAAGAGGTCGTATCTCAGCTGAAAGATTCGGCCAAGCATTTACAAAAGAAGGCAAAGAAATAGTAAGTACCAGTATGAAATAATGGTGTACTTCAATAATACCCTGATTTGGTAGTTTATAATGATTTCTTCATTATTATTGCTCTCCGGCTGGGAAAGGAAGAACTTTTTCTTAACCTCCAACTTCTGCACCCTGTGTCATAATTACCCTACTTTTACAAGAGAGCAGTCATTCTTCTGTATCTACACATATAGAGGGTGTAGTTCTTTTCTTCATATGAAGGACCCCCCCCCCCCCTTTTACTAGTTAAAAGATGAATGGACAGTTGTCTTTATAGTCCTTGCCCAGGAAAGCGAAGAGCCATGCTAAACTTGATTTTTGGTAATAGAAGTAGTACTAATTGAATTGATTTAGATTGAATTGAACATTGTAATTTTTAAAAACTGGAAGATTCAGCGTAGTATGTTAACCCTTACAGTGCCACTCAGTTAGTGATTCATGTTAGTACACGTATTAGAAGTAGCATAGTGAGAGGCAGGCTTTTAATTATGCCTTTTCTCACTTTTCATCCTGATACAAACATTGTTTCTATGACTACTGACTTCACACTTTGATCACATTTTAAATTTCATGAAGAATTAATTGCTCTTGTTCAAAAAAATGATATGAATGTAGACAATATTGTCAGCTGAGAGCCAGAAGGACAGTACATGTAACTTTGTGTGAAAGAGTACAAGTTATTAACACCGTTCTGACTCGTAGTAGACTTTATCAGAATTTTTACAAGATTGCCTACTGCTCAGAACTGAGAAGGTCATTAACTGAGAAGGTCCTTCTCTCTCTCTCTCTCTCTCTCTCTCTCTCTCTCTCTCTCTCTTTCGTTTACTCTCTCTTCTCTTCCATTTTCATTTAATTTCCTATTTGTATAAAATGTTTTATAGTTTGTTTATATTATGTTTTTTTTAATTATTGTATATTTTGTGTATTTGTATGTGTATTGTAAGATATTTGAAATGTAATTTGTTTGTGACAGCAGGGCTCCCTTGTAAAGCAGGCCTTACGGCTTGAATGGGACTACTCTGCTTTTTATAAAGAAAATATAAATAAATATATAAATTAATTAAACATCTGCTATTTGTTATCTTTAAACAGCTTGGCATAGACTGTGACTTCAGTGACTTTCTTGGGTTCTTTGAATCACACATCTCAGAGCCATTTCCTGAGATGATTGACGCAGTCCAGTGTGTACGTAGTGAAGGCCTCAAGACAGCTGTCTTGTCAAACTTCTGGCGTTATGAGGACCAGCAACTTTCTCCTCTACCAATAAACCGCAACTTGTTCGACGTGGTTAGTAGATATATGTATATACAATACTCTCTTACTAGGGGCTGTGTTCCCTAGGAGAATGCATGGTTTCCCTTAAATTAGCACAATATAATTGTCTGCCTCCCCCACCCCCCGCTCCCCATTTGAAATGTTGGATTTGTTTAACAGTACATCATATACTTTGATTAATAGTTGCATGAAGAAAGTCCTTGAGATATAATGCAAGAGTTATTGTATGATATAAGATGATGACGTGGATCGATCCTAATCAAATGATTGGTTAAAAGCATACACGTGACCAGGCATTTATTTTGCCTAACGCCTAATTTGGATAGTGACTGGTCATTAGTAAAATCATGTTATAAAACATAATTTTATAAAACAAATAAAACATAATCTTATAAACAAATAATACACATCATTTTGTTTTTGCATTAGTAAAATTACCCTCACTCAAAACAGTCCAAACACCCTCGGCTACCTCCATGGGGCGTGTTAGACTGTTCCTGCTTCCAAAGGTACCTTATGTGGGTAATTCCTACTAATGCCCTCACTGCTGTGTATTATTTATATACTATTTGGATTGTAGAGTCATTCGTGCTGTGTAGGCTATGCCAAGAGTACTACCTTTAATACTGGACCAAGCATTATTACATAATCCTAATTTTCCTAACCCTTAAAGCTGAAATTATCCCAAAATTTGATAGCAGCCTTAACCCTAACCCTGTTTTTTTCAAAGAATGGAGCCTGGAGCAAATTTGGGGTAATCATCCTGCCATCATTTTTCAACCTTTAAAAAAAAAAGAAGGAAACAAATTTTGCATCACCCTAATCCCAAGTTCATTTCATGACACTCAGCATGAGCCACGTACACAATAGCACGTTTGTTCTTAAATTTTGCGATGGAGGGAAGATAACGAGCAAAAATAAAAATGACACTTTTAATATAATATATTTTGGATGATGTTTGAAGGTTTGCATGGTGGTATGAATAATCACGGTAGAGGTTTACGGTACACCATGTGTAAAGTCCTAGAAGGACTAAGGAAAGTGGATAGAAAATAGAAGTGAAAATAGAAAGGCGAGAAAGTGGAGGTTGGAAGGAAGAGTATCTTTCAGAAGTGAGTATAGTCCTGAAAAGGACTGTAAACCAGAAAGTTGTAGATAGGATGAGAGGTTTGAGTAGAAGACTGGATTGAGTTGGAGAGTTGAGTAGAGTTGCAGAGCAGGAGCAGGAGAGTAGACTCGACGTTTCGGACAGGTTGACTGTCCGTCTTCAGGAGTGAGTGTTCGCTATGCGTGCGGCGGTCCTTATAATGGCGTGAGTGCGGACTTGGGGGAAAGCACTGGGCCGGCGGGCTCGGCGGGTTGGCAGGTAGCTGTCGGTGGTGGCGCTCGGTTGCGTGAATTGGCGGGAAACGAGTGGGCGGCGATTGTGCGGACGTCGTGTGGTTGGTGTCGGCGGAGTAGCGGGCGGTGTGTCCGCTGATGAGTGGGTGTATCGATCGGCGGTGAGGATAGCTATTAGTGGTGTCGCTCTGTGTGTGTTGGTCGGCGGTTGCGTCGGCGTAGGTTGTAGCGAGGTGTGGGCGTGGTCGGTGCTTGTGTGGGTGAAGTGGCTAGTTGAGAACGTGTAGTGCTTGTTTGAGTAGGAGTGGTTGGGTGGTTGCAGGTGGTGTTTGGGCTGTCGGATGGATGGATAGGTGACGTGTTGGTGGTTGGCGTGCTGGTTGTGGAGTTGGTTGAAGATTGGTCGGAAGTAGAATGGTGTGGAAGGATTGGGTGCCAGATGCTGTTGATGTGAAGGCCTGGGTCTTGGGGTACGATGTTGTGTTGGTGGATCTCGATGGCTTCTCGGACCCTTCGGGTGTGCCAATGTCGGATGGTGGTGATGAGGTGACTTTTATCCCAGTGAATGCGGTGGAGCTCTTGTTGTGCGTGCTTGACGATGGCTGACTTGTCCCAGTCGCTGCGTCGGTGGTGGGTCTTGTGTTCTTTGAGTCGGGTGTCGAAATCGCGGCCGGTTTCTCCAATTTCCGATCTCACCACCATCCGTCAGTCCACCAATCAGTCTCCAACTCACTCATCAGACGAGCCCACCAACTCAGTGACAAAGCACATCTCCAGCAAGAACTCAAGCACATCACGCACGCACTCACTTCCATCAACCAGTACCCAAGAAGGAAAATCAACACCCGAACTTCCTACCACAAGACCAACAACATCACCACTGGAACCCAACCTGATACCAAGCCTACCGCCACCATCGTACTTCCCTACATCGGCAAGACATCTCACCGACTACAACGCATCCTCCGCTCAGCACCCATCCAACAAACAACCAGGCGTCTACAAGATTCCCTGCGACTGCAGCAAAGTCTACATTGGAGAAACCGGCCGCGATTTCGACACCCGACTCAAAGAACACAAGACCCACCACCGACGCAGCGACTGGGACAAGTCAGCCATCGTCAAGCACGCACAACAAGAGCTCCACCGCATTCACTGGGATAAAAGTCACCTCATCACCACCATCCGACATTGGCACACCCGAAGGGTCCGAGAAGCCATCGAGATCCACCAACACAACATCGTACCCCAAGACCCAGGCCTTCACATCAACAGCATCTGGCACCCAATCCTTCCTCACCATTCTACTTCCGACCAATCTTCAACCAACTCCACAACCAGCACGCCAACCACCAACACGTCACCTATCCATCCATCCGACAGCCCAAACACCACCTGCAACCACCCAACCACTCCTACTCAAACAAGCACTACACGTTCTCAACTAGCCACTTCACCCACACAAGCACCGACCACGCCCACACCTCGCTACAACCTACGCCGACGAAACCGCCGACCAACACACACAGAGCGACACCACTAATAGCTATCCTCACCGCCGATCGATACACCCACTCATCAGCCGACACACCGCCCGCTACTCCGCCGACACCAACCACACGACGTCCGCACAATCGCCGCCCACTCGTTTCCCGCCAATTCACGCAACCGAGCGCCACCACCGACAGCTACCTGCCAACCCGCCGAGCCCGCCGGCCCAGTGCTTTCCCCCAAGTCCGCACTCATGCCATTATAAGGACCGCCGCATGCATAGCGAACACTCACTCCTGAAGACGGACAGTCAACCTGTCCGAAACGTAGAGTCTACTCTCCTGCTCCTGCTCTGCAACTCTACTCAACTCTCCAACTCAATCCAGTCTTCTACTCAAACCTCTCATCCTATCTACAACTTTCTGGTTTACAGTCCTTTTCAGGACTATACTCACTTCTGAAAGATACTCTTCCTTCCAACCCCCACTTTCTCGCCTTTCTATTTTCACTTCTATTTTCTATCCACTTTCCCTAGTCCTTCTAGGACTTTACACATGGTGTACCGTAAACCTCTACCGTGATAATATATTTTGTTTATTTTATAATCAACACACTACATACAATATAGAATTAAGTGTGTGGGCACCTCGCTGCGGAATACATGAATACAGAAATCACTATGGGTGGTATTCTCGAAAGCGGACTTTAGTAAATGGTTTAATCCTCTGACTAAGTATGGAATGCCAAGTGTCCATATAAATATATTTTTGAATAATTTGATATGTCCCTAAATTACCATGATAACATAATTATTTCATAATTAAATTATTGTAATAAACTATGTTATTACAAAAAAAATTCTTTAATGAAAACATTTTATTGTAATTATTCCAAAAAACATTCATATTGAGATTTGGCATTCCATACTTAGTCGATGGATTAAACCATAGACTTAAGTTATTCCGCTTTCGAGAATACCGCCCTACATTGTGTGTGCGGTCAATTCAATGCAAGAATATGAGGAGATTGGGCATCTCATTGCCCAGAATTATACTGTTTCTTAATGTTGCTAGCAAGTGAAGCAAAGGAGCATGGTAAAAATGTAATTTCGATATAAAAGATTATGATACAAATTTGGCGCCTCACTGTCAAATGGAAGGGTATTCAAGCACCTAGTTGCTCAAATATGGAGGATATTCAGGCACTTTGCCGCCAGAAATGATCATGTTTATAGAGGTTGCGAGCGAGCGAAGCAAGCCTGGAGAAAGACACTTGATTAGCTTTAAAGTGCTGTTTCCTCATACTTTAGCAGCTTCTTCTATTTTTCTTCTTCAAAATAACGAAATCAGTTATTTAAAAATAATGAGTTAAAAAGAATATTACAAAAAATGATCTTGCAGCACCCCAGTTTGCTACGGCATCCCAGTTGAAAAACACTGGTCTAGGCTATTTTATGGCTGATATTATTTATCTTTAGATCTTAGAATTTATGTAGACCATGCTAAGGCTGATTTTATTTTATCCCCAGATTATAGAATCTTGTTGTGTAGGCTATGCCAAGCCTGATCCTGAGATCTATACCCTGTGCCTGGAGAATCTCAGATTGAAGCCAGATGAAGTCATTTTCTTGGATGATCTCAAAGACAATATCGAAGGGGCTAAAGAAATGGGAATTCCTGCAATTGAGGTAAATATGCTCATTTGCACTACAATCTAACTTTTTGTTTGTACTTAAAAATTAAAACTTATATGAATTTGACCCCAGCTGAACGTGGAGATTGTTCACCTGGAATGTACAGCATGCATGATTTATGTCTGTAACGTGTATAAACCGCACCCCGGCTTTTGATGTTTACCGGCGGTAACAAAGTTGCGGTTAATACACCGTTAATTACGGTAGACGTATGTGAACAGTAAGTGAACATTCCTGGTATGGAGGAGGTGAGATAATGCACAGTTATGCGCAAGCTTGAATCTAATAACCATGGAGTTATAATGAACATTGTAAAGTGCATGGAAGTATACATTGTAATCCCCTGTATATTAATGTAAAGTAATTTTAGTTTTGTAATGTTTTCACAGGTGCATAATACACAACAAGCCCTTGATGATCTCTACCGGTGTCTTCAGTTTCCTGTCCAAGGGTACCAGCCTGGTACTACATCGGTTCGTAAGGGAATGCAACTCAACGAAGACAATCTGAAAACCTACCTAACATCGCTAGGAGTGGGGTCATCACAAGATCACATCACTATCCGAGAATTCAAACATGGACAATCGAATCCAACATACTTTGTGAAGTTTGGTGGAAGAGATCTGGTGCTTCGAAAGAAACCTCCAGGAAAGCTTCTGCCAATGGCTCATATGGTAGAGAGAGAGTATGAGGTGATGAAAGCATTAGGACAGGATGGGGTACCAGTCCCTCCTCTATTAGGCCTCTGCCAGGATGACAGGTAGGAATATCAAATTAAAAAAATTATAGGCCACATACCACCACAAACCTGAACAAATTTGTGTGTGTGTGTATTGGGGTTTTACAGACGTGTATCAATCAGATATGATTATTTACGTCCGGGGAAGCTAGGGTCTGAAAATCAAGTTCAAGTTCAAGTTTTATTTCAAATCAAGTCCATAAAAAACATATAAGATACAGATTATATACAATATAGAAAACACAAAATACACACAAAATGGAAACATGTCTACAAATATATCGGAATTATAAAAAGTTAAACAGCAATAGAAATGAATTGGGGAAACTGCAAATAAAACCATAAGGTTCTGTCGAGGCAGCTCCCTGTTATTAAAAGATACATATACAAGTTCCAACAATTGGCTATAAAAAGTATAACAATAACAAAACAGTGTACAAAACATAGGAGACGTATTAACATGCAAATATTATTATAGATTTAAAAACAGATGAAGTATTTTTTTAGTTTAGATTTAAAAGAGTTTAAGAAAGCAGTATCACGGATATCTTTGGGGAGAGAATTCCATATTTTCGGGCCAGTGTGTCTAAAAGTAAATAAGGAATTTGTTGATGGACATGTTTCAATAAAATAGTTATCAGGATTTCTAGTATTATAATTATGAACATATTTTTTACATTTTATCATAGTGGTAAGATTAATCCGCAGTTTATCAGTTATTTAAATCAGACTATTTAATTTAACAAGCGCGCTCGCTAAATTCGATTCGACAATTAACGGTCGTTATTTTCCCACAAAAAGACATGTTCAAGCCCTTTTGTTTTGAGGGAAGTTCTAAATTAGTATTGTCTATCAAATGCCTTTGGAATTTAACCTTTTCATTTTGGGGCCTGCAAATGGGACATGCATGTACCTTTAGAATAAAATAGTGAGAAAAGATGATGGGAAAAGTTATTTAGGAGAATCCTTCCCTAAAAGTTAGAAAATCAGTCAAGCATACAGTCAATAAGCACTATTAATCAACTACAATATATGCCCTCTTCCTAAATTTACAAGTTCTGAAACAAGATACAATTGAGTCTGAAGATAGATTAGATGTCATAGATGCAAGGAATCGGTTGATTGACAGGTCCTGTTATGACATGTGAGGTTTTTTTTCAATCCTGAAGTTAAAACTGTGAAAGCAGCCAGATGTGGTAACAGCTAGTACGGTATCCTTTGATCTTTGTATAGTGTTATTGGAACCCCTTTCTATGTGATGGAATACGTAGCAGGAAGAGTGTTTGAAGACCCTACACTACCCGGCATGGAGGCATCAGAGAGACGAGACATCTACAAAGCCATGGTAGATGTGTTGTGTAAGATACACGACGTAGATGTAGCACAGGTGGGACTAGACAACTATGGCAAGCATGGTTAGTACCAATTTCCTTGACTGTTTCCAATTATCCTGGTATACATTATGCTTCACCTACACATGTGTGTGTCATTGATTGTAGATGTACATTTGTTGGATTTTTTAGTTAGAATTGTATTATTTATCCTATAAATTATATGCCAGTTATTAATCAAGTAACTATATCCCAATTGCACTTGTCTGCCTCCACTGCCAAATGTGGTGCAGAGGATTTTTGGAGCTGTTTTTCTGGACCAATTATTTACACACGAGAACTTGAGAACCATGTAATATAGTTCAACCACACTTGTTTAAGTACGCGTCATGAATTACATTGAAACATGTTTAGAAAGACTGCTCAGAGAAGACAAGAAATGTGTTTATAAGCAGATGTTTGTTATATACAAATTATTTTTGTATAGATTTTATTATGGATATTGTTCAAGTGATACAAATTATGCATTCCTTGTAGACAGGTGGTCTTCATGTAGATTTCATAACTAAAATGTGTTTCTGTGAATTAGCATGGTAGGATCTGAATCAATTGGGTTCGATTTTTTTTTATTTTTTTTAATAGACATGTATCGCAGAATGAAGTAAATTGCACATGTGAAATAAATATTACAAATTTCAATTGAATGATTTTACTGTAACTGCTACCAGCAACCAGTGAAAGTAACCAATATACTCTCTTGATAGTGCCTTTTCAAAGAAAATGTATAGAAGAAAAATATGATATATACTTTGTATGAAATCTGGAATTTATATCTAAGAGATTTTCTTTGTGACAGGTCAGTATGTTGCTAGACAAGTGAAGACATGGTCTAAGCAGTACATCGCTAGTAAAACCCATGAAATTGAGTCTATGAATAAACTCATGGAATGGTTGCCTCAACATGCTCCAAAATCAGATGACACAACTGTTGTTCATGGGGATTTCAGGTAAGTAGACCACGGCCACGACCACGGCCACGACCACGACCATGACCACGGCCTCGACCACGGCCTTGTTTACGTATATACCATGCACTGTACCAGCTAGAAACCAACAAAATTTAGGCGACGTACCTGGTTTTGAGTTTTGAGGAAGAGAACAAACAAAAAAGAAAGAAATCCTACCGACCGTCCCAGGTTCTGGCACCTAAAGGGCAATACAGCATCTTTTTCTTTTAGGCCTCGCATTTATTAGATATTTTAATTAACACGCAGTGAAAACTATGTATGTATATATGCTGACAGGAGAGCCCCCCAAAAAAGTCTTTGTAGGCAGGTGGTCCTATATGTCCAGGTTTCTTAAGTACCATATTTGCCGGTGATAAGGCCGCAACGCCGCATAGGCCGCACCCCAACTTTGACATTTCAAAGAGGGAACAAAAAGAAGAAGAAAAAAACGGGGAAAAAAAACAGACAAAATAATCGTAATTTTCTTGTAGAACACTATTTTTTACAAAGTGATACCAAATTCATCAATATTCTTATAAATTACCGGAAGTTTAGCTAAAAATGATCGCAGGCAGATTTGGTGTCCGATATAAACCCCTACCACAATGTATGGTGTAATGCACAATTGCATGAAATGGATACAAAATGGCGACTTTTGAGTGCTGGATGTGCAATTGCGTTCGCGGCAGCTCCGTAACGGTCCCTTCTTTTACTTTTGCAAATTGCAATGCATTGGCACGAACTTAGATCAAGATCTATCGGCAGATGTTGTTTTAGGAATTTTTTTTTTGTCTTCATGTCAACAGTGCAAGATAAAATTGTTGGTAAGATGTGTGGAAATTTCCTGTACCATAGTGGTATAGTTATTGTAGTCCCATGTACAAATTCATGCTGTTTTTTCATGGTTTTGACTCTTTCGCCACAAAGGCGGCACCCGACTTTTTGATATTTTCTCTTCCAAAAATACTGCGGCCATTAGCAAATACGGTATAGGTTTCAGGGAACGCTATTCAATGAAAACCAAAGATGTCTTTTTATGTGGTCACAAAAGCATGTTTCACTGTATTTTGACAATATTGATATTAAACTACCGACATGTTACAGGTAAGAAGCTGGAGTGACATCATTTATCATTCTTTTATTGATTCATTCATTCAAGAGGGGATAGGGGCTGATCAATTAAAACTATTTCTGAAAGTTGAGACTTGTGACCAATTATCATACTGGTGTTGAGCCTGGATGTTGAAATATGCTATCCAAAATATCAATGAACCCTGTGGTTTACTTCTCTATGTATATATATTTTCTTGTATCATCTGGGGGGTGTTTCACAAAGATCCTTAGTAGAACTTAACACTAAGTTGGACTAAAGAATTATGGACAGCCATTGGAGCCTTAAAATTAAATATATTCAAAAGCAGAAATTCAAGTATTTTAGACTTTTTATGAATTCCACATCCAGAACATGAAGTCTCCTTGATGATAGAAAATATGAATTATTTGAATCAACATTTTATGCCTTTCAAAATAACTTTTACAAAATATTTTTAAAGATGCTAATGGCTTTCCATAATTTTTAAGTCCAACTTAGAGATAAGTTTAACTTAGGATCTTTGTGAAACACCCCCCAGGCTAGATAACTTGATATTTCATCCGGAGAAGCCAGAAGTCCTAGCCATCTTGGACTGGGAACTCTCAACGCTTGGTGATCCTTTCTCGGACCTTGCTTATAGCTGTCTGCCATATTTCATGTCCAGTGGTGAATCACCACTGTTCAAAGGTAAATAGTCAGTCAGACGCACTATTTTGAATGCACATTATTGGTGTCATTTAGTAAAGCAAAAAGCAGCCCAAACGACTGTGCGACTCAACTTTATATTCATAACTGCAAACCAGTTTTATAAAACAAATAGTTCATGTTTTTGAGCACGTGCATAAGTAATGTCAGTACACTTGGCTAACTCATTTACGTCAGATAAAGAACTTGACAAATCTCATTCATTTTCTGATTGTGACTTGCCCTGTGTGCAGGGCATATTCACTAATGCACTCACAAACAAGAAATATTTGTTTATTGACTCACTTCCAGGGAATAAAATGCTGCTATCTCTCTCTCTCTCTCTCTCTCTCTCTCTCTCTCTCTCTCTCAGAATGAATGAATAGTTTTTGTGAACTTGCATAAATGCTTTAATGTCCTGTAATTGTACCTGCCTCCCTTCTCAGCTAATCTAAGTACATTAGCTTTCGCATCCTACCGGGTACCCATTCACATCACCTGGGTGGAGAGTGGCAAATGTAGATCAATGTCTTGCCAAAGGACATTAGTGCCGCGGTGGGACTTGAACCGTGGACTTTGTGATCCACAGTCCGGTGACATATCCACTCGTCCACGACACCTCTACCCTTCTATCAACCATTTATTCTTTATGCTTAGGTTTCAAAGGGTTGGACATTGATGCGTTGGGTATACCTGCTTTGGAAGATCTCACAGCCTTGTATTATGAGAAGAGAGGCCTTAAACCGATCGATAATCTTCAGTTCTATATGGCTTTCAGTTACTTCAGGATTGCAGCTATTCTTCAGGGGGTCTACAAACGTTCCCTACAAGGTCAGAAAAAACACAACCAGGTTACCTTTACAAAGTAATGTCATTTTAACTATTTGGATACATTTTGTACACTTTGGGAACCAATCAATAGTGTGACGTTTTTGCGGAATGTCTATTATTTTGGTTGGTTATTATTTTTATGCCTCCGTTACGAAGTAGCCAGAGGCATTATGTTTTCGGGTTGTCCGTCAAGAACCGATTGATAGATTCCAGGCAAACTTATGTCATGTATGTATCTTGCAGAGCCAATGAATTGATTAGATTTTGGGGTCACAGGGTCAAAGGTCACAGCACTCATTATGCATACATGCCAACCGTTCCGATTTTAACGGAACTGTTCCGTTTTTGAAGTTTTTATAGTAACTAGACTTAAATGCATCATTCTGCCTGAGTGGCTAATTAAATCTATGTCTATTATCTGCTCTGCCTCTGCCAAGGATAAATTAAAATGTGGAATTCACTTCAATCACTTTTTTGTTTGGTATGACACAAAAATTACCCATAAACTTGGGTTGAATTTTAGGAGAAATGGTCCCTAAAATAGGCTCAGATTGCACCAGAGAGCATCTGGAAACCCAGAGCTTCCAGGGCCCTAAAGCGGGCCCTGGACCCCGGCTAAAAGGACTTCGCGCTCGTGATGTGCGCTTCGCGCACATAGTGTACAGATTTCTGATTTTCAAATGTTGGCATGTATGCATTATGTAGGCAAAAATAACTTGTGATCGTGTTATCCCAAGAATCGATTGATGGCCATGTATGTATCTTGCAGAGCCAATGAACCGATCAGATTTGGGGGTCATGAGGTCAAAGGTCATGGGGCTCATTATATATGCAAAAGTAGCTTGTGATCGTATTATTATTAAAACTGATGGACAATTTACCGAAGTTCCATCTAGTTTGAGTCATATATAAGATAGTGTACCAATCATTAGGAATGCTAATTCTATATCCTAGATGTCAAAGTCAATAAATATCCAATCAGGATGCTTCCCCCATCATCTGCACTATATTTTACATATTAAATATTTTTTGCGAAAGAAGATAATATATTTATTTAATAGTTCATTATTTAGTGTGTGTTGTGATGATTATCTTCCTCTAATTCAGACTTATTATAATTTTTTTTATTTTTTTAAACTGAATTTCCTCTTAAATGAAAAAATTAACAAGGTTTTCACTGTCTGTTTGAGAGAAAACATATTTATATAACCACTTAGTTCATTATTAAGTATGTGTTGTGATGCTTTTCTTCCTCTATTTCAGACTTTTTATAAATGATTTTTTTTTTTTAACTGAATATTCTCTTAAATGAAGAAATTAACAAGGGTTTCACTATCTTTAGGTCAGTCCGCTTCAGGCAAAGCTAAATCTATGGGAGCATTAGCTGAACAAATTTCTGATTTGGGTTGGTCACTCGCCAGTCAAGCTCAGGGTTTGAAAGGAAGCGGGAACATGTCCTCTCGAAGCTTCTCTACTATGGCTGCTCATCATAGTGTACCTGTTAGACATTACTCACAGGCAGCAAGACAATCAGGTATGAACATTTACCCACCTTCATATCTTCATTCTTAATATGAATATCTTAAAGGTAAACACCAGTTATGGTCATGCGATTGCATTTTGAGAGAAACGTTGTGGAATTGATCAGAAGGGGTTGATCATCTAGCATATAAGTATTGGTGTGTACTGCAAGGTTCTGGAATCATCAAAGTGATAAGAAATATGGCCAAGTCTTCGTAAAGTTACAAGCACTGTACACAGAAAGATGTATATGGGACTATACGCACACGTGCGCGACACATGCTTTTATCTCTCACAGACCATGTAGATAAACTAATATACCAAATATATCAATTAGTAGTAGATCTAGGCGCTTTCACATGATTGGTAATAAGAGCTTCCATTTCATTTTTTGAAATTGGGGGCGTTTCCAATACTGGTCTTTACCTTTGATATGAATATCTTAATAACACCCTCCAATTATATACGCCATCTTGTAATCTTCGCTCAGCAGTCGACACATGTAAACTTATCACTCCCAAATTCAGACTCTTGATGTTTTGCAGTAGCTGCACCAAAGATTTGGAACAGCATCCCTCTTTCCATAAGGGAAACTACCTGTCTTGCCAACTTCAAAAGATCCCTCAAAACTTACCCTTTTCCCCAGTGATCTATGTGATCTACTCCCTGTGAGACTGTACATTTTTTGTCCTCTTTTCATATATTTGTATTTGTAAGCATCATGATCCTTATTGTTTTTAGCACTCCGAAATATTTGATATTATTATTATTATTATTATTATTATTATTCCTTCATCATCCTCCACTTGCCAATTTTGTTTCTTTTCATTTTCAGTTTTAGGTTGTTGTTTTTAAAGTTTGTCTTTCTTGTAAACAATAGATATACCATACTTACAGGAACCAAAACCTTCATACTAATTTACTTTTATTGTAAAGTTTAAAAGATTTGAATAAAATCAGTGAAAATTTGAACAAAATCGGGCAAGGAATGAGGAAGTTATAGTTTTTTAAATGACTAGTCACCAGAGGGCAGTATTCAATTTGATGACATTTAAGCTAGGGTGGTGTCATGACACATGAAGGGTGTACCTTTGCAGTGCTGTTGTCACATATATGTGACAAATACACTTATCTTCACTCACAATTAGCTTTATCAAGAAATATGTCTAGTGATAATTTTATATCAATATTTAGGGCATGAATCAAGTTTTCTAAATATCTGAAAACTGTTATATACTACCAACGACAATTTTAGAGAAAATTAGCAGTTTATCTGCACAATCTTTTCTCACTTTAACATTGATCAATAGTAAACAAATGGGAACCAGGAATGAAAATGACCTAAAGGAAACTTTCATTTCACAAAACTTTTCTTTTTTTTCTTTTCTGAAACACACCATTTTCTGGTGTTAACTGGTGTTATTGGTGGTTATTTTACCTGACTGCTAAGAAAGCATAAATGCTTGTAAGCAACCAGACGGTCGACAGCTTAAGGTCCTCTCCAAGGGACCTGGTAATGAGGATTAATGCCTTACCAAAGGGCACTAGCGCATCGACTTGGTTTCGAACCCGGGTCACCGGATCACGAGACCACTGCTCTACCGACTGAGCTATCCATTTTAAAGCCATTTGAAAAGTAGGCAAAGTTTGCGTTTGAGGAAAATCTAGGAACAAGCAAGACCTCAGTGTTGTCACTGGAACATTTAATATACCTTGAATATACCTTGAAGGCCACACCACTCTATCGTGGTGATGAACATCCAGCAGATAGTGTGGTGTGGCAGGGTTAAGGAGGTCCCGTGGGACCCATTAAAAATCCAGGTTGGATAGTTGGCTTTTGAAGCTGAGGAGTGTGGGTGCATCAATGGCAGTTTGTGGCAGCTTGTTCAATTTGCTTACAACTCTCTGGCTATAGAAATTTGTCCTGATGTCAAGGCAGCTTCTTGTTTTGGCTAGCTTCATGGAACGGCCTCTTGTTCTTTCATAGTTAGCAAACTGAAAATAAATCTCGGGTTTGGATTTGTCGATTTGCGCCATTATCCTGTAAATTCGCAGTAGGTCTCCTCTCTAATAATGCATTCTTCTCTTCTTTTCCAGGTGGGTTTGCGTACACACCATCAGGATTGTCGGAGAGAGTGCAGGAACTACACGGTAAACTCCTAGACTTCATGGACAAACATGTCTATCCTGCAGAGCAAGAAATGGAAGAATACTATCTCCATGCAAATCATTGGAAGTCACACCCTCTGATGGAAGACCTGAAGGTAAAGTATATGACAAATTGAACACATGCATTTAAGGATGATTTCTGAGCCCTTTAAGGTGCTATGTCCCATTTGCAAGCCAACAAAATGAAAAGGTTAAATTCTAATGGCATTTGAAAGATAATACTAATTGAGAACTTCCCTAGAAAAAGGGGGGCTTGAAAATGTCTTAAAGTGGGAAAATAACGACTATTAGTTGTCGAATCGACTTAAGAGCTATAGAGCCAGTAAGTAATAGTCTGATTTTCAGACCATTGTACCGAATGGTTGTACGTTTTATGCTGCGCAAAGATTCAATCAGTTTCATTTTGGCCATTACAAGAAGTGGGTTATTGATGTAGACAAATGCTCATGTACCCTTTACAGCTCATTTTATGAATGTATTACCAAAGAAGAAGAAAAGCCGGTCAGTCACTCAATAGTGTCTAACAGCGAAGTCTAGCAATGGTTATCTTTGTTTTTTCTGTACAGAGTAAAGCTAAATCAGAAGGGTTATGGAACCTGTTTCTTCCCGTTGAGTCTGATCCAGGACTCAAGTATGGAGCTGGTTTAACCAACCTAGAGTATGCCCATCTGTGTGAGATCATGGGACGTTGTCTCTATGCACCAGAAGTAAGAGTATATCTATCTATCTATCTATCCAGCTATCTAAGTATCTTTTCCCTTTCATCCTATCTTCTGTCATTGTGATGTACTCTTGCAGTTTTAGTCCACTCAAGTTCTTGACATTCTCTTCCCTGTCGATTCTGGGATTCCCTCTTGGTCTAGATCCTTCCACTCTTTAATCCAACACATTCTTTAAGAGCTGTGGTGCCTTTTAACATGACCAAAGTATTTGAATTTTCTCTCCTTAACTAATCCTACCAGTGCAATTTGTTTACCCCCAGCTATGTGCAATATCTCTTTGTTGGTTTTCATTCGTTTCCAGGATATTTTCATCATTCTTCTGTAAATCCACATTTTAAGAGTATATATAGTGATAATATTTTGCATGTAAAAGATGAAAGATACATGACAAAAGACCATAGGTCAAATATGATATAAGCCTTGCCACAATCAGAAAACCAGATAAGTACAGGTATCTCTGAGTTATAGCTCATACCATGGTCACACTGCCCAGCTGATTCCAAACCTCTCACCCAACAAAATCCAGGATATTTAGGATGATAATAAAATAATAATAATATGGTTATTTATACAGCGCCGGTATCCGCCAGGTTCTGACGCTCATGGCGCTTTACACATACTACCCTGGTCGTAGCTGAGCTGCCAAAGTAACTAGCGCTCAAGCATATCAGGTACCCATTTACACCTGGGTGGAGAGTGGCAAATGTAGATTAACGTCTTGCCAAAGGACATTAGTGCTGCGGCGGGACTTGAACCCCGTACCTTGTGATCTGCAGTCGGGTAACTTATCCACTCGTCCACTCGTCCACAACACCTCTTTAGTTCCAGCTAGAAGAGGCCTATTCTAAGCTGTTTGGTTGTTTTGTGACGGTCCCATTCGTTACCAAGTTTTGAGGAGTTGTGAACATTCTTTTGCATCATATATATCAATTCACTTCACTTTGAGTGTGATCCGTGTTCTCTTAGGGCTGTTAACTTCATACAATCATATAGTCAATTCTTAGATGTGATTGATAGTGGACGCATTACCGGTAGCTTGGACTTGCCCCACCGCTGGCATAGAATACTTGGAATGCATTTGTTCTAGGGTTATACCCCTTCGTAGCTTTGTGCATTTTTTATAACTATTAAACATGCAGTTGTTTTATTTCAATAAATGATTATATCTTCACATTTTTAATTTTTTTTTTACATGAATGCTAAGAAAGCATGTGTATGCCTGTAAGTAAACAATCGGGTGACTGACAACTTTAAGTCCTCTCCAAGGGACTTGGTAATGAGGATTGATGCTCTACCACTGAGCCAGTGCATCGTCTTTGTCCATTTAAATCTTTTCTATCAGAAACTGGATACATGGACGCTTTTGCTAGGTATGCCACGGAGTAACACAAAGACTTTTTGATGTGTGTTTGTGATCCCTATGTAGATCTTCAACTGTAGCGCACCTGATACTGGTAACATGGAGGTACTTGCCAGGTATGGTACTGAGGAACAAAAGGATCAATGGTTGAAACCTCTCCTGGCCGGTGAGATCAGATCCTGCTTTGGAATGACTGAACCGCATGTAAGTCGGTCCCTATTAATTCCAAAATTACTTAACATTATAAATGTATTACAAAATGGTAGTCAGGAGACATGTAAAGAGTTGAAAAGAATACATAAAATGATTATGCACTGTTATTTTAAATTAAATATATGGTAAAAGATGAAGAAGAAGACATTTATTTGGTCCTAGAAAGAGACTTTCCTACCAATGATAATGGCCTGTTTGGTGGTTGTATTGATAAATTTACATCATTTGATGTGATATGGTAAGAAATAAAGAAGATGCTTAATAAATTATGTCAAATCTTGCAGTAGGCCTACACAATTTAAAAGTTTGTGAAGGAAAAGGGCATGTTTATATAAAGCTATGGACTTTATGCTGCATTATTGTAGAGCGCTTAGAGACTTCTGACAAAGTAAGTGTTAGGCGCTATATAAGCACTGTAATTATTTTTATTACTGAATGCAGTGGGAAATACACAGGTTGTTTACTATACAGGCCTGATAAAAACCCGATTTAAATTGGTTTCCAGATTTTTCCCTGATTTTTCTCCGATTTTTTTTTTCTTCCCGATTAAAAAAAAAAAATTTACCAGATTTTTTTCTTTCCCTATTTTATCCTGATTTTCCCGATTTCTCCTTAATTTTCTCTTCTCTTCCTTATTTTGTTCCCAATTTTCTTACTCGAAAGGGGGGAATGTTGTTAGATGCCATTTTTTCGCCACAAATTCTCTTCTTTTTTTTACTCAAGGGGGGCATGGTTGAGGGGAATACAAAAAACCTATTTTTGATGTACACACAGTATCCCCAAAATGATGTTACTTTTTTTTTTTCCAGTTTTGTAATCAGTGTCTTGTGATTTTCTTCTATAATACATATGGTATGCTGGTGAGCACTGTCTACCCAAAACAAAGGGAGTTTCTAATGTATAACTTTAATTAATCTAGAGAGAAGGGAACTATCTGTCTTAAATATTCCTTTAGATCCATTCATGTTTCATTCTGAGGGCTGATAATATTTATTCCTTTCTGCCTCAAAATTGCCACATTGATGCATTTTTGTGCCTAATTTTACAATTTGGTTTGATATTGTGATATCTGGATATAATGAACCGTCAAAACAAATACTCTTAAAATTGTATACACATACTTTCTATGGCAAATTATGATCATTTATTGTGTTTATATACGGTAATCATGATTATATAATTACGATGTACTTGTACATCATAGTCCTGTTGGGGGGGGGGGGTATGAATGTGGTGACTGACTTTTCTTTTAATTTCCATTAATTCTGATTTCATAATTATGATGTACTTGTACATCATAGTCCTGTTGGGGGGAGGTGTTGGGTTATGAATGTAGTGACTGACTTTTAATTTTCATTAATTCATCCCTGAGACACTTTTTAGAAGTCTTTTGAAGTCAAATTTTAATGTTCAGTTCAATTCATTTTAGCTAAAATCAATTCATCTTTCAATCTTAAACCATCTCTTGTCGTTCAGGTTGCCTCTTCTGATGCTACCAATATATCAGCTCAGATCGATATCGATGGAGATGAGTTGGTTCTCAACGGACGTAAATGGTGGACCTCAGGAGCAATGAATCCACACTGTAAGGTGTGCATCTTCATGGGCAAGTCGGACACATCAGCCAGCCGTCACCAACAGCAGTCCATGGTACTGGTTCCTATGGAGGCAGCAGGAGTGACCATAGTACGACCCTTGTCAGTGTTTGGGTTCTATGATAGGCCTGAAGGGCATGCAGAGGTAGCCTTTGATAACGTCAGGGTTCCTGCAGGGAACATGATCTTGGGAGCAGGGCGAGGATTTGAAATTGCTCAGGTGAGTAGTGCACCGATCTGGGTGTGATATACAAATAATACACAGCAGTGAGGGCATTAGTAAGAATAACCGACACAAGGTACCTTTGGAACAGTCTAACATGCCTGAGGCGAAAGCCGGGGGTGTTTAGACTGTTTTGAAGGTACTGAGTGAGGGTAATTTTACTAATGATTAAACAAAATGATGTGTATTATTTGTTTTATAAGATTATGTTTTATTTGTTTTATAAAATGATGTTATATAACATGATTTTACTAATGACCAGTCATTAGCATTTGATAATGACCGTCATTATCAAAATTACGCATCAGGCAAAATAAATGCCTGGTCACGTGTACACTCTCAACCAATCATTTGATTAGCATCCACATCATCATCTTATAATATTCTTTAACTGTGGTCTATTTCAATGAAGACTTTCAAATCAATACAAAATTTCACTAGAGAAAGCCTCCTGAGAAACACATCGTAAATCATGTATTAATGTCGTGGGTTATATCATTTTATGTGTATTCATCCACTGACTGGAGGATCTTTCTCCATTCTTCAATTGGTTTACCAAATTGTCTGGTTGGTTATTCTAGCAAGGTCATGAAATACAGTCCTGTATAAGCTCATATTTTTGCGTACAAAACTTTTGGGAATGGCAGGCTAAGAGACATTTTCGCAATTCGTTGCTTTTGCGAAGAGCACACAGTAGAATTAATGAATGGGCATGAAGTATTCAAAAACTTTCTTACGTCAACACATACACACACAAACACAGACTCGGTCACATAAGTACACACACATGTTTAGGCAGCCCATCGCATCACATACAGCTAGCCAAGTACCGTAACAGTATGAGGATAATGTGCGTGCTTCGTGCAAGCTGTGCAATATACGAACGGAGAGATAAGGAATTACGCGCGGGGCGGGAGGCAACAGCATTGCATTACGAACATAAGATAGTTACTAGTAGCTAGCAATCAAGAGGACGCAAGCACATAATTCGATGATATTTTCGCGCTCCGGAATGATGAGGTGCCAAAATTTTCATGTGTTGATAAATTCACGACACGATAATATGCAATTTGCAATATTTGTGAAAATAAAACCCTCACTAAAAAGCTTATACAATAGTTTTCATTATTATATATGTGAATGACAGGAAATCTTGTTTTAATATTCTGTCACATAGTACATAGTATCAGCATACATTGACAAGAAACATATTTATTTTAGTAGAGGTGCTGTCTTGTATGTGCGTGGTAGATAGGTCATAGACCTACTTCTAATAAATACTATAAGGTTGAGCAGTATTCTTTAAAAGAAGTTAATTCCTCCAGTTATACATATCTATTCAATTCTTGTTCACTTTTTTTTGTGTGTGTTTAAAGGGTCGTCTTGGACCAGGTCGTATACATCATTGTATGAGATTGGTTGGAATGGCAGAGAGGTCTTTAGAACTCATGATACATAGGGTAAGTGTTCATAGATCTCATCAGACTAAATCACTCTTCTTTATAGTCACTTTGTATAGTCATAATATTCATTCTGTCTGATTGTAAGTTGGTGTTTAAATACCACAATGCCCTGATATGTAATATCTTAAAGGCCCACTGCACTACTTGTAGCTAATTGCGCCCTCGATATAACAAACAAAGCCTAATCGGTGACCATTGGTCCCCCATGATCCTCTTTTTCTTATGTTAATTGAGAGCTGAGTTGATGTGATAACCACCTGTCCAGCGACCTTGCAGGGCGGTCTAATCCCTCCTGTAAACTAGTACAGATAAGCTTTAAGACCCTACGTGTTTTATCATTTACCCTTTGCAGATATCAACCAAGTAGCCTTTGATAAGACTCTACCTATTCATATCAGTTACCTGTTATAAGTATTGAACCAATAGCCATTGATAAAATTCTACCTTTTTTTAACCCTTGGACTACTAAATTCTCCCATTCCCATAGGCTCATTAACGGAATTACCCTATTCCGGTAGGCAGTGGGTTAGCCGTTACCTGCTCTATGTTGTTGTTGTTAAATCTATTGACTCTTCCATGCAATGGCCAGCAGATCCTGCCCAAGAACTTAAATATTCTTTGTTTCTGAATAATAATGGCTAAAGTGATCAGGAACATGAAAAGTGAAGTGTATACCCATACAAGTTCTTCTATGCTTAAACCATCAACCAAAGCTTTATAAAATAAAAAAAAAAGTCTCTTGAATGTTTGTACCAGTATGTGACAATTCTCTTGACAAAATGATGGTACAGAAAGGATTAATTAGCCTAAGCCGGACTGTCGATCACAGGGTCCGCGGTTCAAATCCCGCTGCGGCACTAATGTCCTTTGGCAAGACATTGATCTACATTTGCCACACTCCACCCAGGTGAAGTAAATGGGGACCGGCAGGAAGGAATTCCTTGAATGCTGTGAGCACCAAAATCGGTAGCCTAGCAGAGCCGGGGTAATATTGGAGCACTTTGAGCACCTTGCAGGGTGGATATGTGCGCTATATAAATATCCAATATTATTATATTATTATTATTAAGCATTCAATTTGTAATATTTTACCACATTATATTTAGTAATATATATCTGTTACTCTTTGCAGGTATTGAATCGAGTAGCGTTTGGTAAGACTCTAGCTGAACAGGGTGTCATCCAAGAAGATATAGCTGAATCAAGGATAGAGATTGAACAAGCTAGACTACTCACTCTCAAAGCAGCTCATTTGATGGATACTGTAGGAAATAAGGTAACAGTCTTCATATTCAAATCACTATGTAATTATGGATGCATACCTGCCAACCCTTACAAATAATCCAGAATATTCCTTTTTTTCTGGATTTCTAGGAATTTTTTATTATTTTTATTTTTTATTTTTTTGTTGTGCTAAAGCCAAATTAAGCTTGTTTTATCATGTGCCGCGATTTGAGAGTTGACGTATTGTGTGCGTTGAATGATTGTATTCCCCTTTTGGTACAGATTTACCGCGTATTGCCAGTTACACTGCCGCTGCAAGTGCGATTTCCTTTTTTTTTTTAAGGCATACCGTGCTAAAAATTCCTAATACTTATTTTCAAATGTTGGCAGGTATGTGGATGTAGATGTGTGTATTCTTAATAATTCTCAAGAATCTGATATCTTCCCTTCATCTCCAACAGAGTTTTCATTGCACAGTTGAACTTCATTATAGCAAGCTCCTGTGGACCAATAGAATTACCTCTATATCGTAACCTAGTTGTATCATGGATAAATACAATAGAAATTAAGATAAGAGAATAGCAAAATTGCTTTGTTACAATGAGCATTTGTTTTAACTATGTCCTTTACTAACAGAATTAACTGTTTCTTTGAATATATCACAGCTGCTGAACTTAAATTCTGCATATTGCAAAAATACATTCCCATCCTGATTATTTTATTTGAACAATCTGCGCACAATAAGAAACGTCTTCCATGATTAACGTGGGACTGCACTACTTGTAGCTACTTGCGCCCTCTACATAGCATACAATGCCTAAGTGGTACCTGTTGATCCCCCATGATCCCCTTTTTCTTATGTTAAGTGAGAGCTGATTTGATGAGATAACCACCTGTCAGTGACCACGCAGGGAGGTCTTATCCCTCCTGGCCAAACTAGTGCAGACAGGCTTTAATACATGAGGATGTATTTGACCTGTTTAATGATGAAGGCTTTCTTATGTTTTGTTACTAGAGAGCTGCAGCAGAGATAGCCATGATCAAGGTAGTAGCCCCTAATATGGCTCTGAGGGTGGTAGATCGTGCCATGCAAGCACATGGAGGAGCAAGCGTATGTTCAGACTTCCCCTTGTCCCATTTCTACGCTGGAGCTCGTTCCTTGAGGCTGGCTGATGGTCCAGATGAGGTGCATCGTCAGGCTATAGCTAGGATGGAGCTTAAGAAGGCTAGACCTACCTAGTCCAACTTATCCCGCACAGGTACAGAACAACATCTGAAATAAAACCAAATCATGCAATAGAGAAAGGAGAATTTCATAGAGTTTATAGGAATTATGGAAATGAATCTTAATCTAAATGGTATAAAATACTGAATATTTGAATGACTTTTCTGAGATTCATTCAGATATTGGATCTTGATCAAATCATGCGATGGTCTTTGGACTTCAATTAATTTATTGATTTATGTCTATTTTCATAGTGAATGCGTTAACTGTAGTATAATTTTTTTCATGGATATGGCTTTCATCTTCAGTCAAGTTATACTGTGTATGTCAACCTCTGATGTGCCTTTAACTCATAGCCTGCCATAAGGCTGCATGCACGCTATCGTTATAGTGCTTTGTATATGCGAGAGAGCCATCGCTTGAGTGCCATGTGCGTGCAATGCAGCATTCGTAATAGCAGTTATTGTTCATGCTCATTGGACTGTGCTGTGTATTTTGCACTCGCTATTCATAGAACTGTCGTGTTAATCAGATTATCTCCAAAACAACCTGGCACGGGGGGATTTGGGGCTTGGCACAATGGGGATTAGTCCTGTGGCATGATTAGAGTTAAAATCATTTGGGGCGTGGTGGATGTTGCAGCTAAAGGCCACTCATATCTGCTTGAGAGTCTTGGCAGAGAAGCATTGTTTTAAAATGAGGAGAAAAATAAAAAAAGAATTGATATAGATAGTTTGCTCTCCCAAAGAGGGTGAATGTAAGTACTTGCCTTACCTGTACGCCTACTCATGCGATGTTGTTATTGTATCTTATGTCATCATGAAATTACATTTCTTGTAAAGAGTGTACAGAAATTGTTAGTATTAGTGCCGCTTCAGTAGTCTCTTTGAAGGCCCATTAAAGATGAATACATGTTAACCAATAGGCATAGTAACTAATCTGTATCAAAGTCCTTTCTAATGAGTTTAAGTAGCCACTATTTTAGTAGACTATATACAATGAAGGACTTTTAAAAGAGTTAAAATCATCACTGCCATTAGTCAGTATTGAAAATATATCCAAAGACTTAGATTAAGGCCACAATTAACAAAGAAGGTGTTAATGAAAAAACACTAGATCACTGTTTTACTTATATGTGTAAACTCCCATTCATTGGACATGAGGCATTACATATAATCAACTTACACAGGATTGAAGATAAAGTTGAGTTTTGGTCATGCGATTGCATTGTGAAAGAAACGTTGTGGAATCGATCAGAAAAGGTTGATCATCTAGCATATAAGTATTGGTGTGTACTGCAAGGTTCTGGAATCATCAACATGATAAGAAATTTGGCCCGGTCTTGGTAAAGTTCCAAGCACTGTACACAGAAAGATGTATATACACAAACATGTGGCATAAAAATCCATCCCAATTTTTATTTAAAAATTTTTAGGCCATCAAAGAGCCATGCTTTTCAGGGAACATTTTTTATCTGATGTTACTCCACACTTGCATAATACAATGATAGCGCTCACAAATTATTTTTCACCTCTTCCCAGAACTCAACCTTCTCTTTTAACCATAGCGTAGATAAACCTTTGTGAAAATCTGGGAGGCGTTTCACAAAACTTGTCATCAGTGACAAATGACAGTTTTTGTTATAAGCTACTAAAATCCTTGCTTCTGATTGGTTATCAGCAGATTTGTCACTGACATTTGTTGTTTGTCATTGAAAAAAAGGCTTTGTAAAACGGGTCCCTGGTCTTAGAATCTCAGAAACAAGACAGAAGTAAGATTGATTAGAACATTTAAATGAACTACCTGAGAGCTCAAATAGAAGTTTCTGCCTTCATAAACTCTAGCATACTTCAATATGATTTGTACATTGTATAATTCTCTATTCATTACAGCATTGTTTAAATACAGTGAACTCTCATAACTTGAAGTCAAATTTTCTCTAAGTTTGATAAATTTTGTTTACACACCATGCCACATGTGTTCATAAGTAAAATACTCCTTTTCGCGGTCCCTACAGGTTCTTCTGCAAAGTTAAACATTATTGAGTTGAGTGTCCACTTACTCTGTTTCATGCCACATTCAAATTGACACCGATTGTTCAAGGTATGTTATTACAATGTTTAAGCTTGAACATGCTGGTTTGAATCGGTTGGACATTCCCCAATGAGTAAACAAAAATTCAGAGACAAAAAGAAGCTATAAAACCAGCTGAGAGGACACAGTCACAAACGCATGTCAAGTGTTATGTAATCATTGATTTTGCTACACATTTCAAATGGTTATCAAATGCAATGAACATGTAAATCATATTCAAATGATTGGCTGAGAATGTACATTACAAATCATTAATGTTTATGACATATATCATGACCACTCCATCATCTATTGCCTCAGGATTCAGACTGTTCCATAGTTATGTTGTATAGATGATCAGGGAAAAAAATACAAGGGGGCTCGGGGCGATTTAGCCCCCGAAATGCCCAAAAGAGCCCCTGAAAATCTTAAAAGAGCCCCCCAATTTTGCATAGAGTTCAATGCAAAACAAATTAAAGCATGTTATTTTCATGCAAGCAAATAATTTTTTCCCTGTAGACGATTCTTATTAATGCTCTCAGTGATGTGTTAAATTGTATCAATCACCAAAGAATTATTTGCTCTGTCTCCAATACGGGTTTCATATGGGTATACTATGTCCAGGTATGAGCTCCAAATATTATTTCTGTAAAAATGTTTTGCAAGTTTTTAATACACTCACATAATCTTTACATGCTCAGGTGAAATAGCTAGGGCCCACATGGAACCGAAGTACGACTTAGGATCTGTGTGAAGGGTTATGAGTTATTTTTTATTTTCTTCATACTCCATTAACCCGACTAATGTTTGGTAAAGCTTTTTGAAACTGATTTTATACATTCTAAGTGTACACAGATTCTTATGGGTAAAGTGGACGATTAAACTGGGATCTTGTGTAAATACCAAAACAACATCTTTAGATACGTGTTGTACACTTTCTAACACTTAATTCTAAATTTTAATTTTGTCAGCTGGTATGTTTTATCAATTAGTAGTGTTGATATCTCTCTTGAACAAGAGATATTACCTTGCTACAAAACTATGTAATGTTAATAACGCTGTGATCATGTAACTGTAGTGAATATCACTTTAATAGTAAGGTAATCGTGAACCATGGGATGTACACATACTTTAAACTCAGGAGAGAATTGTTTGCATATGAGATGATGATGACAAATTATGCTCAGAATTGATTATTATATTTTATGTTACTACTTGGTGTAAGACATGTTTTGTATGGTATGCAGACGATGACCAAATATTGTAAAATGTACATGTACTAGTATATGACATAATGTATGACGTGATTGAATATTCATGAAACTGATATCTCAGTCTTAATTTTTGTATTATATATTAATGCCATTTATATACCAAAAGGAAAGTTATATTTTGTCAGAGAATAAAGTTGTGACAGGTGATCAATATATAAAGAAAATTGAATAATGAACCTAAACTTGTGTCTAAGAACTTTTATCGCAGATAATCTAAGTGTAAAAGAAGAAAAACATGATCTCATCTAGACTTTGGACAAAAATCAACATTGGGTAATTTCAGTAGCCGTGTGCTTCACTGATTGAATTGTTCAATAATATATATATTTGTAAAGCGCTTTGAGAGGGCCTGTGGTCCTGAAAAGAGCTATATAAGAACGAACTATTATTATTATTATTAATGACATACTACAAGATAGGACAATTTTTTCTATAGTAAAAGAAGAGGGTACTGCTATTGCCCTTAGGTTGATTTGATAAAAAAAAGTTGATGTGATCATGTAAGAAGTAGTTAAGAGAGATAAAAGATGGATGATCGTTTGTTGAGATGGCCATACAAAAATCAAATGGAATATCCTCAGTGGCAGAATAAGTGAATGTACATTGACAAGAATAAGAGCGAAAGAGAGAGAGAGAGAGAGAGAGAGAGAGGGGGAGATAGATAGAGAAAGGGGCAGGGAGGGGGAAGGGGAAGCAAGGGACATAGATACAATGGAGAGGAGAAAGAATGAGATAGAGGGGGTAGAGAGAGCGACAAATGGAAGAGGGTTAGAGAGCAAGGATAGACTAGAGGGAATGAGAGATGGAAAACGGTGAGGGATAAAGGGTAGAGAGAGAGAGAAAAAGATTGGTAAGGGAGAGGGGGTAGAGAGAGAGAGAGAGAGGAGCGAGAGATAGAAAAGGGTGAGGGATAAGGGGTAGAGAGAGAGAAAAAGATTTTTAAGGGAGAGGTAGTAGAGAGAGCGAGAGATGGGAGAGGGTTAGGGAGAGAGGATAGACTAGAGGGAGTGAGAGATAGAAAACGATGAGGGATAAGGGGTAGAGAGAGATTTAAAAAAAAAAAGATTGGTAAAGGGAGAAGGGGTAGAGAGAGAGAGTTAGAGATGGGAAAGGATGAGGGAGTAGAGAGAGAGAGAGAGCGAGAGATGATGAAGGGATATGGGGTAGAGAGAGAGAGAGAGATAGTGTGAGTGAGATGGGAAAAGTCCAATCAGGGAGGTGAAAGAAAGGAGTGGAAACTCATGTAATTTATTTAAACGCATTCGTGATTTCTAAAGCGCAACAATGGGATGAGTAACATTCCACTGGCCTTTGAAATTCCATGCTCCGAGCCGCGCTTCCACTGCAGGGTATTTTGGAGGCCAGGCACCAGTTTCACATTTATTACAAAATTTCAGTGTAAGTTATAAACTTTATATGGGGACTGTATTGGAAAAAGCGCATCAAACAATGTTTTAAATTTAGTACTCTGCCTTTCCTATAATTTGTGTGCCAGAGTTGGTAAAAGAAAAATTATAGATCCTGACAAAAACTCAATATTTTAGGATAATGCGCTAATTTTCTGCATGTTTTAATGTTCCGTTATTTGATCCGTGATTTACAATCTTCGACAACTTTAAGTTTGCTAATGCGTTTTTTTTTCCACGTGTTTTTTGTATTTTTGCAGTTGGAAGAAAGGATGAAATTACACAAGTTTGTGTTTGTGCCAGAGTTGGTAAAAGAAAAATTATAGATCCTGACAAAAACTCAATATTTTAGGATAATGCGCTAATTTTCTGCATGTTTTAATGTTCCGTTATTTGATCCGTGATTTACAATCTTCGACAACTTTAAGTTTGCTAATGCGTTTTTTTTTCCACGTGTTTTTTGTATTTTTGCAGTTGGAAGAAAGGATGAAATTACACAAGTTTGTGTTCGCTTGTTTTACTCATTACACATTCAACAACTGATGAGAAATCATTGAAAGGGACAGCGAACAGTTGCTGTGATACCATTTTCTGATGAAGGAATTCTAAATCCTGAAATTTGATGCGCTCTTTTATCTCACCACCTGGTCATATCAACAGTTGCAGATGAGCGCATAACTTTTCGGCGGCCTGGAGCATGGGGTCAAAGGGAAGCAGCTTGATTCCACTCCTTTCTGTCACCTCCCTGGTCCAATCATGCCTTTTCCATCTATAGCGCCGTAACTTTTCCGATTTAGTGTGCGCCGGTCGGCCACGCCCCTCACTATTTCCAAACACTTGAACTGTTGTTTATTAAAATATAAAAAGCGTCAATGTAGGGTTGGACCTTATTTTAGCTCAACGGAGGTTAAAGGGGTTCGACATGCAGTAAACTCAGCACAATGTCAGGCAAGACAGGCATTGAGATGATAGAAAAAAAAAACCCATTCAAATAATGCCATTAGATGAATGTGCTGCACCAGACGCCATATCATGTGAAACCGTGTGTGAAACCGTGTGTGAAACACCCATATAAATTATGATGTATATGGGTGTTTCACACAACGATTTCTCAATGAAGCATTGTTCTAGATGAAGAAAATATATTCCGAACCTGCCCCATTTAACAACAAGTATATTATACGATGCACTGAGATTAAACCACAGACCGTCATATGCCTGCAATCAGTAGCGTACGCAGGGTTTATTCAAGGGAGGGGGGGGGGGGTTAACATTTTAAAATCGTGCCCGAAATTTTCGCAACGACTCAGCCAGCCGCTGAATAAGCGGGGGGGGGGGGTAAGAGGACATTCATATTTTTGTTTAAATTAAAATAGAAAAAAAAAGGGGGGGGGGTTCCTTCAAAATACACACATTAAAAAAATACCAAAGGGGGGTTAACCCCCCCCCCCCTGCGTACGCGCCTGCAATGACCCAGGTCAATAGATCATTGCAGGCATGTAATCAAATTTGATGCATAAAGTGCCATGTTACAAATTATTTCATTCACCTGTTAGGAGTAATTGTATTTTAATATATAGTTAGAATGCAAATTTGCATACATTGTTGCTAGGTAGGACAAACATTATAGGTTGTCCTGACTAACAACACGGAAGGTATGCAATTCGCATTCCGACTATTGAAATACAATTATTCGTAAGAGGTAATTGAAATAAGCACTTAACAAATACTTGTGTATTGAACTTGCTTACATTACGAAAATGGCCTATTGAATAATAACCAGGAGTACTCGGAAGAAGCATTTTAATCATTTACATGTACATGTGTATGTATTAGCGAACCAACAAATCTTTAATAGGCCATTTTCTTAATGTAACCAAATTTAATGCATGAGTCTTTGTGAAGCGCCCCCAATACAAATTATTTCAATTACCTGATAAGAATAATAGTATTTCAATAGACAGAATCCAAACTGCATACATTATGTGTTGCCAAGTTGGACAAACGTTATGGCTTGACCTACCTAGCAACACTTTTATGCAGTTGCATTCTGACTATTGAAATACTATTATTCCATCGGGTGAATGAAATCATTTGTATTGAGGCACTTCACAAAGACGTATGCATTGAATTTGGTTACATTACGAAAATGGCCTATCCACACCGAATGCTGCTGCCTTAGAAATACAGTGATACAGCTGTATCGAATACTTTGGGGGGGATTCCATAGATTGAACACGACGTGCCTACGATGAAAGAGCCATTTTTAAGGGTAACGTGTCGGCGCCATTCCGAAATCCGGATCATTTAGCTCAGACTCTGATTGGAGCATGAGAAACAATTGTACTTAAAAAGGGAGTGGCAGAAATTGGTGTTCGACAATCTTCAGACAGATCATATCATACCGTGAATACTACTAGGAATTGCCTTTGACTTTGGTAGGATATATCAATATCCGTTGTGATCCGAGTACCTCTACACTACAACTGTAATCTATCAAAAGAAAATGGAAATCTCGTATGGATTAAAACCCAATTGGACAAGGCTTGTCTTATCGTGCTGTCTAGTAATGTGAGTTATTTTCATTGTGTTGCTTTTCTGTATTTAAGGCAATGATCCCGGAAGGACTGAGCTAGTATCACTGATTAATTTGTAAGAATATTTCGCTCAAAATGAAACGATGTCATGTTCTATTGACCGAAAAAAGGGAATCGCTTAAATCGTGTAAAATTTAATACCAAGGGACTCTTTATTTTTATATTATTGACAGGACTATAAACCTATGAGCTTATAAGGTCGAAGTTGCCAAAAAATGATTCACCTCAACTTATGTCATTTTGCTTTTATCGCTCCGTATATAGCTCAGTTGTAATATTCCGTATTAAATGAATTTGTTTATTCTGAATTTAAACATGAGCAAGGACTCTTATTCAAAAGGGCTTCTCTGTGTATTCATGCTTAGGGATATATGGCTAAAAGCCCCCCCCCCCCCCAAAAAAAAAAAAAAAAAAAAAAAAAAAAAAAATCCAAGGCGGGAGATTAAGCAGAATAAGAATAAGGAGAAGGAGAAGGAGAAAAAAAAAAAAAAAAAGGAAGAAGGTGATGTGATTTATAATCATACTTACCAAGGGCACTATTTCACTAATTACCCATGATAATAGGTTGTCTGCACTTCTCTTAGCCGAGCTGAGTTCATCTTACGTTCATCATCGACCAATGACAGCCCCGGGTCTGGATGAGATCACTAGAACAATTGAACACACAACAAGATGGGAGGAGATGAGAGAAAAGATCTATCTCACAGGTGAGAACATAAGGTAGAAGGAAAGAGAAAGAGGTGAGGGAAGAGAAAGAAACAGAGAGAGAGAGAGAGCCCGGAGAGAGAGAATAAGATAAGATAAGGAGAGAAATTTGTGGGCGACGAGAGAGATGAGGAGTAGAAAGGAGAGAGCGAGAGAAAGGGAGAAAGGAGGGAAGAAATGAGACGAGAGAGAGAGAGAGAGAGAGAGCGAGCGATAAATAAGAAGGAAAAGAGATAAAGGGATACGAAAAAGAGAGAAATTGGTGGGGGTGAAAGAGATGAGGGGTAGAAGGAGAGAGTGAGAGAAAGGGAGAAAGGAGGGAAGAAATGAGACGAGAGAGATGGAGAGATAGAGCAAGAGAGAAGGGGGATAGACATCTGGCAAACAGAGAGAGAGGGTGACAATTAAGAGACAATTAAGCTGGACTAAAACGAGAAATTAATTTAGATGGAGAACATAGGGCAAGACAGGGACGTATGCTATAAATAAATTTAAAAAATAAATAAGAACAACTTAAGTGCCTTTTCGGTGGGTCTATTTTGTTTTATCCTAGGGCAGTTGTAACAGACTGTTGATTGTCTCGGGTAGATTTGGAGATGGTCATTTTGTAATGTTCAGTTGTATAAAAATATCTGTGGTTTAAAATGTATGAATGTTATGATGCATATGATTTATGTTGACCTTACCATAGGGATTGGAAAAAGACAACAGAAAATGAGCCGCAGATCTCCTGAATATCTTCATCAGCAATTCAACCGACTGAACAAACGAAGCAAACGCTTCGCCATGGTCGCCAGGATTGCGGAAAATGTGACCAGGATCTACGGGAAAAGGTAAGATCCGAAGGGGAGGAGAGGGCTAGATCCACACATAGGAGCATCACTATCCTGGCTGTGTAGTAAAAGCTGTGCTTTTGATTCTCAACATTTCAAACACCCCTGTACAAAACTCAACTGATTTCACTCAAAATCGGTACTTTAGTGACAATTGATGACACCTAAATAGCAGGAAAATACATCTTTTTCAACTTACTGATGTTAAAAAGAATAATTTAAAAATTAAAATTGCAAGTCTAGTGTCAAACTTTGCTTACAGCAGCATCGACATGATTGTGTACAGCCTATGCGATATTGTGTGGTGTGTGTATTTGTGTATAGACTTCTAGGTCCCTGCCTCACAGCATGTATGCAGTGCTAAAGGTCAATACGCATTTAGCATTGACTCTCTATGCTTTGCTGGAGTGGGCTAGATCAGGATATAATCCCCCCCCCCCATTTTTTCCTGGTGTGGGTGCGTGTACGTGTGTGCGTTTAATTAGGTTTTTACAGACGTGTTTTAATAATTTATTCAATTTTTTAAATTGGTTATTTTTGTTATTCTGTGCTCTAATTCTGGGTATTCTGAGGAGGCTAGGAACAGTATGTGGCATATGTGTGGAAGTGTGGTCGGGTGGTGTGCGTGCGTTGCATGGCGGGGGGGGGGGTACTAGTGTGTTTGGTTGGATGGGGTTATTTGTTTTATGTTACAATTTCATTTTTGTTTGGTCTTCAATCGCACAAATTAAAATGTTTTGAATCATGTGAAGATGAAAAACTGTATTATATTTCTAAGATAGATTTGTATTGTTTGGAATCAATAAATAAAAAAAAAACTATTGAAAAAAAGTATCAATCATATATGATTATTCACGTCTGGGGATCTACCTTTAATTAAAGGAGACGTAACCCCAAAGAATAAGTGTATAGGTAGGTGACACGACATTTGCTCCTGCGACAATTGCTCCGGGCTTTATTTCGTCTAAGATGTAGGGTTAGGGTTAGGGTTTCAATAGGGTTTTATGTTAGGTTTAGGGTTAGGTTTAGGGTAGGGTATAGTGTTGAATCCAGGGTTGAAGTTAGCCATTCGATTAGTGTATGAAATTTACAGCGGAGCAATTGTCGCCGGAGCAAATGTCATGGAATCGTATAGGTATTCTGAAGAAAAAAAAAAAAGATTAATTCCTGCCTCTTGATGTACAATAGATCTTACGAACGTGTACAAGAGATATATAAATGAACATTTTTGGGTATGATGACATGGGTGCAGCCATTTTCTTGAAATGGTGACGTACCAGACAGAGTTGTACATTTATCTCATGCACCAAGCTTTAATTGGAAAAACTTTGTTATTCGATGAGGGAAAATCATCCTAGCCGAGAAGGTCAAAATCACATATAATGAAAAGTATATGGTAGTGTAACAATGCATTTATTGAAAAGTACTAAACTATAGTATACTTATTTCATGAAATTTGCGTTCTGGCAATTAGAGTACAAAGGATAATTGCAGGTGAATGTAATGTTTCAACACCACAAACGCCTTGGAAGGAAGTATATATACATTTGAATACATTTAGTTGATAAACGACTCTGCACAGTACGTCATGCAGACGCAGCGGACCCAGGAGGGGACAGGGGATACAGTGTCCCCAGTATTCAAGTATCCTAAAGTGCCCCTTTTTACGTAGGAAAGTGCCCCTTTTTATTTCTAATAGGTGTCCGTTCCTAATTCTTATAAGCGTCTCTTACCACCTCTGATTAATTACCCCTTTACCTATGATAATCATTGCGCCTATTCAAATCTGAGAGATGCTCTTTTTACTTTAACAAGTGCCCTTTTCCTTTGTAAAAAGTGCCCCTTTTCCTTTGTAAAAAGTGCCCCTTTCCCCTTCTGATAAGTGCCCTTCATCATCTGTGATGAATGCTCCCTTTCACTCTAATAAGTGCCTCATTTTATTTTGACACATGCTCCCTTTTTCTTTTTGATAAGTGCCATTTTTCCTCTTGATAAAATATGCTCTTTTCCTTTTTTTAAAGAGCCACTTCCCCATCTCATAAATGCTCCTTCTCATACCTCTGACTAAATCTGATAGGCGCCCCTCTTCCTTCGAAAAGTGGCTTTTTCATTTTTTAATTAATGCCCGTTTCCATTCTTACAGGTGTCCCTAGTCATCTTTGGTCAGTGCCCCATTTCAGGTACAAGAAGTGCCCGTTACCAACTCTGATAAAGCCCCTTCACCTTATAATTGCATCTTTTCAAATCTGAGAGGTGCCCCTTATATTTTGACAAGTGCCTCCTTTCCTTTGTATGCCCCCTTTCCTTTGTATGCCCCTTTTTTTATTTGTATAAGTGTCACTTTTCATTTCCGGTGAGTGCCCTTGTTCAAATTTAAGAGGCATCCCCTTTAAATTTGTATTAAGTGCCCATTTTATTTTGACACTGGCCCCCTTATCCTTTTTAATAAGTGCCAATTTTCCTTCTGATAATTGCCCATCTCTGATGAGCGCCCCTTATCGGGTGCGAGAAGTGCCTCATGTTCATATAACTCATATTTGATGATTCCCCTTTTACTTTGACACGTGCTCCTTTTTTTTCTTCTAATAAGTGTCCTTTCCCTTTTCCAGTCACCATAAAATGTGCTTCTAATATAAAGCTACTAGGAGTATTTTTTAAAATTAATTTCAACTAAACCAAAATGTTTGTTTCTCATTAACAGTCTTTTCAGTCTTTCATGATCAGGGGGGGGGGGGCGTTTCATGAAACAATTAGTCGGTAGTTTTCACCGAATAATAACATTTTCACCGACAACTCTATTGTCGCAGACTATTTTCCAGGCCTCTGATTGGTCAAATTTAGTCAGTGCTGACTAAATTGTCGGTGAAAATGATATTAGTCGGTGAAAACCACCGACTAATTGTTTCATGAAACGCCCCCCCCCCCCCGATTGTGCTTAGAGCCCCGTCCGGGTTGTTTTCCACTTTTCACCTCACAAAATCTTAAAAGTTATGCTTGCTCACTTCGCTCGCTCGTAAATGAATATTCAGACCACCACACACAACTACAGAGTATGATGCTTAAGCATTACTTGGACCAAGTAAAGAGCTAGTAATATACTTTCAGAAAGTACCCTTTTTGTTGGTGCCCTCCCCCCCCCCCCCCTGCTCTTATGTACGCATCAGTATGTTATTACATGTTCGAGGAAACACTCAATTCAATTCAGAGATAAAAAGAGAGAAGATTACGGAAGATTACCAACATTTGATATCATTCTTCTATTGTATTGTTGTTTTGTATATTTTGTTGTTTTAAATGGTCAATAAATGAAGGGACTTCCTTCCTATTCAATTCAACATGAGGTAATCCAGCTAGGTAACTATTTTATTCACACTGGACTTTCTTTAGCGATGCCCACCACAGAATGTTTAGTATTTCCATCCGACTAAAGTACTTAAGTCCATGCATGTCTTATAATCAGTTTTAAAAATGCTTTATATTTAGAGATTGAAAATACTTCTTTCTTTATTGTGTAGGCAAATTAATTTGGTATCGCCCAACGCTCTTCCAGACCTTTGTCGTATGGCTGGCTTCAACTTTTCTTTCAAAGACTGTCCGGAATCAACAAAGTTTCGTCGATATGATGGGGCTTGTAACAATCTCGTCCATGTCAATGTTGGCAAAGCTTTTGCTCCTTATCAAAGATTCATCCCTCCCGACTTCGCTGATGGTAAGTGCCTCTGTAATAGATCTTTCTACGCCCCCTCCCATCCCCGATCTCTTAAACCTTTATAAGAGCCTCTATAAAACTTCCCGTCGATATAACCACCCGGACAGCTATCACCAGACGCGTACGCAAGGGGGGGGGGGGGTTTGGGGGTTGAACCCCCCCTTTGGTAATTTTTATGTGTGTATTCTTGAGGAAAACGACCCCCCCCCCCCCTCTTTTTTTTTTTTTTTTTTTTTTTTTTAATTAAAAAAAAATATATATATATATATATATATATATAAATACCAATGGCTGACCTAAAAAAGGTTGAACTCCCCCCCCCCCCGCCCCTCCCCAACGGAGCAAAATGTCAATTTTTCAAATTTCGAGACCCAAAAAACAACAAAAAGTGTTATCTTTCCCCCGCTTATTCAGCGGCTGGCTGAGTCGTTGCGAAATTTTCGGCCCGATTTAAATATGTTCACCCCCCCCCCTCCTTGAAAAAATCCTGCGTACGCGCCTGGCTATCACAGAGACTAGTACTCCCAGATTACCAGTATAGTCACCATTTTTCAATCATGGTATTCATCATAATGGGTAGTTTTGCTCGTAGTTGGGTAGTTATCTGAAGAATGTCGTTTTGGGATATTATAATACCGAGGTGTAATATCCCTGATGTCTGATAGTCCAGAATATAATTATCCATGGGACGGTCGAGACAAGGGTGTCGCTACAGTACCTTAGTTGGACCCTATACCACCCCGCCCTTCTAAATTCACCCATACCCGGGCCAACTACCCGTTTTCTAAGACTAGAATAACATTAGCTAAAATATGTAATGTATACATTGACCAATGCTGATACAAGTCCATAAGGACCAGAATATTGCAAAACTATCCTCCAATTTGGATTGATATAATCGAATACATCAATCACGACATCTTATTCTGGATGCAGGTATTCAGTCTATTCGACAGAGCGTGAGTGGAGGTCCGTTGCCTTCAGCGAGGACAGTATCGGCCAACATCCTTCACTTTGAACACGTCTTTGAGCCAGGTTATACGGTTATTATCTCCCACTTCGGACAATTCTTGGACCATGACTTATCAAGTTCAGGAGCGGATTCAAGTAAGTATGTCACTACCAATTAATAATCAGGCTTATCCAAAATTCTTCATTATGTTTCTCCTATATAGCTAGACAGCGTGATTCAATATAATAAGTTTGCAAGTACAACTGATTGGTAACTATATCGAGAATAATTGATGTTTTGATTAAATTGATAACACTTATAACTGCATGAAGGATGTATCGTGTGGAGGCGTCGCGGAAAGATGGTTAATTCACTTGCCTGTCAATCCAAGGCAGGTTTGAGGGTTCGAGTCCCAGCCCGGCACTAACGTCCTTTGGCAAGGCATTCATCCACATTTGCCCTCTCTTCATTCGGCTGTAAACGAGTAGGCCTACCTTGCATCTGTAGGGGTAATAATAATTGCAATGCTCTCAGGAAGAACATAATTGAAGCTAATGAGGCTTCCCCGTGTTAGCATAATTACTTTTTTAATATTATTTAATCGCAGAGAGTAGCCGATCACTCAACAAGCTCCTAGTATATACGGGTAAAGACACTACATAGAGTACCGTTATCGTTCTTATAATTATCATCATTCATCTTTTTTCTTTTTCTGATGTCATGTCAGGGGAATGCGATGACAACGAATGTCGAGAGTCTTCATTTTGTATGCCGATCATGATACCCCAACCAGACCAAGTATTTGAGAAACCTTGCATGTCGTTCGTTCGGTCCCTGCCTAGTCCTGCGATTGACTGTCAACCAGGGCCTCGACAGCAGCTCAACCAAGTCACTTCCTTTTTAGATGGCTCTCAGATCTATGGGACGTCCCAGGCTGAAGCAGACTTCCTCAGGGACAAAACAAGAGGTAATAATTATAACACAGCCATTTGTTCCTGTCCATAGTTCTTAAAGGTACAGACCAGTTCTGGTCATGGAATTGCATTGTGAAAGAAACGTTGCGGAATCAATCAGAAAAGGTTGATCATCTAGCATAAGTATTGGTGTGTACTGCAAGGTTCTGGAATCATCTAAATGATAAAAAATTGGTCTTGGTAAAGTTATCCAGTCAGGATAGATATAATAATTTACCAAACAATCAATTATTACGCGGTTTCCCGGCAAAATTTGTATCATCACTGGTTAGTCAAAGCATATTCTTTCACATGATTGGTAATAAGAGCTTCCATTTCATATTTTTGAGAGGGGTCGTTTCCAAAACTGGTCTATACCTTTAACCACAATGTCACACTGGGTATGTGGATCAGTTTGTACATAAGAGATAGAAGATTGCAAACTTGCGATTAATTGGAGGACTTGCGATAACTCTTTGCAGGACAGGGCCATATTCACACCCTTGCGTGTATTCGTCAATGACTGTTATCTTTTTTGCAGTCTGTTTGTAAAGTAAACGGAGCGAAGAGAGACACCAGTTTTCGTCCTCTTTTATATACTTTGAACTTGACTTTACTGGTGTATCTCGTTATGTATATCTCGTTAAATCTAGACTGACTCGAGATGTAAACAAAAGTACTCTTGAAATGTGAAATTTTGTTTTCATTGATAAAATACCGCATGAACAGTAAGTTAGGTTTCGATACACACAATCATCGATTTCTTTGTTTCTCCTTTAACTATATGAATATACCATTACATATAAGTCTACACCAATGAAAATCGCATTTAATTTTATAATTAACAGGAAATGTTTGGGTCCGAGCTTTTTCCTTCTGTGACTCACATTATTTTCAAACCGATGGTCGAGTCATCGTGATGTTGGCCTTTATTTCCTTTAAATTGACTTAATTTTCTATCATAATGTATACCAGTTAATATCTTACTGCATTAATCGATATCCCCTTTACCCCTTTTGTGAATATCTTCTCTTACCATTTTTTGAAAAATTCCCCAAACCTTCATTTTTCCTTCTGACCTAGTGATGGTGGAAAGACACACGTATCCCCTATAACAAAAAATAACATGTTAACATCTACCATAGATTCATAGTCCGATGACGGTTTATCTTCTCTATAGGGCGTGGTCAGTTACGTTCTCTACGTGATCCGGTATCGCCTACCAATCGCCCCTTGCTCCCCTTAGACGAAGAGCATAAAGACTGTATATTTGAGCGTGTAGATAGGCAATGTGGTCTAGCAGGCGATCATCGAGCAGCAGAGCAACCCGGTCTCACAGCACTCCATACACTCTTTCTTCGTATGCATAACTCCCTTGCATCAAGCCTGGCCATTGTGAATCCTTTTTGGGACGATGACAGGTAAAAATCTCTTATATCAAATCATTCCAGGCCCCCGTTGCATAGAACTTACAATAAATGGTAACTTTGCCATCAATTGCAACTACCATGGTAACAGGGCTCAACAGCCAATCAAAATCAATGTATCCGTGGTAGTTACCATTGATGGCAAAGTTATCATTAATGGTAAGTTTTGTGCAACGGGGCCCTGATAAAGTTCTGAACTGTATATAACTTTATCGGTTCTAATAGCTTTCTCTTTTATCCCTTACTTTCAATTCCGGGTGTAATGTGATGTGATTATTTTGGAGTATAACAAATATTATACGATCGATCAATGCATTTCATATTATCACGGTTAGCTAATAATGGAGTTTACAGATAGCACATGGTACAAATGACCCCAAATATCCACAGATCTTTTTCACATGGAGAAGTTCCACTTTGAGCATCTTAGAATAATAACTGCCAAAGTCCTAGATGTGCTTCATGAATACCTTTTGTTTGACCTCTTGAAAAGAATACTTCCACCTGCGTATCATAGAAAGTACCGTTGACGCATAAATGAATAATGTTACATAACTTTCATGAGCGCATATCCAGTATTCATCTCTGGTGGGTTTTACCATTTTGGTACAAATGACCTTTATCTGCCCATGCGCAGATTGTATCTGTAAACTCCCTTATAATGATCAACCGATCAAGATTATTGTTACCCTTAGCCAGTTAGAACCAATATAAGAGGGAGATCCGGAATTCTCCGTATCATGTGAGTTTAATTATGTATGGCGATTAGTTTCTATTTGAAATGATGACTTGATAATTGGGGACTTTACGGGTAATCTGCTGATAATATTCTCGCTTGTTGTTTTTGAAGAACTAATGCGTACACGTATTAGTATCTATTACATGAGTCCATATTTTTTTCGTTCTTGACAGACTTTTTGAAGAGGCACGCCGCATCGTGGTTGCATCATGGCAGCATATTGTCTACACTGAATACCTTCCTACATTGCTTGGTCGAACATCTCTGATTAGTGATGGACTCCGTGGTCATCCCAGCGCTAAATTCACCGGTTACGATGTCGACGTTGACCCTACAATCTCCAATGTCTTCGCTTCCTCTGCGTTCCGCTTTGGTCATAGCCAAGTGCCTAATAACTTCTCCAGACTGAATGAAGACTATCAACCGGTGTGTATCTTTTGTCCTCTTTTGATTCAGCCGAGGACGCAGGTTCGAAACTGAGTCACGTCTTTCGGATGGTGACGTTAAAAGTCGGTCCCCAGACGTAAATAATCATATCTGATTGATACACGTCTGTAAAAACCCAATTACACACACACACACGGTAGCTTAAAGGTATAGACCAGTTTTAGAAACGCCCCCCTCTCAAAAAAATGAAATGGAATCTCTTATTACTACCAATCATGTGAAACTATGTTTTGGCTAATACGTGATGATAAAAAAATTTCCGGGAAACCGCCTACTTGATATATTTGGTAAAGTATTATATCAAATTTCTTATAAGTTTGATGATTCCAGAACCCTGCAGTACACACCAATACTTATATGCTAGATGAATAACCTTTTCTGATCGATTCCACAACGTTTCTTTCACAATGTAATCGATTGAACAGAACTGGTCTATACCTTTAAATACAGTTTCTATTCAATTGCTAACGTCATATTCGCTCGTCGTCCAGGTTACTGGTCCCAAACAATTAATATAGCCTGCGCATGAGGTTCACCTCAAAAGAATAATCAACCAAAGGGCTGCAGCAGGAGGGCAAATTCAGTGTTTGGCTCTGATGTGATCATCACGTCATTTTACACAAAAATGTTGTTTGGAACCAGCAACCTTGAAAACTTGGCCAGTATGACCTTTCACTTGGTATTAAGTCACGTACTGAAATACAAACACGGTTCATCATATTAGAAGGAATTTTATTTTATTGAGTAATATATTTCTAGTAGAAAAACTAGTTGTGAACGCCAGGAGAGTGTGTCTCTATTAAGTCCAAACTAACGATTCCCAGCCCGGCACTAACGTCCTTTGGTAAGACATTCATCCTTTTTTGCCACACTCTACCCAGGGGGTAAATGGGTACCCGATATGCTACATTATTTAGCCGCCAGAAGTAAGACCGGGGTAATAATGTTGGAGTTTCAGGAGCGATATGACGGACAATCATGTGCGCTATTATAAGAAGCCACTATTTATTATCATTATCATAAGAAGATAATTATGACTGATATGTATCTGAACTGTTGAGCTGTTTGACTTTGCAGGTTTTCCCAATACTGCTAACAGTAGAATCGTTCTTCAATGCCTCGCACGTGTTCGATGTAGCTAACGGTGGATTAGATTCAATAATACGGGGCATGTTGGTACAGCCAGTAGCCAAGGTAGATGGTTATATCGTCCGTGGATTAACTGCGCATCTCTTCGCAGATAAACCAGGAGGGTAAGATAACAACTATCATAATGGACGACGTGAATCCTAATCAAATGATTGGTTGAAAGCGCACACGTGACCAGGCATTTATTTTGCCAAACGCGTAGTTTGGATAATGACCGGTCATTATCCAATTCTAATGACCGGTCATTAGTAAAATCATTTTTTAAACATCATTTTATAATTGTATAATAAGAAATCATATCGTGGCCATTTAAAAGCTTAGTGCACTACTTATAGTATCCCTTTATAGAGGGACACTAACTACTTGTAGCTACTTGCGCCCTCTATATAAAAACAATGCCTAATCGGTGACCGTTGGTCCCCCATGATCCTCTTTTTCTTATGTTAATTTAGAGCTAAGTTGATGAGATAACCACCTGTCCAGGGATCTTGCAGGGCGGTCTAATCCCTCCTGTAAACTAGTACAGATAAGCTTATAGTGGCTGATTTGTAATATTTCATGGGAAATGATGGCATTATCATGTTATAATGGGTAGGAGAGGGAAAACAGACATTTAACAACCAATAGGTTGTTGTACATTCGAATTAATCGAACAACCAAGAGCAATTTTTCGAGTTTGAGACAAATGTGGGCATGTTAACATAATGGTGTCAAGCAGCAGTAGTTTAGTATAGTAGTAGTAACAATGACCCTATTCTTATTGTCGATATCATAATAATTATAATAAACTATGATAATATCGAATATCGCTAGTAACATTAGTTTGTCTCGCAATGTATGGTCACTAGCGATATTATTTTCGATACTATATCCGCAATGAGTAATGTATTTAGCATTAAGAGTGATAATAATCATTTGATAATATCGATAATAATGATTTTAATTAATTGTGTTATTATCATTGTTATTATATAAGTATTAATATTATTATTGTTTTATTATTATAATCATCATTATCATTATTGTTGTCAATATCATCATCATTATCATAAGAATGATATTTTGTTGTGCATCTCAGATTGGGTTTAGACCTCGGAGCTTTGAATGTCCAACGAGGCAGAGATCACGGTCTTCCAAGCTACAATACGTGGAGACAATGGTGTGGTCTTAGGAGAGCCAGAGACTTCAATGACCTAGCTAATGAGTTCGAGTCTGGGGCAATAGTCAAGTTCCAAAGAACATATCGGTAATTGTAAATACATTTTTGTTCTTCATTTAAAACAGCTAAACATGTTAAAAGGCAAGCGCAGTCATTCGTCTTTTTAATGACCCTTTTTATTTCGTATTGCCGGGGGGGGGGGGGGGGGGGGGGCTACTTGGAATGTACGGGGTTTATTTTTTTCCTATCGTTTTAACGTCATATTGTAATTGTGGTGTTTTAGAATAATGGTTAATATACAAACATTGACTGCTTTGAAGGACATGGTGAAAACTATTGCCAAATGTAATCTCGAAACTGTGATGTGTCCCTCGACTTCGTTTCGGGGCATAAGAGTCTCGAGATCACACATTCATACTGACAGCAAACCGACTACATACTGTAAAAAAAAAAACAATTACAGTATTCCCATTAGCCAAATATAGGCCGGTTTAGATTTGTGTTTGTCGGTCAGGTTCGGATATGGAGCTATGCATTGATTATATAGGAAAGACACAGAACACAATGGCCCGAATTAACTGTATAAAAGGAGGTTTGTCGACAAACCTAGGTTTATGTGCGTAATATGACGCATTTCGACGCGTTTCAAACCAAGGTTTGTAGGTTTGAAACCGTCGAAACGCGTCATTATGATGCACATGAACCTCGGTTTGTCGACAAACCTCCTTTGTGAATTCGGGACCATATTTTTAAAGCTGTCGAGCAATCATTGCATCTCAAGGAGGAGGGGGGGGGGGCATTCTTTACTATTCTCGTCTCCTGATCACTCTTTCTCTCATCTCCCCCCCCCCCTCTCTCTCTCTTCCCCCTCTCTCTCCCCTCTCTCTCTCTCTCTCTCTCTCCCCCCCCTCTCTCTCTCTCTCTCAATTAATAATACCTTCCATTGACTCACAAAATACGCAGTTTGAAAGCTGTCCCTTTTAAACGTAGTTCACTGTTTTAGGATCATTAATAGTCAATTTTTGTTTGTATCCCTTTCGTCAGACATGTAGATGACATCGATGTGTACGTCGGCAGCATCTCTGAGAGTCCTATGCGAGGAGCGTTAGTTGGACCTACCCTGGCATGTATCATAGGTAGACAATTTCAAAGACTCAAATTCGGCGATCGCTTTTGGTATGAGATTGCACAGGGAGAGCAAGCATTTACCTCAGGTAAGGTTTAGCTTTCGATCATTTCAAAATTTGACAATAACATGTAACGGCAGTAGTGGTTGAGGCTGATACAATAATATAACAACGTGTAATTCCTGTAGGTAAGTGATGTACTTAGATTTGAATATGATTGAATCGTTTCAGTCTATAATTTCACTAAATAATTTCACTTTCAATGTTTAGAAATGTTCAAAACTCGAGTGACTAAAGAGTAAATTGGACAAAGGGTAAAAAAAAAGCTGCCAGCATCTTGTGATTAGCAGTACGTGAACGAATATCGTTCTACGATTAACTATATTCTATTCATTATTCAGCAACAGGATTATATGAAAGAGTGAAGTTGGCTCGATTCATTTTTTACAGTTTATATACTTAAAGCAGCGCAAGGCCCAGTCCGGGCCCAGACCACAGGTCAGCTTTCCGAGAACTGTGAAGTGACTATATAGTCGGACTGATCTATAATTGTCTGTTTTCTATTCACAGATCGGCTGCACGAGATCTGTGAAGTGACTAAATAGCTGAACTGATCTATGATTGTCTGTTCTATTTACAGATCGGCTGCACAAGATCTAAAGAGTGATTATATAGCTGGACTGATTTATGATTGTCTGTTCTATTTACAGATCGGCTGCACAAGATCTAAAGAGTGATTATATAGCCGGACTGATCTATGATTGTCTGTTCTATTTACAGATCGGCTGCACAAGATCTAAAGAGTGATTATATAGCTGGACTGATCTATGATTGTCTGTTCTATTCACAGATCGGCTGCACAAGATCTAAAGAGTGATTATATAGCCGGACTGATCTATGATTCTCTGTTTTCTAGCACATATCAGCTGCACGAGATCTGTGAAGTGACTAAATAGCTGAACTGATCTATGATTGTCTGTTCTATTCACAGATCAGCTGCACAAGATCTAAAGACTGATTATATAGCTGAACTGATCTATGATTGTCTGTTCTATTCACAGATCAGCTGCACAAGATCTAAAGAGTGATTATATAGCTGAACTGATCTATGATTGTCTGTTCTATTCACAGATCAGCTGCATGAGATCTAACGAGTGATAGCTGAATAATCTATGATTGTCTGTATTGTCTGTTCTATTCACAGATCAGCTGCACGAGATCTAAAGAGTGATAGCCGAATAATCTATGATTGTCTGTATTGTCTGTTCTATTCACAGATCAGCTGCACGAGATCTGTGAAGTGACTAAATAGCTGAACTGATCTATGATTGTCTGTTCTATTCACAGATCGGCTGCACAAGATCTAAAGAGTGATTATATAGCTGAATAATCTATGATTGTATGTTCTATTTACAGATCAGCTGCATGAGATCTAAAGAGTGATTATATAGCTGAACAGATCTATGACTGTCTGTTCTATTCACAGATCAGCTGCACGAGATCTAAAGAGTGACTATTTAGCTGAATTGATCTATGATTGTCTGTTCTATGCACAGATCAGCTGCACGAGATCTGAAGAGTGATATAGCCGGACTGATCTATGAGTGTCTGTTCTATTCACAGATCAGCTGCACGAGATCTGAAGAGTGATTATATAGCCGGACTGATCTATGATTTTCTGTTCTATTCACAGATCAGTTGCAGGAGATACGTAAAGTGACCATGGCTCGAGTGATCTGTGACCATACGAATGGAATGAAGACTATTCAGTCTCTTGTGTTCAGAGATCCTACTCGGTCTCCAGGTGAACCAGGGTAAGTTGTAGTCTCTCTTCCCAGCCGATTTAGGACCCCATCCTTGATTTGCCAAACCTATCGTTCAGACTGTCACTACTCCGACCTTTACGCTGACCTCACCATATTAACGTCGACTAGCTCTTAACACGACCTTTACGCCGACCAAAATTGCCATCGTCTGAACAAGACTATATATCCACCTCTCAGATTAAAGCGCTTGTTGAACCATGCCCATGGACCTTCTACCTCGTAGGAGGTCCAGGGTTGGACCCTTTTGTCTGATACTAAATTTGTCATTGACGCAATTACTATAAGAGATACCGTCTACTGGATGATTTGGCAAGTGAACATTTTTCATGGTATCGCCGTAATGTTACCAAATTTAAAACATACTTCTTTGAAAAGTGCCTTGATACGAATCATTCCAATCAATTTTCCCAACCTAGCAAAAACTTATGTATGATATCATTCGCATTCTATTGCGATATGGTTATTGGTAACAGAATACTTATTTCGAAGCATTTCACAAAGACGTATACATTCATTTGATTACATTACGAAAATGACCACACGAGTTCTTACAGACACGTAAAGTAATGATTTCAACCAATGGCAACGGTCATAAATACCAACTAGGTGTAGGATCTGTACCCATTTCGATTCTAAATGGATTTTCATGACAATGAAGGGTTGAGATTGAAATCAAACGGAATGATGACAGAAAAGAACAATCAGTGTTTATAAACAATTATTTTTTATTTCAGAGCTGAACGGTCGTTCTTCCGTTACAATAGCCGTCATCAGTTTCCGGATAGTGATGGCAAATTGCCTGGTTTCGCTAATGTACGTGTACCATGTAGTGATGGGAATATCATACCAAGACTAAGTCTGGAACCCTGGAGGATCAATGCGACACCTAACCCGAGATCAACTAGTGCTGGTATGTATCCCGACCCCGCCCCCCTCCCCCACCCCGGATCCCGACACGGCACTAATATCCTTTGGCAAGATATTAACCTGCACGTACTACTCTCCACCCAGGTGTTAAATGGTTACCCGGTAAAATGCGACCGTCATTGTTGGTCAAACAGTTTTTGAGCGTCAGGTAACGCCTGGCTAGCTGGAATGCTCCACAGTGAGTGGAGATTGTGCACACAGTGTGTGCGGGCAAGCACTGAATCCAATGACCGGGCTAATAATATATCTGTAAAGCGCTTAGAGATAATTGTATTAAGCGCTATATGAAAGCGGAATATTGTTATTATTATTACTCGATTACATGTCCCAAAGCACCTTCTATTCGCATCGAATTCCAGACCTCTTTTCCCTTGTATGTACTTGGTCGTAATTCAATTGCCATGAATACGAACTTCCGACTTCTAAATTTGTATCATTTTCATATTTATTGATGTGTGGAAGGGACGTCGAAGCGTCTTTCAAAGAAAGGGATTACCAACAAAAAAGGGCACTTTCTTGAATAAAGGGGCATCTACAAAGGGTAACATCAAAGCGTTTAGTTTAGACATTGCCATAAATCCGTCCATTGAAGTTTATACATTATCAGAGATGCCTAGTCTTCGAGATTTTGTTTTTATGTGGTCCAAGAAACAGCTCCAGCACCAAACTTTGAAACTGTGTTTGTGTGATGGTCTGAAGATTCATTTGCCAGAGAGCGAGGTGGGCTAGCAAAATTAAAATGTTTGAGGTCGCTTTGCGATAGATTAGACCTTATTATTAAATTTGATAGCGTTAAAAACGAGAGCGGTAATATGTCTAAATAGAGCCAACTGCCTCTGCCCCGACTCCCCTGCTTTTTATTGTGGTGGTATAAATAAGATAGATGTTATATTACTACACACAAAGTTGCTCCGATTCTTTGACACTGGATATGGTTCTTTAGATGACCACAAAAGGGCACACTTTGTAAGAGACAGTGGGAAATGTAGGTAAAAGGGGGGGGGGGGGACTAATCAACATGTAATTATTAGAAAAGGGACACTGTCTTATCAAAAGTAATAAGGGGAACTTATCACAATTGAAAGGGTCACGTAGCAGAAGCGAAAAGGAGACATATATCTTTTTTTAAATGGGAAGTGACACTGAAGGCTGTTAGAAAGGGAAACGGGACCCTTATCAAAAGGGGAAAAGGCACTTATTAAATAGGAAAAGGGGCAAATGTTGAAGTAAAATGGGTCACTAAATAGATGTGAACAGGGGCACTTATAAGAAGGGGAAAGATGCACGTATTTCTCTTGTAAAAATAAAAAGAGCAACTATCAGATTTTAAAGTGGGCACATCTCGCGCCTGAAAAGGGACAGATGGAAAATGTAGTTGAAAGGGGGCAATTATAAAAATGCTGTAAAACTCATCATATTTGAAAGAGGCACGTTTATATAGCAAAAGCAAAAGGGGGCATTTATACCAAAAAAAGGGGAAGAGGGTTATTATTACAAAGGAAAAGAGCATGAAGTGCAATATATTGAAGTTTCCATTATCATTGTCAATTTGTTTCTTGAACTGATTTTTGATTTATTTTTTTTCCATATTGATGTATTTGTAACTTTTCTTTATATCTTTGAACTTTGTAATCTTTGTTTGTATCAGTCTCCCGATTGTTTTAAAATGGAATTTTGACTCAATAAACCGAAATGAATGAATGAATGATTGATTACCCTGTTTGATAGTTGTTCGATTTGTTATTCTTTCATACAGGAAAGCGCAGTGAATCTGAGTTTGGAGGGGTACTCATGACGGCCAAGAAACAACCCCCGTGGTGGTATCTGTTACCTGAATTTGAAACTCTTCCACCTCAAAAGAAAAAAGCTCTCAACCTTCAACAAAAAATACAACGCAGAGACCGAAGACGTCCAAAAGATAACAACTAAAACATTCAAGAATTTCTTAACCTGACATGATTGTTATGGTTGGTACTTAACACATCTGTTAAACAATTCTCTGTTGATGTCCCTGATATTTACCAAAGATACTTTAAATCACCCAACCCCCCCCCCCTACCAAAAAAATATCGTTCCCATTTTGTTTACAGAGACTTAGTAATATTCTCATGTCTTACGGACACAGCATAATTATGTGAATTTCTTTTTTTGGCATGAAAGTTTGGTCCTGCAGATCGAGCACATGGCTAAGAATTTACTAATAACTATTTAAGCAACCTCATTCAGTACATCACAGAAGTTAGTATATATACTCTCTATAAAACTGAATAGATAAGGTCCAATCATCAAAGATTTTAAGAAGATTGTTGTATATTTAATTTGATGCTTTGATCAGGTTTTTCGTGGAGTAATTAACCAAGCCTAATGGCTGCATTATGGACTATATATAAGCCTACAACGTGCAGTTAAACAAGGAGCATTCCGTACAAAATTCTATCCTTAAAAATCACTAATTTGCTGTGTTTTCGTTTTCAATTATCCGTTTTTAGATTTAATTTATGATAACCGAAGCTAAAGCGTGGTTCAATATTTTTGTCATGTCTATATAATTCTTTTTCTTTATTTTCCTTAATTTTGTACTTATTGCTACTTTTTCTAAAGTTTACAGTCTATGAGAAATTTGTTAGCAAATGAACTCTTACGATTTTTAATTGGTTGTGAAATTTTCAATTCTCCGTTTTTATTTTATTTATTTAATTGTTTACATAGTTCAGTGTTTCAAGAAGTAAACATGGAACAGAATATGGCTTTTGTTGTTATTCATAAAATGAAGGGAACAAAAACCTCATCCTCAAACAAGTCCGTTTTATTTTGTTTTATTTTAAAAATGAGAAAACGAGAAAGATTGAAGCATGTGTTTTGGTGGAAAGTTATAAAATGAATGAAAACGGCGAAATTTGGAAATGAGAGAGGGAAATAGGTTTAGATAAAGTGATGAGAATGGATGGTTTAAGTTGAAGAGATGAAGAGATGGAGAGATGGAGAGATTAGGGCAAATTGGATGATTGTTAAATGATTTTGATGAAATTTTGTGGATAAGAAGGAAGAGATGAGAGTGGGGTGAGAGGGGCTACCTGCTGGAGGTAACCCCGCTATTCATAAGGACCGCTATTCATAAAGTGGAACTTTCTTTACTTTTAATAAGGACCGCTTTTCATGAAACGGAAAGGGGGTCACTATTCATGAAGACATAAGGATCGCTATCGATAATGTGAGATGAAAGTTGCTATTCAAATACGAAATCGGGGTTGCTATTCATAAACCTGAGGAAGGGCGCTATCAATCTATAATGGGGGTCACTGCTCATGAGGACCGCTATTCATAATACGAGAAGAGGATGAATAGCGACCCTCTTCCTCGATTATGAATAGCGGTCCTTAAGAATAATGACCCTTTTCTCAAATTATGAATAGCGGTCCTTAGGAATAGCGGTCCCTGTAACCAATTAATAGCGGTCCTTATGAATAACGAGCGGACCCCAGCTGCACGGTAGGGCCGGGTGGGGGGGGGGGGGGGTCGACTGTCGAGGAACTTGTTCATACCGTTACCGTGACCTTTTGCGATCTATTGTCGGCCAAAAAGTGAAGAGTTTCCGAGTTTTGTGTACAAATCAGTATGAAAAACTGCATAGTTTGTATATTATTCTGATTATGATTTTTCTTCTTCTTTTAAATAATTATTTGTTCAGCTACACCCTCGGAAGAAATCATAAAACAATACAATACATGATTACATAACAGACGATGTTACTTTTTATACTTTTCTTTGTAAGGTCAATTACAGTAACAAAATCTTTTTCCAGCACCTTTTTTTAAATTGTTAATTAAAAGAGAAGTAAATATCACATTATGCAGAGAATTTGTCTAAAACCTAAGTCACACTAAAGTGTACGACCCATCGCCAGAGGCGGCGCTCCCGGGGGGCAGGTGGGGCACAGTGCCCTCCCACTTGTTCAAGTACCCGAAAAGTGCCCCCTTTTACTTTGACAAGTGCCCCTATTATTTTGTTAAAGTGCACCTTCCCCTTTCCACCTCTGATAAGTGCCCCTTTTATTTTAAAACTTACCCCTTTTCCTTCAACAAGTTCCCATTTTCCTTTGCAATAAGTGTCCATTTTCCTTTCTCATGAGTGCCCTTTTTAATCTCTAGTAAGGGCCATTTTTCAGGTACGAGAAGCGCCCCTTATCACTTTTGATAAGCGCCCCCTTCACCTCTGATAACTGTCCTATTCAAATCTGAAAGGTGCCCATTTTGACTTGACAAGTGCCCCCTTTCCTTTGTAAGAAGTGCCCCTTCCCCTTTTTAACTCGGATAAACGCACCTTATATTTGTACATGTGCTACCTTTCCTTTCTATTAAGTGCCCCTTTTCCTTATGATAAGTGCCCCCATTAAAAAAGCCCCTTCTCACAAATGCCCCCTTTCACCTATGAAAATAGTTCTTCATTCTCAAAGGTGCCCCTATTCATTTCTTGTGAATTACCCTATTCAATTCTGAGAGATACTCGTTTTACTTTGAAAAGTGCCCCTTTCCCTCATATAGTGCTCTTTTCATCTATAATAAATGCCACTTTTATTTTGACACGTCCCTCTTTTCCTTCCTAATAAAAGCGCTTTTTCCTTCTTATAAGTGCCCCTTTTTCTTTCTAATAAGGAACCTATCCCTTTTTCATAAATGCCCCTTTTCCCTTCTTATAAAAGACCCTATCAAAATCTAATGAGTGCCTCTTTTCCGTCGACAAATGCCCATTTCCCATTCTCAAAAGTGCCTCTTTGTTTAAGTGTAAGAAGTGCTCCATTTTCACCTCTGGTAATTAGCCTTTGTACTTTGACACGTGCTGCTTTTCTTTTCTAATAATCGTCTTATCCCTTTTCTTCTCAGCATTAAACGTGCCCCTAATTTCAAGCGACTAACAGCAATTTCCCCCAAAGCTCGCTCGCTACGCTCGCTCGCATTTATAGGTGTTAAAATTATGTTACTTATCAAAGGTCTTTTCAGTCTTCCGTTATGAGAATGTGCTAATAATCCCATCAGGATTGGGTTTTTCCTCTTTATATAAGATTTAATTTTTCGCGCTGCGACCTCACAAATCTTAAAATTTTTCCTCGCTCGCTTTCCTTGCTCGCAAATGAATTTTCAGGCCATCGCACCCAACTACAAATGCTTAACCAATATCTTATATGATGTGTAAAGAGAAACAAATATTAAAATCATCCCTGATAATGTAATCACAATATAGGGGTATATACCAATGTCTAAAAACTTGTATATTTTTAGGTTTGAGATTTCCCTTTGAAGGTGCCCTTTTTTCTCCAGAAAGTGCCCCTTTTTGTTGGTGCCCCTTTGGAAGTCGCTCCGCCGCCTCTGCCCATCGCCGATATCTCAAGACCACCTGACCACTGGTCGGGAGTTAGTTGTCAGAGGTCGCCCCGGCCCCCCACTCGATCAGTGTTATTTAGGGTACGCATATGCTTGTTCCCTCTTTTTGAAAGCACCCCCTATCTGAGGACTGCCAACATTTCCGAACCCCCCTTTCGCGGGCTTTTCGCGAGCTTTTCCTGCCTTGTAGCCCCCCCCCCTAAATCATGAAAAATGCTCAATTTTTGCCGACCAAGCTGATCGCGGATTTTTTTTTCCAAGGGTATAGACGACCATTTAAAGAACGACTGGCGGTTTTAGTTCTTTGACGACTCTTTAGAGACGATATTTTGGTTGAGAAAAGAACGGAACTAGCTGAGATCGACAAACTATACCGGTATACGATTTCTTGATAGCAAGAGAGAATTGGGTGGACGCGGGGCAACTAAAGAATGACCTTAAAAATCGAAATGATCTCTTATAATACTCGACATAATCTATTCTTAACCAATTTAGATTTATTTTAAATTCTCCTAAATGTGAACAAATCAACATTCGTAGAATAAGGCCCTGTTATGTGTAAGACGTATACGTTGTATAGCGTACACGCCCTTTTGTGAAACTAGAACTTGTCTGATGACCTTGTTGAGGGATTCCTCGAAATTTGTCACCGTGACGTCATTGCTCGAAAGTTCTTTCGCTGCTCGAATTTCAATTCATATTTTACCGTACCCTTATCGCAGTATACCACGATATTATGAGTAGCAGCAAAGGGAACTTCCCACACGTTTAGTTCTGTCATATGTGATGTGTGTGAGATTCGCGTTCATACCTTTCAGCATTGATTCCTGGTCTTTTTCCCAGACCGTGAATTTAATTGATTGTTCTTCATTGTTTCCGTGGGCTAGGCTAGGCGGGGGAAGGGGTAGGGGGAGGGGCGATGCGTATATAAACCACATAAAACAACAATAATAAATAATAATATTCCGTGTTTATATAGCTTAATACATCGATCCGACGATGTGCCTAAGCGCTTTACATAAGCATACAGACAAAAATAAAACACTAAGTTATTTAGAAAAAAACATTTTTTTGAAAAATAATATTTTGGAGAACCCATCATGGACTAGACCAAAGGGTAGACCCCCCCCCCCCCTCGATATTTTTAAATATTATGATTTGCTAGCAAAAGAGGGGTGGGGTAGTCTTTGGTATGGGTGTATCGTGACCCCGCTTCAAAATTCAAATCAAGAATCACAGTTGTCGACATAATTATTTATATATGGCCTATAATTATGTGGGTCTATATTGTTGTGAACCATGTTGGAATGGATTTCCCTGGTTGAAGACACTAGCCCCCATCAAAACAAGAAAATTTAACCTTTTTTTTAAATAAAAAAGAAGCCGGACTCCCTCCCCTGGCGCAATGTGGGGGGGGGGGGCAGGGGTTGGGTGTTGATTAAAAAAATAGTGCTAACCACAACCACCCCACACCCCCGTGTTGAACAAGAAAACAAATGATGCTCCTTACACCCCCTACCCCCTACCCCCTACCCCTCACCCCTACTCATCACCCACCCCCCCCCCCCCCCCCACCCCCTCCCCGCTTATATCTGCCGGTTGGCTGTTTCGGCGCTGTTTCTCTTCATTTAAGTGTAAACTTAAGGTTTATCTTCTCGATAAATACTGTGACTCATAGAGTAGTTCATTTTTGTAGTTATTATAGTGCCAAGATATATTATGTATTACTATAAATGTAAATTTTCTTCTTGATATTAATATGTGTCTAACTGAATATTTTCAGATTGTCAACCTCTTATTCCCTCCCCCTGTTGTCTTGTGCCCGTTGTGTGCTGTGCCTATTGTCGATGTGCTGTATTCTTCTATTATTTCTCATATTTTCTCTTTTCTCCCGTCTTGTCTAGTCTAGTCTCTCTTGTTGTTGTTGTTGTTGTTGTTGTGTGTGTGTACACTTCTTGTTTTGTTATACCCCCTTTTCCCTATTGTATTCTTAGGTAGTCACAAATATCTATTCATCATGTTTTATCCGGCTCAGAGGGGACCCTAATAATTACAAGCTCTGCTTTTACCAGGGTCTCCTCGTCTTTCTTTTAGTTAGCTATGTTTTTTATCATTATCATAATTTGTTATTTTGCTTTGTAAATGTGTTATGATCCAGTGTTATGCTCTGTATGACATTTGAAAGAAAGACGAATAAAATCTTATCTTATCTTATCTTATCTAAATAATTTTCTCACGAATGTGGAAGAAAAAAACTCCTGTTTTATATTGGCATGCTTCGAAAAGACTACGCATAACTCGCTTACAGGGTGTGATGCCGGTATGGTCTTTTGCATGTGATAAACATTATACTGAACTGCACTGTGGAATACTAAGACAACCGGCACAATGCCTTCGTTTATAGGCCTTTTAAAGGAATTGTAAGTTGTTGTTTTTAAATCTATTGTGGTAAAATGATTAATGAGATTTAAGGAAATAAAACGTATATTTCTCACACATTCGGTTAAAATGGATTAGTCAGTGTATTTATTGAATTGAAATGAAATTGCCAATGCATTGATCGGCCATTGCCATCGGCACCATGCACCATTCAATCCATGGCATTCGCATTATTGCATTGCCAATGGCAATGGCAATGCCATGACCATATGATGATGACCATGCATTGCCTCGGCCAGATCCAGACCCCTGGGTGAGGGCCGATTTAGACAAAACATAAAAATCAAAAAATTAAATGAATGTGATCATATTTCGTTTTCCAGCAGTGCCAGTGGCTCGCGTAGAAATTTCCGCACTGACTGAGCTGAGCGCCGCGCTGTAGGCCTTGAATCTACATGTAGATCTACAGTGAGTTTATGCACTCCCATTGCCGCCATTGGACGATCCACTCGAGCTGTTTTCCAAATTTAAGTGAGAGAGGGCCCACTTAAACGTAACCCTTGACTATGAGTCTATGAACAGCTACAGGGCCGCTTGTCCGAGAATGATCAGGATCGTTCGCATAAAACGAAGGATATCCTCGTAAACGCGGACAAATCGCGTCCTAAATAATAAGGATCGCGATCATGCGGACATTTCTTTCTTCGGCGCTCTGCGGGCGTAGGGTTCCCGTGCTGGCAATGCAAAAAATGGATTCCGCGTAATAAACAACCCCACCCCCCCCCCCCCAGTTTATTGTCTACTTTTATGGGTCGTCCTTCTTCCCAAGGATTTATCGTTTATAACATGAAAGTCTTTGTGCTGCGTAAGTGAGAAATGCATCATAGAGCATCATAGCGGAATCCATTTTTTGCAACGCTAACGCTTGAATCGGAAATAGATCTACATGTAAGGATCGTACTGATGAATAGGGTGTATGAAGAATTTTTTTATAGGGTTTTACTTTTACTCTTTACATGTAGGCCTACAAAGCTATCCTTGTAAGAGACAAAAATTAGTGGATAACAATTCACTACCAGTAATTCTCTTTCTAGTTCTACCTTACTTTCCATTGTGCAGTCAGAATTATTTGTAAATTGAATGTCTTCACTGTTTTCTCCTTCTCTCTGTTGTCATACAGCCGGATTCTTCTTCCTATGACAGTAGAAGAGGTAAGTTGACGCTTTCTTATTCCCCTTTCCTTCGTTCTGATTGTTTTGTTTTTAGGCATACGGACACTATCCCAACAAAAGTACACCTTAAACAAAAAGAATTGCCCTATGCAACGTTGTATAAAGTTGGAATGTTTAACATGTTTATTGTTATGGTGATTTTTTTATTTTTTTTGGGGGGGGGGGGAGGGGGCAGGGAGGAGGAGGAGGAGGAAGAGGGAGCGGGAGCAAGTGTAAAATTGATTGAAAGAGAGCACCAACAGTATCACAGTGAACTTTCCATGGTTAAAATGATGTCTTCAGAGAATATCTTATGACAGAACCAGCAGTGAAAAAAATACACAGGGACTCGGGGCGAATTCGCCCCCGAACTGCTAAAAAGAGCCCCCGAAAGTCATAAAAGAGCCCAGAAAAAATTGCATAGAGTTTAATGCATAACAAATTAAAGAGTGTTATTTTCATGCAATCAAGCTTGAAAAGTAGCCCCCAAAATATTTAAAATATTTTTTTTCCCCTGAGAACCAGACCCCCATGGTCTGATATTGGTGCCAGCTTTATTCTGGCAACTTCTGCCACATTACTAATGCCAAACTGTAGCACCTTTAATAGCTGTTCCTTTGCATCCATAAGGTGCTTAATATGGAGAGCCTGAGTCAAAGATACTGAGTGTACATCATACATGTACATTGTAGGTAATTTGACTAATGCCCAAACAACATGATGTGTATTGTTTGTGTTATAAGATAATGTTTTATTTATACAGTAGGCTTGCGGGTGCACCATGTGAGAGAGAGGGAGGACCCTCTAGGACCCCTCAATCCTCCCTCTCTCTCTCTCACATGGTGCACCTGCAGGCCTACTGTATATCTACATGTACATCACCACGCAAGCCGATACTTTAATACAACTATACAAGCAGGATGTTTTATTTGTTTTTATAACAAATTATGTTTTATTACATGATTTTACTAATGACCAGTCATTAGTAAAATTATGTGTGAGGCAGAATAAATGCCTGGTCACGTGTACGCTCTCAACCAATCATTTGATTAGGATCCGCTTCATCATCTTATATAACAAGGCCTAAGGATGGAATGATATGTCGTACTCAAAGTGACTCGGTCTTAAAGGATAGATCTCATATCATTTTGATTCCATTTAGTGTATAAGACAGTAAAGGTTTGTTAATCATTCATCATTGTTCAAATTAAAGTGAGGACCCATCTCAGCTTTTTACGATTGTGTCTGAGAAAGACATGGCCGTTATCTAACAAAGATAGTGAAGTTTTTTAAAAGAATAGTCAGTATCTCCGTCCTAGGGTAAAGGTTACATGTACATGTAGGTGTATACTGTACATCCCTCCTCTATTGTACAAGCTTCTCTCATCACTGATACTGTGTTTTATGAAGAAGAAAATAAATCTTATCTAATTTGTCATTGTCACATTATATGTGTAGTAGTTAAGTTTAATTCAAACTGTACAAGTAGTGTTCTGAGTTTAGCAACCCATTTTCAGCATCTTATGCCATTTTTGATAAATTCTTTCAAACTGTTGAATTGACCTTTTTAAAGTGGTTGTTTCTAACTTTCTATAATGAGAGAACTTGGAGTTTTTAATTTCTTGTAGATTTACACTGTACTGTGTAGTCTGTGCTCATTGTATCCCTACATTTATAACATGTACAGGTGAACTAGTACATGTACGGTATGCATTTTATTCCATTGTATCAATAAACAACATTTATTTCAATTTTCATTAAATTGCTATTTGAAAGCATTTGATTTTCAGGATACACATGTACATGTACATGTATGTAGATGTTGTCTACTGAACCACAAGAGTACCATGTGGCATGACATGCATCCCCATCGCAGTATTGAGATAAGATAACAATCTAATTTGAATACAAAAGAGATTGACTATTAAAGATTAGGTCTACATGTACATGATTAGATTACAGCTGACACATGTACATGTATGAAGCAATATATACAGAACAATAAATAAACTTTTATGGCTTTTTCCCCCCAAATAAGTATGTTATAGAAAAAATATCTAATGAATGAAATGCAGTGAGAACAAAAAATGTCTTTTAGGGCATTGGTTCACTATGCTTCAGCTTCTATTAAAATGAACACACATTTCAATGGAATCTGGGCAAAGATCAGGGGCGGATCTAGCTTTTTGCTAAGGGGGGGGGGGTTGACCAAAATAATGACGATGCAAAGCATCGTCCACGAGCCGCCGATTTTTTTTGGGGTGTTTATTTGAACCCCGTAAGTGATGTTTTCCTGGCATCTATTAACACAATGGAGACCATAAAAAGCAGTGCATGATAACGTCTTTTTAAATCAAGTAACAGTTAAATACACAGTTATATCCAGAGTTATCATGTGTTTGGTTAAGTTACCAGATGAGTTGAATATCTTCTCACAATATTTGCACTTGAAAGGGTTTCTCTCCAGCGTGCGTTCTTTTTTCTTTTTTTTCTTCTTTTTTTTTTTTTTTTTTTTTTTTTTTTTTTTTTTTTTTGGGCCGCCCAAGGGGGGGGGTTTAAACCCCCTAAACCCCCCCTGTAGATCCGCGCCTGAAGATGTACACTGTAGTTACACTGTATGACAGTTTTGTGAGACGATGCCCAGTTGTCTAAAATAAACACCAGCATGTTCAGGTCTTTTCTTTTTTTCTCCAAAGGTAAATGTAGTAAGGTACAAGATGTAGACAGCTGACTGTTTAATGCACCATTTCAACTGTGCATGAATGATTTACATGTTGACTCATTGCAATTGAGCACTCCCTCAACCCTCCCTCATTCCTCAGGTATAAATAGAACACACAGTCACACCTTCTTAACAAATACATACATATGGTTCCAGGACACCTACAAGGTACATGTACACTGTACCCCCTGGACAACCACCCTCCAGATAAACCCCCCCCCCCCTAGGATAACTACCCCCTAGGACAACCACCTCTAGGATGACTACATGTACCCCCAGAAAACCTCCCTCTAGGACAACTACCCCCTAGGCCTACTACCCTCTAGGACAACCACCCTCTAGGACAACTACCCCCTGATTGATAATTACTCTAAGGGGTTATTCTCCGGGGGACGGGGGTAGTTGGGTGGTACATTTTGTAGTTACTGTAGATGGTAAATATCAAGAGATGCGTCTTCATCATCTCGAGATTGCAAAATAGCCCGCTATTTCTGATTTGGGAAATCATCCCGAAGTTACAAATCACCTCTTCATCAGCTCGAGATTTGACCTCAAAACTTGAAACTCGACCTTGAGAATTAGCTCAAGATATTTTGCTAAGCGTTCGCGCGTAGTGCGAGTCTTCGGTCTGGTGAAGACGCACCGGACAAATATTATTTTGCCAAATAGTGGGATATTGTGCCAAACAGTGGGATATTTTGCAAACTATCCCAAGATATCTTGGAAAGACAATCCCGACCCAAATATCCCGCTAATTGCAACTTCGGGCTAATGAAGAGGCAAATTAGCTGGATAGTTTGCGATCGGGATAGTTTAAATAGCTGGATATTTGTCAATCTCAAGCTAGTGATGACAGGCCTAAGGAGTTGTGTCCTAGAGGGATGTTTGCCCTGGGGGTAGTTGTCTGGGGGTAGTTGTCCTAGAGGATAGGTGTCCTAGGGGGTAGTTGTCCTCGGGGGCAGTTATCTGGGGGGGGGGGGTAGTTGTGTAGGGGGTAGGTGTCGGTGTAGTCCTAGACTCCTAGAGAATGATCGCCCTAGTGAGTGGTTGCCCTAGTGAGTGGTTGCCCTAGAGAGTGGTTACCCTAGGGGTAGTTGTCCTAGGGGGTAGTTTTCTGTGGGGTAGTTGTCCTAGGGGGTACAGTATGTCTCCTACATGTAGGTATAGTCCTCCTAAAGGGTGGTTGCCCTAGGGGGTAGTTGTCCGGGGGTGGTTGTCCTAGGGAGTAGTTGTCTGGGGGTGGTTGTCCTAGGGAGTAGTTGTCCGGGGGTGGTTGTCTGGGGGCAGTTGAACTAGAGGGTGGTTGTTCTAGGGGTAGTTGTCTGGGGGGTAGTTGTCCTAAAGGGGGTTGCCCTAGGGGGTAATTGTCTTAGAGGGTGGTTATCCAAGATGTGGTTCCGGGTCACATACATGTACATACATGTACATATGATACATTACATTATCAGATTACATGTACCGGCCATGTTGTCATGTACATTGTATCTCTATTTGTAGGGAAATGGGAAGAGTCACAGTAATATGGAAATTATGCCATCTGATTTGTCATCCGATTTGTAATCTTTCATAACATTTTGTGTGCTGTATTTCCACGGTGTGTAGGCAGCAAAGCAGGAATTCGAGAATCAGAAGGAAATCAAGTACAAGTCATTTACATGTACTCTAGGTCATGACAAGGGCCCAGGCTATCTTGTTAGAGTTGTGATGTACACATACTGTACATGTACATGTATACATGAGTAGATTGAAAATTTCTTGTCAATTGCAAATTGGCTCCTTCATTTTTCTCTTACACGAAGAATTAAATGTACATGTCGAGTTGAAAGTTATATAAAGCTCGAATATATTATAAAGCTAAAGTGCCTGATTCTAAGCAATCGTAGATATATTAGACAGGAATCATGAATTGTTTGTCACATCTTTGTTCTTATCATACGTACATACCTGGTACTGAAGACAATCATGTGTACTAGAGGATTCACTGTAATGCATTATATGCATCCTACATGTACTTACAGTACTATCAATGCTCAAGACACACCGCATCACATAGCATACTTCATCCATGAAATCTTTGAACGCTCATAATTAGATTCTTAAAACTGTATTGTGTACTGCATCAAGCGAGTAGTACATATTTGCAATGATTCATTACATTGTAATGGCCCGGCAAATTTTGAAAACGTTGTGTACAGACCATGTTGAGAATTAGCTTTGTCAGTCTACAAACTCTACATGTAGTTCTTTAAAGGAGCATACACATTTGGAGTGCTAACAACTCAGTTAAAACACAGTGTACATTTACATGTAGGAAGTCAGATAATATACACAGTGACAATGTCATAGAAGGCTTTTGATATGTCTCCTCTAGATATGATATCATGTGAGATATTTATACCACTACATGTTTGTACATGTAATTGTATTCTTATTCAAAATCTAGATTGCTTTTTTTCAATTTAATTTGTTTACAATGTACTGTATTCAATTCCACCAAATACATACATGTACATGTACACTGTGTGTACTCTAAATACCTGAAATACATACTGTACATGATACAGTATAATACAGTACAAATAATTAAAAAAAGTGTTATAGGAATTTGGATGGCCATAAAAAAACAATTGGGGGTTCTGTCGAGACGGCCAACTGAACAAGGCATAATGAATAATGATCTTTTTAATGACTAAATATACTTACATGTATCTGAATGAAAACTTGTAGAAAGGTTTTTTTTTCTTCTTTTTTTTCACTCTAATGGGGCGCTGCAGGAAAGTTGCAATCAATTGCAAATCCCCCAAATCAAGCGTAAGTCTTGCAATTAATTGTAAATTTGCAATTGATCGCAACTTTCTTGCAATGCCCCATTAGAAAGAGAGAGAGAGAGAGAGAGAGAGGGAGAGAATAAAAGCTAGAACTACCGGTAGTTAATTTAATTAAATTGATAAAACTTTAATTCTTACAAAATCCTAGGAAATTTAGGAGACTATAGCAAGAAAGTTGAGTTGCAATCGATTGCAAATATCAGTTGCAAAATTTGCAACTTGCAGTCGATCGCAACTTTCTTGCAACACCCCATTTGTATTGTATAGATCTCCCATGTTATGCAGTGAGTTTATACATACTACACCTGTACATGTACCAGGGGGGAAATATGGGGGGGGGGGGGGGGGGGGCTCGAGTGAATTTGCACCCAAAGAGCCCCCAAAAGTCATAAAAGAGCCCCCCAAAATGTGCATAAAGTTCAATGCAAAACAAATTAAAGAGTGTTATCTTCATGCAAGCAAGCTCCAAAAGTAGCCCCCAATTTTTTTAAAATATTTTATCCCTGACATGTATGTACATGTACTGTATATGTCCAGTAAGTAATCTGCATGTGAAGACCTGTTATATGGCAGATGGTTCCAATGTATGTTAGCCAAAGCAGGCAACACCCTGATGATAAATATTGATTAAAATTGTTTTGAACAATCTGTGTACGGTAGGTGCTTACAATTAGCAATCAATTCAACTTTAAAGGTAGAGCTCAGCATCTACTGTATGATGTGTCATTCAACTGTGCTCCTATTGTACATGTACATGTACATGTATACTACACTGTACATTTATGTCCTGATGATAATTGTGAAGAATACACGTAAATGTATGGTTGCAATGAATCTTCTATGAAAATTTCTTTTAAAGGTTAAATATTGTGGGGTGGTTGTCATGTCAATATAGTTTTTTTCTGTGCAAGCAAAATTGAAAACAGATAAACTAATAGTGATAAAACTGATAAGGCTAAAGACACTTACTTCAAAACCCTGGGGGGGGGGGGGGGGGGGGGGGGGAGCGATATTCCTCCATAAGAAAGATTACACTGTTCATGTACATAAAAGATCCTACAAGCATGGCTTCACAGTATTTCACTAACAGGTGATTGGCACTCATGGGCTCCTAAATTTTATTTTTAGACCCCCTAACTTTTAGACTTTAAACAGGGGTCATACAGTATGTACATGTATGTTGTAGACCCCCTGAGGATGTGGAGTAGTGCCAAGCCAAAGGAACTATTATTACTGTTCCGATACATTTCAAAATTGGTCCTCTGTATAAACCCTTCAAAAAAAGTTTGTAAACTCAACTTTGATGTACAGTACATCATATGTATCTCTTGTCATGGCATAATCATCACTTCGTTGAGTATCATTTAGAAGGTGTGCTTATTCCTCTTTAAATAAATTCCATATTTGGTATGGTTTTGCAGTCATGGAATGAACAGTATACAATGTATAGGAATAACGGACATAGTCGAGAGTGACAAATTCCATTTTGCACTGGTATTGTTTAATATTCATGTACAGAGCAGTCTTCTTTCTTTGTCATACAGTAAGAGAGTATGGTTTGGACTGTGGGGCTTTTACTCCTAATTGTTCATCCATGAATGCAAACTCCTTAGCAATATAAAAATGAAAATTCATGCACTATGGTACGAGTATGGTTACACTTACACGTCATGCAAGATTCACTACTGCTTGGTCTTCAACTTTCTGAAGCATCATGCCATAGTGCCGTGGCAGGGCTTCTAACCCTGTACTCTTTGGTTCACACTGTGACTCGACCAGAACTCCTCATGTTCTCTTCCATTAGGGTGCGTTCAAGCAATTTTTTGAAGCTAGAATTACAAATATGAATCACACATCAAAACGATTTAAAAAACACTGTTACTGCAGGAGAGTGTTCAAGCAAATTTTCATTCACGCTGATTCTCGCTCATTTCAAGCCCAACACTGCTCATCACACTGCGCAGTTTGACTGAGGAAGTATAGGTCAACTTCGCTGCGTGCTTACTGAATTTGTTTATGGTCGACTGTCAGCCAAACCAGAAGCAGGCCACATAATGAAGTTATAGAATCGTGTTTGAGATCTCCGTTGCGTTCAAGCAATTTTTAGCAACTGTGATTCTACACAATTTTACAAAACACATCTTTTTTAGCGTTTCATGTATTGTTTGCGTTTTGAAACACGTTTATTTTTACAATAAAAAATAAAAAATTGCTTGATATCGCTTGAATGCAACCGTGTTTTAAACTAAACAATAAACATCTTTGAAAACCATGTTTCTAGGGTGAAAAATTGTCGCTTGAACGCATCCTTAGAATAGTTGACCACAACTCCTCACATACTTTTCCATCAAGTTTAGACTAACTTTGAATGTTGTTTGTTCTCTGCCCACAGTACCAGATTGGTCAGCTCTACTCGGTGGCAGAGGCTAGTAAAGAAGTAACAGGTGGAGGAGATGGCGTGGAGGTAGTGGTAAATGAACCTTATAAAAGAAAAGTTACCAATTCTAATGGCGAGGAAGTAGAGGAGTGCGGACAGTTAACAAACAAGATATACCATCTTGAAAAGTAAGTAACTGCCACTACGCATAAGGCCATTAAAAAAAATATACATGTTTAGCTTCTCCGCCCGCTTCCTTTTTGGGGACCGCCTCCTATTTTTTTTTTTTTTTTTTTTTTTTTTTAAAGAGAAGAAAAACACTGCTAAAATTGATCTGATTTGTTTTTTTTAATGTTGGCGGCCATCTTGAAAAATAGCCCGACTGTCAGAGAAAATGTACCGAGCGGCCATTTTGAAGAAAAAAAAGGGCCTCCTCCTTCCTATTTTTCAAAAAAGCAGGACGTTAAACATGTTTTTTTTAAAATTTGGCCTACATGTGTAAGTCTACAATATTAATATGCGGCCAATATCCTACGTAAGATATACTTATTGAAGTCCTGATTTCAACCCCAGATAAAACGCTATACCTGAAAATGTCCTATCCCTAACCTTTAACCTGACCTTTAACCTGACCTGAAACCCAATTGCAGCTTGAAATCTGGAGCTGTTATCTTTAACAAAGTAATCCTTAATAGTATAGACAAGTTTTTGAAACACCCCCTCTCAAAAAATTGAAATGGAAGCTCTTATTACCAATCATGTGGAAGAATATGTTTTGACTAATACCTGATGATACAAAATTTGCCAGGGAAACTCTTTACCTTTAAGCAATTGTCCCCAGAGCAATGTCAGGGGAATCAACAAAGTATGCAAGAAGGAATTTATTGAAGCACATCATTAGATCAGTTGTTAGTGATATCACTGAGAGGAAGAAGATTTTTTTTTTTAAAGCGGGAGAAGACAATTATCAGTAATTGTACCCACTACATGTAATGTTATTTTTTTATTTAATATCATGAAGTAGTAGATACAAGTAATCTTTGGTTCGCTGTACATTTGAGCGACACAAAGACGTAACTCCATAGAGTACCGAAGCTGTGACGTCATAAAAATCTATTTTTAGAATTTCTCAATATTTTCTTCATATTCCGAAAGAACATCAAAAATAATGTCCAAATGTCGAAAACCAATTGAAGATGTTAAGTATTGGCTGAGATATGACCATCTGAATAAATATACTCCCCATAGGAACTCAGTGTTATATGCCCTGGCTCCTAATGGTTAGGAGCCAGAGCATATAACACTGAGTTCCCATAGGACATATATTCATTCAGATGGTCATATCTCAGCCAATACTTAACATATTCAATTGGTTTTCAGCATTTGGACATTATTTTTGATGTTCTTTCGAAATATGATGAAAAAATTGAGAAATTCTAAAAATAGATTTTTGATGACGTCACACTTCACCACTCTATTGTGGCCATTTTGAGAAAAAGTGGATTATGTGTCACTGAGCACTTGGGCCTTAAGGAGTTACATTTGTAAGTCTATGTTTCACTAGCCATTGACTTCAATGGGGTGTTGGGTGGAGTTAAGTCTTTGTGTTTCCTGGAAACCCTACATTTTTCGGAACATTTTGATCAAATACTCATTTTGGCAAAATATGGAGTTGCGTCTTTGTGTCACTGAACCCTCGTATTGTCATTTAATGTAATGTTGTACTACCCTTTGACACTTGTTATGTACATGAAAACTTGGGTATTGTCCCTTTGAGTGATGACACCATCAGATGTTGATATATCTGTACATGTATGTTTTTTCTTATGACACTTTATGCTTGGACTAGCTGTTAATAGAAAGGGGAAATGCTCACTTTTTTATTCAGAGTATATAGTGCCTTATGTTGATTTAACAAGCTATGATGGCAAAATCTTGTTTTGTGTTTGCAGAAAAGTGCCAGGATTTATAAGGACTATAGCCCCAACAGGGTCTCTCACAGTGGAAGAACAGGCACACAATGCATATCCATATTGCTGTACTATCATAACGGTAAGTACAGTACATTGGCCCCAATTCACAAAGGAGGTTTAATTTTAACCCATGGTTTAAATCTTCAATTGCATAACCCACGGCCTAAAATTAGCCCAAAATAAGCGTGGCACAGTCAGAGGTCCAATATTAGACGTGTGCGTGGCAAGGTATGCTTTTTTTTTTGCTAAGTTTTAAACCATGGGTTATAATAATAATAATAGCTCACATTTATAATGCGCCTAATACTTTGTTTCTAGGCACGTAACATATTATTAACCCGGTCATCGGATTCAGGCTTACCCGCACACAAGGTATGCACATTCTCCACTCCCTGGGGAGCGTTCCAGCCAGTCGCCATTTTACAAGCGCCATTGCTAATCAAACCACATTAGCTTTCGCATCCTACCGGGTACCCATTTTAACACCTGGGTGGAGAGTGGCAAATGTAGATCAATGTCTTACCAAAGGACATTAGTGCCGCGGCTGGACTTGAACCGCGGACCTTGTGATCCACAGTCCGGTGACATATCCACTCGACCATGACGCTACGTTATGTAAATGATGGTTGAAACATGGGTTAAGTTAAACCTCCTTTGTGAATTCAGGCCATTTAGTTTATAATGAACTGTAGGGGTGGAACTAATATTTGATATATTCAAACTATTTGAATAGCTTTTGTCCTGACTGATCGTCTTTTTGGATGTCAAGAATGAAAGTAAGAATGACCTCAAACCCTTGAATATTTTACCATTGCAAACTATTAAGTATTGTTTAACCTATTAAGTAATACCACCTTACGACAATGCTTCACTAATACACTGTATCTGGAAATTGTCTTTTTGACACTCTCGTTGCTTTGGTAATCGTTTTGATCTCACCAAAAACAAAAACATAAAGAGTAGTCTTGTGTAAGTGTTTAATAAAACTCTTTTCCATTATAATCTCTTCCTTTCTTTCCCTTAAACTTCTTCCTCAATTCCTTTAAAAGCCCCATAAGAGATTGTTTTAGTTTTAATGGAAGAATATATCAAGAGCCTCTTGAGTAAGGCTACCACATGACGTCACCAAAAGCCTCAAATTGTGAATACTGAATACTCACAATGGAAACCTACAGAGAGCATGTAATAATGATGATGATGTTGATGATAATGATGATGATGTTGATGATAATGATGATGATAATGATGATGATAATGATGATGATAATGATGATGATGTTATTGATGATGATGATGATGATGTTGATGATAATGATGATGTTGATGGTAATGTTGATGATAATGATGATGTTGAGGTTAATGATGATGTTGATGATGTTGATGTTGATGATAATGATGATGATGTTGATGATAATGATGTTGATAATAATGATGATGATGTTGATGATAATGATGATGATGTTGATGATAATGATGATGTTGATGATAATGATGATGATGTTGATGATAATGATGATGATGTTGATGATAATGATGATAATGATGATAATGATGATGATGATAATGATGATGATGTTGATGATAATGATGATGATGTTGATGATAATGATGATGATGTTGATGATGATGATGATGTTGATGATGATGTTGATGATGATGAAGATGTTGATGATAATGATGATGATGTTGATGATAATGATGATGATGTTGATAATGATGGTGATTTTGATAATGACGATGATGTTGATGATGATGATGATGATGATGATGTTGATGATGATGATGTTGATGATAATGATGATGATGTTGATGATAATGATGATGTTGATAATGATGATGATGTTGATGATAATGATACGTCTTGTTCACCCAGAGTACCCACATGAATATTAACATTGCTCTCCCTTGATCATACATGTATTGTTACCTGGGCATGGGTGTCGATCTGTCATTGATACCTATTGTTCAGGGGGGATGATCTATTCATTCATCCCCCCTGATGAATAGGTATTACGTAAGGATCGACACCCATGTACCTGGGCTTTAGCCAAGCTACCGATTACTGGTTGTGTATAATTGTTCTATTGTTCATCTCTCAGAATAAGGGTTACATGAAGGAAGGATTTGAACTGAGCATCAAGACATGGCACAAGCAGGATGATGGCAGTCTACATAATGTAAGATCCTCTGGCTCCGCCTTCCATTTTGTAAAAATCTGATTCGTCTAGAGTATAGTTTACTGTATTATGGGAAGGGGAAAGAGATATTGGACACCCTTACATTTGTTATCACTTTATAATATATTGCTTAATAGCATGGAATCGATGAATACTGCAAAAACAAACTTTAAAGGGGGTGTACATGTAGCATGGCAGATACTGTTGTAAACGCCATCTACGAAACAGATCAAAGTTCTCCTCATGCTTCTGTTTCGCGTATATTGCACGTACATGAATACTGCAGTCCGTATTCGTATTATACCCAATCGGCCCTCGAGTCGAGCCACAGGAAAGACATATAGTCTCGTCATGCAACACCCCCTTTAAGTTTTTTGTTGAGGCAATATCCCTATGTAGGAGTTATTAGTGCATTAAAGGGGAAATCCACTCTGATATTAAGTTGGTTTTCATAGAAGCAGAAAAATGAGACAAACAGGTCACTGAAAGGTTGATTGATTGCACCTTCCAAAAATTCATAACTTTCTTATTTTTGATCGGAATTTACTCAAACTTTCACTCATCTGTTCCTTTCATTTTGTCTGCCTCTATTAAGCCAACTCGATTTCAGGGCGTACTTCCCCTTTAAAAATTTAAATATATAGAGAGAAGAAGTAATGTTTAAGTTAAAAGGACAAACAAATTGTGAAAAGGGACTATATATATTTGATTTATTCCTGGACACCGGCCCTATTAAAGCCAACTCGATTTCAGGGTGTACTTCCCCTTTAACAATTTAAATATATAGAGAGAAGAAGTAATGTTTAAGTTAAAAGGACAAACAAATTGTGAAAAGGGACTATATATATTTGATTTATTCCTGGAGACTGGCCCTTGATAGGTCAATGGCCTTTGTTGCCTCCTCCACAGTCTCAAGTATTAATTCTAGGTGCTCTAAATTCTTTGAATATTGTTTTGCTACTTTCTTGTTGTGTTGTGTTAATCAGATATTGTATGTAAATTGTTATATGTTTTTATGAGAAGTGGAAATGAATTAAATTAAATGAAATGAAAATATTTCTGCCTTGCTCCTCTTCAGGTTCACAATCTAAATGATGAGGAACTAAACGCCAGGGAGGTTGTATACATTGATATTGTGAATGATGCTATCAAATCTCAAGTGAGTATTCATTGTGTGTAACTCTCATTCTTTACCTTCATAATGTACGTATCCCTGCTGGAACTTCATTGCTAGTAATTTTATTCATGCTACTGTAATACTCTTACAATATATGTTATAATTAGGCATCTTACTCTATTGTTACACTGAATGATAATGTAATGTATGTTTGCCCAAATAACAGAGCAACTTTAGATAAACTAATGAGAATCTTGATAAGAGTCATGCTTTACATAGTTTTACTATATTCTACCTTTTCTCCCATGAATGTTGAATTGATTATAGAGATAATTTACAAACTTATGCATGTACATGTACATGTAGTTACTCCAGGTTTTATATTTGCTCCTTCAGGATTACAAAGAGAGTGAGGACCCTTCCAAATTTCACTCAGAGAAAACAGGACGAGGCCCTCTTCAGCCAAACTGGAAGGTAATTCGAAATGGACATTTCTTCTTCTTCTTTTTTATTGGGGGGGAGGGGGAGGGGGTGTCTGAAAGTAACTAACGAGTGATCCCATTCTGTGACTTCTATGAACAATTTATAAATATTTGAATATAAGGTATCAAGTATTGAAGTATTACATGAATCAAGTGGACTTTTGATTACCGGTATCATGTTTATGAGCCGCAGAAACGACCTGGCTGCAAAGAAAACAAGTGTTCTGGTACATATCCATTCAAGTGATTCAATGATTGGTTGACAGTGAAGCATAAGTATCAAGTATGAATATGAAAGATTTACCTAAAAAGAGTTTGGGTTTGTGAGGTTAAAACAGGCCTGATAAAAACATGATTTGAATCGGTTTCCTGATTTAAAAAAAAAAAAAATCCTGATTTTTTTTCTTCCCGATTCCCCCCCCCCCCCCCCCAATTTTCCCAATTGTTTTTCTTCTTTTTTTTTCTTCCCGATTTTTCCCTTCTTTTCTCTATTCTTCCCTAATATTTCCCAATTTTTCTTACCAAGAGGGGGGAGGGGAGAGGAATGTTGTTAGATGCCATTTTCTCCCCCAGAATCCTCTTCTTTTTATTATCCCCTCGCCGACAGAGTCGGAGGGGATATAGTAACGTCCTTCCGTGCGTGCATCCGTTCGTAACAAATTTTATTTCCAATCGATAACTTCAGTAATGTTTGACGGATTTTAATGAAATTTGATATGAAGGGAAATGGTATCAAAACACAGCCTAAGTTCAATTTCCGAGTATGTAGGTCAAAGGTCTTAGCTCATTAAATATTTGATTTCTGGTTTCTGGTCCATAACTTTAGTATTGTTTGACGGATTTTAATGAAATTTAATATGACGGTACATGCTATCAAAATACATGTACAGCCTAAGTTCGATTTCCGAGTATGTAGGTCAAAGGTGAAAGGTCATAGCTCATTAAACATGCAAAAAACACCAAATTATATATGTGAAAATGTGATGAACTTCCTTGCGTAGTAATATAATAGTATAGTCCAATGGAGGTAACTTGTTCTGACTTACATGTATATAGGCCATTTGTACCCTGCGAGGGGATGCTACACTTTGCGTTGACTTGTGTGTTTTTATTCAAGGGGGGGGGGGGGCGTGGTTGAGGGTTAGAAGAAAGGACAAATGATTGATGTTTAAGCCATCAGCATTTTAATGAACCGATGAATCCATCAGCATTTTAATGAACCAACGAATCCATCACTTTTGGGTATCATTTTCCATTTTGTTTTTTTGTTTTTTGCTCATTACATATTTATAAATGAAATCTATAAAATCTGACAAAATTTTGAGGTTCCACAATCAAAACAGAATTGCAATAAGAAATTCAGTTGGTTGTAAATGTCTCAACTTTCAAACACATCTTTATCTCGGAAGTAACATGTTGAAGTCAACAGAGGCATTTACAAATATAGGAGATATAGTGGCATGCATCTAGTTTGATTTATGTTTAGTTCTTACCAAGCCACTAAGGTAGAACTCTTTTTTTGATTGTCAGGCAAGGTTTTTAAATCAGTGACACTCTGGAAGCTCATAATTTCAAGGCATATTAAGTTAAAGCATGTATGAACCATTCTTATGAAACTGATTTTGGTCATGTTCTTTCCTTTTCAACAAACTTATATCTTTAGGAGACACAGAAACCGCTGATGTGCTGCTACAAACTAGTGTACATGAAGTTCAAGTGGTGGGGTCTTCAAGGCAGGATTGAGAAGTTTGTCATGAATGTGAGTGCTGTCTTCTGTTTCTAGAAATAGTTCAGAGAGTTATCAAAAGTGTACAATATGAGACATCCTTATACTTACTCAGCACTGAGCTTCATTTCTATTTTGCTTTGGTTGTGCTTGTGTCGTGTGACAAAAACATTTTTTTTTTTTTTAATTTAAAATTTGTTCAGGCTCTATTTGACTTTAAGTTCAAACTTCAAACAATAGTAAACAAATGAAGAACAGAAAATGTGAAGGAGCAAAAGGAATCTAACTTTCATTTCACAATTTAATGTTCCCGCAAGAAATGAAGGAAAGTAGGAATATTTGGTATCTGCAAGGGTCAGGAGGGCAGTGGATGGGTGGGTCTACATAAAAATATTTACAGAGATTAAGAAAAAAAAAATTTGGCTGATCTGATATTTCATCTTAAAGTTTCAGTGTATTTGTATGTTCAACTTGGGTGTTTGGGATTTACAGGAAGAAATTTCTTGAATGATTAAAAAACAATTTATCAAGTCCGCTTGACTAAAGCCAGGTTAATGCACACACATGTACTTAGTGGGTAATAGCATCCTTTTAGAATGACTTTATGTGAATCACAATGCAGCTTTTAATGCTATGTATTTAATCATTTGTCTTGTTCCATGTATGTTTGAATCCAACAGCAAGAGAAGCGATTATTTACCCTTTTCCATCGCCAAGTTTTCTGCTGGTTAGACAAGTATCATGGTATGACAATGGCCGACATACGAGCACTGGAGGATAAAACCAAAGATGATCTCCAAAAAGTGAGTCCACATTTTCTAACGTTCATGTTGATTATGCCACTGTTTCCATGGATTCTGAAAACAAGGTCCTGGTGATTTTGTCTTTGTAGTAGGCCTGAGTCATGTCGGGATTTTCATAAACCGGGTCCCGACGGCCTTGCACCGATCGGGACCCGGTGTCCCGAAATCAGCTCGCAGGATTTGTCACTTGCCTCTAAAAAAAGCGCATATCATCAGTATGTCCCTTAAAAGTGACCTTTTTTATCAATCAAATATATCAACACATGCATACCTCGGCTCAGATCGGTATATTCTTCCATTTGACATTATTTTCATCCATGATTGGCGATGTTTAGTGCCATTATCGTGCCTCCAAAAGTAAAAAAAACTGGGGCAGAAATTAGAAAGACAACATTCGAGCCGCCATTTTGATTTATGCAGGTTGAATAAATCTGGTCAAAAAATATGAATGTTAGAATAATAAAACGGCTTTCTAAAAAATTCTTCTGTACAATATACCGATCATGAAATATTTTAAAGACAAAAATAAATATTTATCTCTTATTTTAAACATCGCATGCTTTTTTTTAAAAGCTGAAAATTACTTGGTAATCACAAAAAGTTTCGATACGAATAGCTGTTGCAAGGCAAGTTCAGACTAGTCTCGGAAAAATGCGCAGTGCTCCTCGTTATCGTTAGCTGTAATGCGTGCCAGAACGAACCCAAACAAAGACGTGATCGTAACGAGAAAAAAATCATTAAAAACTACGAGAGCACAATTGGAAAGACAACTACTGCTCAAAATTACCATAATCAGATACATAACTTGGACAAAGAATTCAATAATCGCCCAAGAAATGCCACAGAAATTGTGATAATCGAGGAGTAACTGGGTACATTTTTATCGCAAGGGGCCTGCTGCAAATACTCGAATCCTTTGTTATACTGGTTTTTACCGTAGAGGGCGGTATTTGCCTCGTGTTCAATTTAAACACGTGTAGATATAATATTGCAGCAGGCCCTTCCGATAATGATTGTACCTATAGTAACTCCTTAAATATAACTATGTGGCTTTTCTTGGACAACTATTGTATTCTTCCTCCAAGTTATGTATCTGCTTACGAAAATTTTGAGTAGTTGTCTTTCCAATTGTGCTCTCGTAGTTTTTAATGATTTTTTTCTCGTTACGATCACGTCTTTGTTTGGGTTCGTTCTGGCATGCATTACAGCTAACGATAACGAGGAGCACTGCGCATTTTTCCGAGACTAGTCTGAACTTGCCTTGCAACAGCTATCTGTATCGAAACTTCTTCTGATTACCAAGTCATTTTCAGCTTTTAAAAGAAGCATGCGGTGTTCAAAATCGAAGAAAAAATGTCTATTTTGTCTTTTAAAAATTATTCGATCGGTATGTTGTAAAGAAGTACTTTTTAGAAAGTCGTTTTATTATTCAAACATTAATGTTTCTTTCAACCTGATTTATCAATTCTGCCGAGAGACCCGGCCAGTACATAGCTAGCAGCTGGCAACAACAACCCCATGGGGCGAACTGCTTTGCAACCCATATTTATATCAGCAGTTCGGATTGATTCAGGATGAGCTAGAATATGATTGGTAACAATTAAATACTTAAGTTTTAAGGTGGATTGATTTTAGTGGTGTGCAAAACTGCAATTTCTTACATATTTCATTATTTTTTTCGGAGCGCCGGTTCTCAAAAAACGAAACCGGGACCCGACGGCAACGGTCGGGTCCCGGTGTGATCGACCGTACCGACTCAAGCCTACTTTGTAGAAAATCTGTATTTATGGCATTCACTAAAGTAGAACCATACAACGTCTTGATATGATTATCGTATGATATTCATGCAGTGCGTCAAGTTTTGGTTCCAATAAAGAAATAATAATAATGATATACACAGGTATTATTCATTCCCAACAATTCACATGGGCCTTATATGAACCTAAGTTGGGAAAAATTGTCTATTCAAAGAGGAAAATTTACTGAAGTTCTCAAAGGTTTTTTGAGAAGGAATCACTCACAGAATTCAAGGACTTTAAATATCTTCAAGATCAATAAGATTCAGGCTTTAATCTGCCCAGAGATACAATTACCATAGTCTCCCCATCCCCTATATGATGCAGCACTGTATCTCCTCTACATGTCTTGATGCATACATGTCTATATTTAATATAAACTGTTATAGCCCCACTGCACTACTTATAGCTATTTGCGCTCTCTATAAAGCAAACAATGCCTAATCGGTGACCGTTGGTCCCCCATGGTCCCCTTTTTCTTATCTTTATTGAGAGCTGACATGATGAGATAACCATCTGTCAGAGACCATGCAGGGAGGTCTAATCCCTCCTGGCCAAACTAGTGCAGAGGGGCTTTAAAAGTAGATTATTAAGTTGCATGTGTAACATGAACTCTTCTTTGTATTTCCTTTGCTAAACATAATCTATTTCTCATTAATTTGCTTACAGGAAAGAACGACTGGAGAACTGAGAGGCTTTTCAGCTGACAAGGAGAAGTAGATAATGCAGTAACTGTGTGTGTGTGTTTACATCAATCATGTCAAAGATAGTCCTGCCTTCCACTCGTGTTTCTTGTAGCTAGTTCTCATGTCAAAGAAGTCAGGAATAAAGCAAGATTCAAAGGCAATTCTCTCCTTTCCTTGCGGACTAGATGAGTACTGGCTGGCCATAGATAGGATATAGATAAAGACGATGCAATTGATAGAGGTATGGTTGACAGAAGGATAATCTTATCTCGAACACTGCTTAATTTAGAGTTAATATACTATCCTGTTCATTCATATTGTAATATATTGCACTGTACTTTTTTTAGTATACTTAATTGTAAGACGAAATTAACCCAAAATTGAGATGTAATCTCAATTTCCATGCATTTCTAATTATTAATGGACTGTTTTAAAACCAACTCTTGACATCACTTACCCATAATGTTCTTGCCAAATCAAATGGAAATGTTGCATTCTACATTCACATGCTGTTTAATACTATTGCCTGTGATAACTGAGGCAATAGTTTATGGGTAATGCATAAAACAATTGTATCAAGGGACAAATAAGAACAACATTTAGAAATTATAACCCACACCTAAAAAGAAAAAACAGTTACCGTTGACAAGAATGAGGAACAAGTATTCCTGAAAATTTTGTTGTGAGGGGATAAGGGGGGGGGGGGGTGCTTCTATCCCATCAGTGTAATTTGTAAGAAACTGAATTGAAGAAATCTCTAACGTACATGTAGAGCTGTGCATTATATGTCTTGTCATGAGAATACTACAGTATGTGGTTAAATCATTTGGTGAAAAAAGACTGGGGGGGGGGGCATCATGCCCCCAGTCTTTTTAACTGCCCTCAAAGCTTTCTAGGGTAATTATGGATTTGTAGTCGTAACCACAACATGAGAGTTCATAGGATTATTAAGATATGTAACATGTAGAGTACTGTTTTTATACTTGACATGTAATTTATTTAATATCGGTTGGTGAACTTGATTGCTTTTAGTTCAGTCAGCCATGGCTGCGTTTAGTTCCCTCTCTTCAGTTTAAGCACACATTAATCTGTCCATGCAATGTCAAGTTACAGCAGGGTTTCAGGTTCATGTCCGTGCACAATGCTATGTGAAAGTTGAAGTGTATTTATTGAAATGTATAGGAATCGTCATTACCTCCAATCATCGAGTTAAATGCAACCGACTTACATGTACAGTGTGAGTCAAAAAAAGTTTACACCTAGAAAATTGCTAATTATTTTTAAAATCATCTATGAACAGTAAATTATTATACATCTTATGAAGGAGTATTTCATCCCAAATCATTTGGTATCATTTTTGTGTGGTATGTGTTCACGCTTGGATTAACAGGAGGCATTGTTTGCGAGAGTGCAAAAATTGATGATTTAAAAAATGATTAGCAATTTTCTAGGTGTAAACTTTTTTTTGACTCACACGGTATAAGAAGGAGGGAAAAAATGCATTTCAACTTTAATACACTATCACATATGACCTGTACACATATATTCATGTGTGTCTCGAATCAACTACATGTGTACTAGTCAACATTATGTAGATCAAGATAGAAGATGTATCCCTCTTGAAACTGTTTTAGATGAGAGCTGTAACGGATTTGCAATATGATTGTATTGTGATGAAAAACACATGGATATGATTCTTATCTCTTTGTTTAGTGAAAGATGAGAGGAATTCTAGGTGTATTTCATAATGTATTGCGTATATTTATATTGATATTCTTTTGATATTTCTTTTGTCTCTCATTCTTTATCTCATCACACTCTCTCTCTCTCTCTCTCTCTCTCCCTCTCTCTCACCCTCTCTCTGAATCTCTCACCCTCACTCTGGCACTCACTTCTTTTCTTCTCACACTGTCTCTCATGATCTCTGCATTATTTTGATTTTTAAGTTTAGGTGAGACGGTCACTTAGTAAGGTGTTGCATGTATAAATCAGTGAAATCTATAGTACATCATGACCTATTAATTTGATGGGGTACTGTACTCTGCCAGTAGATCATGCGATAGTATAGTACACAATGAACTATGTAGTGGATGGCAGGCATGTGTATTACCTTCGTGCCACAATCTGATTGGTTGATTGAATACTATAGTACACTAACTATGACCCACTCTGTAGGAATATTGTTGTATAGTCTTAAACATTGCCTTCTGTAATGTAGAACAAACATTTTGGAAAAAGAAACTATCTTTGAAAATTAATTTTATTGGAAGATGTGCAAGCATTAACAAAAGCCAAGAACGAATTTGTGATTCTGTAGAATTCATGAAATCTCTATTACAGTGTATGTAGCAGTACAAGATTAGATATGATGTGTATATGAGATGATCCTGTAGAATGGCATTGATGTACATTCCGGGTAAAGACTTCTAATACCGGGTTGATGTGCTATATATTTGGGGTTCGGATTTACTGTGTTGGGTCAGTGTTTCTTTTTTAAATTTTATTTTCTTTTCTTTTTTTCTTTGTGTAATGTACATGTACATGAATGATTTAGTTTTTTTTTTTTTTTATTTATTTTATTTTTTAAGTTGAATATGGCAATAATGTATTTTATTAGGATGGTAATGAATGCCACTAGTTGGGTTAGCGAACTGGCAATTCTTGTTTCTTGGACACTATTCTGAAATCTCACTTGACAGGCTGGAGATGCATTGTTTAATGATCTATGTCTGTGCACACATGATAAGGTACTAGCATTATTATATCTAGAAGGTCACTTTATCTTTCAATTAATTTTGTTTTAATTCAAAGCTCCAAGCCCCTTTGACCCTGCACTTTTATTGTATAAATTCCTACAATATATCGTGAGGCCTATGTGAGGGTCTGTATAATGGCACCTGGCTGGAATTCTACCCAGGGAGTGGAGAATGTGCAACACTGTGCGCTGACAAGCCTGAATCAGGTAATAATATTTCTGCCAAGCGTTTCAGACATTGTCAATGTGTTATTAAGCGCTATAATGAAAACCAAGAATATTATTATAATAATTTTGGCTGTCAAGTCGAACAAAAAGTTAACTGAGCTTTCAGAATACGACCCATGAACCTTAGCTGTCTCTGTTTGTGGTGATTTACTATAATAATGTAACTGTGGGAAATAGAAATATTGAGTCTTATTGATCATGTATTATACAAAAAAACCTGTGTATGAATTTCATATGTATGAATTTTTGTGAATGAATTTGTGTATGGATGTCTGTCTATGGTAATGGGTTATATTGTGTAACATCACAGTCTAACCTTACTCCTTAAGTGTCTTTCAGTACATTGGACTAACTGGTCTGGTTCTAAAGAACAGTTCATTTAAGATAATCCTGTTTTATTGGGGGGATGACATCAAAATACCTGAAATGAAACACACTTGTAATGTTACAGACAAGCCCATTACCATGTACACAATGTTATTCTTGCAGGACTTTTTATCTTTTATGTCTAAAACTTAATCATATATGTATAAATTCATGCACATGTACATTAAAGATTCCAATTTCCATGTTGAATAAATATACCTATCATATCCTATGTAGCAATTAAAGCTATACCTTCTTTGCTTCATTTACTGAATACGTATATGGCATTGTGTGTTCATTGTGAGTGTACATGTGTCAGCGGTGGATCCATCAGTGGATTTTATCAATTTAGAACCTTCAAGGTGGCCCTCACGAGCGATATTGATTGTAATTTTCTCTTTGAAATTCTCCCAGCACTTATTACATTTCATTCTTTTTCGTATTTTGTTTCGTATTGTTCTACTTCGGTCCTAATGCTTACACTATGTTCCCGTCGGAGTCTCTTTTCCCCTTATACCTCTTTTAGTCCCTTATACCTCTTTTAGTCCCTTATACCTCTTTTAGTCCCTTATACCTCTTTTAGTCTCTTGTACCTCTTTTAGTCCCTTATACCTCTTTTAGTCCCTTATACCTCTTTTAGTCCCTTATACCTCTTTTAGTCTCTTGTACCTCTTTTAGTCCCTTATACCTCTTTTAGTCCCTTATACCTCTTTTAGTCTCTTGTACCTTTTTTAGTCCCTTATACCTCTTTTAGTCCCTTATACCTCTTTTAGTCTCTTGTACCTCTTTTAGTCCCTTATACCTCTTTTAGTCCCTTATACCTCTTTTAGTCTCTTGTACCTCTTTTAGTCCCTTATACCTCTTTTAGTCCCTTATACCTCTTTTAGTCCCTAATACCTCTTTTAGTCCCTAATACCTCTTTTAGTCCCTTATACCTCTTTTAGTCCCTTATACCTCTTTTAGCCCCTTATACCTCTTTTTACTTTTAGGGGCAGGGCAACAGCCAAATTGCCCCTCCTCCGGATCTGTCACTGATTAATACACTAATGTTGAACATCCCATGCAATATTACATTGCCGAACTCGCTACTCGGGGTAGTGAATTTGTCCCTTTTCCTCTCTCCTTCACCTCATGGCAATAAAGATAGGTGTAAAATGCCAATCACTGATGCAATATAATAGTCTAGACTTCCGTGTATGCATGTATGTCGTGTCTTTGCCATGTACTGGTATATTGATTGTAATATTTTTATATCAATGAGATACATGTACTGCACCAGTAGAGAGAGAGAGAGAGGGGGTGGGGGGGGGGGGGGTGATTGGAAAAAAGAAACTGAGAATTTATTAAAAAAGTGTAGACTGGACGTGAAATCGTATGACGTTTACGTGAATAAAATGCATCGAAACACAATGATAAGTCTCTCCTGTTGAAATTTGATTTTATTCAAGATAAGTTCAAGATGAAATCCGATAACGAGTTTTCTAATACAGATTAGAATTTCCTAACATTTTATACAAAGTTGACCTAAGATTAATACAAAAGATAAAACTAAAATGCAAGCCGTGCCTCATTATATTAAAGAACATAGAAAATGAGAGAAAACACTTCTAATCAATACCAATGATTATTATCTATATAAGGCTTCCAAGGGGTACAATAAATATGTGTATTTTATATATTTAGCTCAGTCCCCGGATGACAGATCAATATTGTTTTCGTACTGCTCTTTCATCCGGGAACTTCAACTGTCATGATTGGAACATTAATTTACCGAGATAAGTCAAATTATGTTATTTCGCTATAGTCAGCCTGATATAGATAATAATAATAACATTCTATGACTTTGTTTTCGTGTGATACAAGGATATATTGCTCGAGCTATGTCAATATTGGACTCTCGCTATGACGATATATTCTTATATCACATTAAAATTAGCCATCCAATATTATATACATATACATAATTCGATGATACTTCGTAATTTACATTTAAAATGCGAAGTCAATTCTTTATCGCATTTTGATATGATATACTTTTAAAGAGAGGGAGAGACAGAGAGAGAGAGAGAGAGAGAGAGATGGGGGCAGACAGAGAAGGAGAGGGGGAGAGTTGAGGTTCATCAAAAAAGGAAGAGTAATAATATGTGATAGGGCTTCTCATGAAAGAATGAGATAAGATCCTCCAGGTTGTTATATCACTAAAGATGCTACATGGCTAATTTTAATGATTATTAACTATAATCAAAGAAGAGATGATGATAATGATACTGACACGAAATTGATACGTCTGATACACGTTAATGTACCATGCTTGAAGTTATGTACAACTCAGTCCTGCTCCCTCTTCTGTTGAAAATCATCCAACAATCAGTAATGTAGGAATCAAAATCAGTCAAACTTAGCTGGCAAGAATAAAGTCTAGCTTAATTGCTATACATTTTTTAGGGGAATATATATAGTCATATATATACACACACACAAGGTTATTTCAATTTATGTTATTTATCAACAGCAATAACATCTGCGACAGTATAGAACTTTCTCAATTCAGGGGTACGGTAGAAACATGAATATGTAATAACACACATATATATATATATATATATATATATATATATATATATATATATATATACACTGTCGCTCATAAAGGTGGAATATTTTAGTTTTATCACAATTTATGGAATTATTAAAAAAATTATTTAAAAATAATAGATGTAGATAATAGTATACATTCTCAGATTTTATTGAATAATAATTTGCCAATGTGTGTTTTGCGGGACTGCTAAATAATGTGTATGCTACTATGCTCATTAACTAGGGGACCTACGCCCTCAAGTCATAAATGACAGTGATGAGGATTAATGCCCCACAAAAGGGCACTAATATAGCACATCGACACGGTTTTGATCCTGGGGCCTCACAGTTACGAGGCCATTGTTTTGTCACTGAACCATGGCTGTACGCAGCGGGGGCTAGGGTAGGGGGCAGTTTCCATGAATTAAAAAAATACAGAAAATGCAATAAATTTTCAATAATTTATTGCATTTTACCCCAGTCCCCAACATTAAAAAATTCTCTGGACGGCCATGCATTATGGCTCAAGGCATGGGCACACAGAAGATTTTTTTTATGAATTATTATTCAATAAAATCTGAGAATGTATATGATTATCTAAATCTATTATTTTTAAATAATTTTTTAAATAATTCCATAAATTGGGGTAAAAAAAACATTCCACCTGAGCGACAGTGTATATATGAGACCCAATAATAATATTAATAATGGTAATAATGATAATACTTATAATAATAATGATTAAAATGATAATGACACCTGGTATTGAATTAAACTCACAACAATTACAAATTAAACTGAATGAAATACAAAGGGTGTTGTTGATTCTGGGAAGAGATATGTTTTGATAGAATTGTTTTTATAAGCAAAACATTTCTAATAAAAGCATAGGTAGCTCGTCGAGTGTGCCTTGCCCCTTTTCAGATCTCTAAATAAAGTATAATCATAATATAAATTCAACATATCGATAGTATACATAATTATGCGACATAAATCAAACCAGGTAGCAATATGGAAAATGAAAGATGATGATAGAAGCTGACAACAATATGTGAACATTGATCTGTAAATGAGTAACTTCGGGGATTTTAAAATCTCAACATTTTCTCAGGTAGTAGTTATTCATCCACAAGTAACACTTTTTGATCATCATAGGCCTAATATACACATTCTGGGATTCCAAATCTCAAAACTTTCTCAGTTTGGGTTTGGAAGCTTCCAAACTCATTGATTATGCGGTGATATATACATATATTTTCGATAAAAAGTAAGAACATTTGGGCATTGTAATACGTTTTGGGAGGGGGACCATCTCCCAAACCCAATATATGAATTTTCTTGTTATATTTTCTTTTAATTGGAAAGTAGGGAAGTTATGCAAACTAACTCCTTATACTTACGCATTTTTGTGTTTCCATCAACTTTCCTCAAAAGTTGACAAAATTGATTGTCTTTATTCCACGTGATGTCTAGCATTAATATTCCGCTTTTTATTACAAACCTAAAATCCCGTCAGGTATGTCCGCCTCCAACATCCACATCGTTCGAAGCAATAATGCCACCGTTTGTTGGCGCTTTCGATTCAGAGTCGTCCCTCATTAATACGTTCTGAAGCTTAGAGTAACAAATAAACTCAATGAAACTATAAATCAACCTCGCGAAGAAAAAGAAAGTCATCATAAGTGTGGGTGTATGTGTGATGGATATGTGCGTGTGCGCGTTGGTGTGTGTGTGAGTGTGTGTGTGCGTGTGTGCGCGTGTGTATGTGTGTGTGTAAGCATTAGTATACCTTCCATTTTTGTGAGGGGTTAGAGTTACGGTAAGGGTTAGGTATAGTGTAGGTCCAGGTTTGAAGTTAGGAACTGGACTATAGCGATCACGGATAACTCTCATCACCTCAAGCTCACGCTCATGCTATTTCATTATTTGGTTCATTATTGGTGATAATATCAGTTCTCTCTCGGCCTGTATGCTGTATCTCTCCTTTTTGTCAGTTTCACCCCACTTTTTCCCACTTTTTTACTCGAAATATTTGGCCTTTCCTTCACTTCATTTCTCTTTGTACGTACATGTAGTTTGTTTATGAGTCTTTCTTTTGGGCTGTCTTTGTTCTATCAGTCTGTCTATATATTTTACAAGCCACATCCAACAATGTTTAATTGTCCGTCCGTCTGTCCGCATGTCTGCCTGATTGTCTCTCTCCCTCTCTCTCTCTCTCTCTCTTTCTCTCTCTCTCTCTATATATATATCTGTCTGTCCCTATATGTCTTTGTAATATTGCCCCTATCTCTCAAGCTCTCTACATCCTCTTCGTATTAATGTGTTGTAGGATGGAATTAAGATGCTTCGTTGACATTTGCCGTTAGTGCTGGCCGACGATCACGATTGAATGAGAGAGAAGATATCGCCGCTGCAGCAGATCTCATCATCGATCTCCGGCGTTTCTTCTCCCTGTATAAGGCGAAAAAGATTAACATTCATTGAATTAACATCACTCGTATAATATGATAATCGTATTGAGTTCCAATCTTCTAATAGGTTAGTGAGATGAGAGCAGTTACAGAAAATTGTCAAGGACAAACCCTCGAAGAGTCAAGTTGATTCATACATCACAAATTTGGATTGAAAAACTTAAATCTGCATGACTGTATTATAAGCCCTGTAGAATAAAATTATACCACGTCGGAGGAAATCACCAATAAAAAAAAAATCTAACCCATCCTAAAATAACTGATCCTCATTTCAGAAATATATTTTACATATTCGGATGTCACAATTGCATTGATAATAAGAAACTGAAGATTGAAAAGATAAACTAAGCTAGAAGAAACTTGAGTATAGTGCCTGAATGAAAATCGTTATCATAATGTACTCCGAAAGTTGTGTGTATATATCGCGTTGATTAGATTAAAAAATTATATCACAAATAACGATAACTTTAAATATCAAATGATATATTGCAAAGTACTGTGAAAATAAAACCCAAATTATAAATGTACAGGAGAGTATATCAGTCAGGACAATGAGCTAGATTAATAAAGTGCTAAAGGTCGAGCTGTACCCGATACAACTTGTTGGCCTCCCCTGCTGGAAAGAACACACTTATTCACACTCATTCACACTGTGAATCACAGTGTGCTCCACAATGTTAAATTGGGGCATTTTCACATTGTGGTCGATTCGTTTCACACTGTGGTTCACAGTGTGGATAACCGAAAAAGGAAAGAACACACTCATTCACACTCATTCACAGTGTGGATCACATTGTGTTTCACGGTGACTGTGAATGAGTGTGAATGAGTGTGTTCTTTCCAGCAGGGTCCCACTGGTATTGGCAACCAGAAGGAGGCCAACAAATAGTGCAAATGGATGCTTGGCGGGCACCAGTTTGCTTTAATTTAATTTGCTATTTGACAAGATAATGGGTTGACTTTGACATACGTCAGGGTTAACGGTCATAGTGTTTATTAAAAGATTGCCTTTCCCTTCCAAGGACAATAATTGTAGAAGATAATTTCTCACCGTTCTTTGCGCCTTTCTGAAAATTTCCTCCTCATGTAGTACTCTATGATGATAGCACCGGCTCCTGTAGCTATCGCTATGAGAATCACATGAACTAACAGAGGGTAACAGAGAGACAGAGAGAGAGAGACGGAGAGAGAGAGAGAGAGAGAGAGAGAGAGAGAGAGAGAGAAAGCAACAAAAAACAAAAAACAACATCGTCTTTACAATCTATATGAAATCTGAAAATCCTCCATAAAACATTACAATTTTGATAGGAACTTTATGGATACAACAATGCTTGAATCCGAATTGCAGACAGTAGAAAAAGTGGTAAATTATAAAAAGAACAATGAATCCGCGATTCGCTTTCTCATTCGTTGAAAAAGAAACAATGAGAGTCGTTCTTATCAGGCGCGTAGCCAGAGTTCGATGTTTGGGGGGGGGGGGGGGGCACTTACATGTAATCGATCGAGGTCAAAAAAGGGGTCTAAAAAAAAATCAACCGATCTTGGAAATTTTAGGGGGGCACGTGCCACCCCCCCCCCCCCCCCGTGGCTACGCGCCTGGTTCTTATGTTGTCTCTTTCTGAAATGACCCATCACCCCTGAAAGAACAATTGTAATGAAGGCTCATTTCTACTACGGTCGTAACATCTCTGTTACTCACATCGCGATGATTTCGGCACATAGTTGCTAGGCAACTTCCCCAGTAACAACACTGTGTTAGTAAAATCGCAAAGTTTAGATTGAAACGTTAACGAGCCTCTGATAAAATCTTACTTGGATTAACACATTCCGAATAGTCGCATTGAGGTTGATCGATTGTTTCTCCCGACATGCCTTCAGGAAGTATTGCTACCACTCTTTCCACACAGAAATGCTCGACGTCTCGTGTGTTGCACGTCAACGTGTTTGCCGCCATTCCGACTGGGAACGAATAGGAGTTGTAATCAGAAAACCCGTAAGCATAGGCCACGAATGGGACGTAGTGATGATGGGACGAGATGGTATGAACTCCATTATCAACTGGTAAACGAGCCACGCAATAACGACTGCTACCAATCTGGCGATATGAGATTCGACCCCGTAGTTCTGTTATCTGCGAACATACATCAAAGATTTAGCGATATGTTTATTTAAAGGTATACATTTAGATTCAGATTCTTAAGATGAAAGGTGAAATGCCTTCATTTTCACCACTATAACACACTGCCCGCCTGCACAAATTTTGTAACTTAAAATGTAAAAAGGGTTGTATCATTTTATGCACAGTAAATAACGAATGTGAGAATGGTTTATTTCTTTCCCATGATATGTAATTGCCACTAAACGATGACGTGTTACAGAATAAAATGTAACTAGCAAACTTCTGCTTATCTTCATTATTTCGTATATGAACCATAGATATTTTAAACTGACAATTGTTTAAATACGATAACATCTGTTGTGAGTTGTCAATAACAGCGAGGGGACGTGGGGGGTCCTGCGACACCGTTCTATTCTGTTCAGTGTCTAAATTTCTGAGGAATATTACCGAAGTAGGTGGACCTTTGGCGTAGATGGCTACATGAGGCCGGATGAGGGTGGGTCAGGGCGTGTATGCTGTTGCCATCATATCCATCTTTTTCTACTTAATTAGAGCAGGGGGACTCTCATATCCCTGATTAGAGTTACCCATGACTTGTATGGTTGTAAACAATGGTACTAACCTTCTCGTTTCCAATAGTAGAATTCTCTAACGTGAAACATTCTCCGAGGATAGTGATGTAGCTCCGGACACCATCCATGTCTCTAGTCAGATTGTATGTGACGAATCGCACGGAATGAACACCTTGTTCTAGAGGAGGCACTATAGTCATGGTAGGATCGCCTTTTGAATCTGATTCAAATCCTTTAGCATAAGCCATAAACAGGCATGGCATGGATGCATGGATATACACTGCTTCCATCTGATTCGTTTCAAACTCGATAAATCCACCTGCAGGGAGCGTTCTATTCTCGCGTCCATCGGAGAAGTCAACCCGGGTGTTTGGTCTAGCTGCAATGAGTCGAAATACAGTGGATGATGTCCGTCCCATGAACGCAGAAGCGATAAATGACCTTCCTAACTGATGAAATGGAGGGATCTGCTCTACAAGATGATCACATGACGTTATATCACGTGGAACGAAAGCGCAACGACACCCTGTCAAGACAGAGATTGGTTTGTTAGATCGGATCCGGGATCCGGTAGGATCAGTGTTTCCATCTAAATGAACCGTTTGGAGTTTGTTCAAGTTAAATCGAAGTTTTTCACCCGGTTTCAAATCAATATTAGTATGCTTCCACGAATTCGAAAACGTGATTGTCAGTTCGGTGTTATCTTCGACGGCTGCGATGCTGATTTGTGATTCTGTCCAAGGATTGAAAGACGCCACTACGTATTCCTTCCCCATGGTTGATACAGGCAGGGCTGTGAAGCCATCCATCGATCTAGGATGAGCATCATTGATCCCAAACACACATATCTCTACAGATGAATTCACGACCACAGCGTAACCACCGATTCCATCGTATGAATCTGTAGGAATGACTGCGGGAGGTAGACTGATATCAGTAGTTGCATGTTGTTCTACCAATGCGAAACGAGTTATGTCAAGACCTGGTACCTTGATGACGACTGTCGCCCTCTCCGGTGATTGGTTGACGATCAGAAGGTGGGCATCGTTTGTATTGTCGTAATTCCTGGCGAATGTGAAGACGAACAATCGTCCAGATATGGAAAATGCACCTGAAACAAATCAAACAATAAGAAAAAAATTACATTAAGATTACGATAACAAGTAGCAGAGAAGAGAGAAGCCTTCATGATTGTGCTCAGGTCGCTTGACCTTTCATGATACCAAGGCTCTTATAATTATATTCATACACTAATATTATTGTTTCATGGTAAGCCCAGTACCTAAAATGTATGGTATGTGTGTGCACAGGGTAGAGAAAAAAAATGATCAAACGTGATTAAAAGACCTTCATTATGAATGCGGGGTATCTAGGTTTCCACGGAAACTGTTGAACTATTTCGGATATTGGGAAGTGGTGGATCAGGCCTAAGATAAGATCAATTACGGAATAAGCAGGTGTAACCGGTCTCTAGCTGAAACAGAAGTGAAACTAAACGACTGTGTGCATCATTTTTTGGCTGATGTCTTGATGAATAAGGGGGTTTACAGATAGAATCTGCGCATGGGCAGATAAAGGTCATTTGTACCAAAAAGGTAAAACCCACAGAGATGAATACTGGATATGCGCTCATGAAAGTTATGTAACATTATTCATTTATGCACCAACGGTACATTCTATGATACGCTGGTGGAAGTATTCTTTTCAAGAGGGCAAACAAAAGGTATTCATGAAGCACATCTAGGACTTTGGCAGTTATTATTCTAAGATGCTCAAAGTGGAACTTCTCCATGTGTAAAAGATCTGTGTATATTTGGGGTCATTTGTACCATGTGCTATCTGTAAACTCCCTTATTGGATGCGCTAGCGCCCTTTAATAAGGTATAATGCTATATACTAAGTCCCTCGGACAGGATTTATAACCGCCGGATCCTAATAGCTTACCTACAAAGATACCCACGTTTTCTTATCGCTCAGGTTGATGCAACAAACCAATTTGACCGGGGAGTGCTAAAGAGTGGTGAAGTGTGACGTCATCAAAAAATATGTTTTTCTTCGAATTTCTCAATTTTTTCTTCATTTTCCGAAAGAGCATCAAAAATGATGTCCGAATGTCGAAAACCAATTGAATATATTAAGCATTGGCTGAGATATGACCATCTGAATAAATAGATGTCCTATGGGAACTCAGTGTTATAGTGCTCTGGTTCATACCATTAGGTTTTCGACATTCGGACATTATTTTTGATGCTCTTTTGGAAAAATAAAGAAAAAAATTAGAAATTCTAAAAATAGATTTATAAGATGTCACAGCTTCGGTACTCTATATTTAAGTGCTAAGAAACTTGAATGGCGCCATCTATCCATCGAGAGCGGTCTCTCAGGAGGATTCATGAAGGTTCACCATGCACTTTTTCTTGGACATGTACGTGTAGGACCGAGGGTGTAGGATTAGATGTATATAAGCTCCTAGGTGGGACAAATCTCACAGGTAGGGAATACAGATATATAGGAAAAAATAAGGGGAGACTACTAACACGTTGAACTTTTCGTGGACACCAATTTACAAAATGAGGATTAGAAATAATATGATGGAGGATAAAAAGGTATTAAAATAACATCAGACAGCTGGGTGTCCAGGTATTAAACAAGGGGGCAGATTCCGTTTCATAAAGAGAAAAGGGTTGGCAGAATTGAACAAGCCATGCAGTCCCGTGTAATGTAAACAAAGTGTTGAACCCCTCATTAAAGGGATCCGATAACTTTGTCTCAGATCCTTTAACAAATCTTTGATTTAGCTCATGCTGCAATCATATTTATAAACCTTTAGGTCATACATGAATCCCATGACATTTACAAGCCGATCGTCTGTCTGATTATCAAGATATTTATGATTGGAAATCGAAATCAAATTTTGCGTTCTCCTAACGGGTTTCATAACAGTACAGTCTATTGGGGAAAATGAGTAAAAATCGGTCACTCAATTTGTTTTACTCTTTTTAGGAACTTCATGATCATTCGGAAGCGCAATTTTTGTAGGGCTTTAATATTACACCATATCATAAACACTAATAACACGGAGGGCCATGCATCTCAGATTTAACATTGTTAAACGATGCCTTTAAGACAAATGCATTGGAACAAGGTACACTATGAATATGACTGACAAAGAAAGCGGACAAAATATACAGTTCCTCAGGTAGACAAAGGAACATCCCTTCACTGCTATTATGTAAAAATGTGTAGAACAGGTGCCACATGCATATTCACCTGTTCTACACATTTTTACATAATAGCAGTGAAGGGATGTTCCTTTGTCTACCTGAGGAACTGTATATTTTGTCCACTTTCTTTGTCAGTCATTTTCATAGTGGTAATAACAGTGTTACTATGGTAACAAGGAAACAATATTTATACTCGGGTTAAATAAAAGAATACAAAGGTAATGGGGACCGGTATAACTTCCTTGTTGTAATGAGAGTTTGGTTTTACATTTTTCTCTGAATAAACGTTCCACTGGATTTATTATTTGTATTGTAGGTTGCTTTAAACTAAATTATGGAAAACAAGTGTACGCCGGCTCCATGGTATATTTGTCTTAATAATCTATTTTGTCCGATTATATGGTTATGCAATAAAAATACAGTCATTTTGTGCATATAATTTGATGCGTAGAACAGGTATATTCGGAATTCTCACCTTTTAGTGTGTATGTGTGTGTTTATTTTTTTTCTTCAAAGTATTTACCATTGTATATTCTTTGACTGATATAGACATTCTTTTGTTTAGCAAACTTTCAACTTGATATATATATAATGTACTTTACAATACTCTACTTTATAATTATATGCCTATACAATGAAAATACAGTCATTGTGTGCATATAATTTGATGCGTAGAACAAGTATATTCGGAATGTTCACCTTTTAGAGTGTGTGTGTGTGTGTGTGTGTGGGAGGGGGTATCATCGTATTTCATTTCTAAGATTGATTTGTATTGTTTGGCATCAATAAAAATATATATTGAGAAAAAAAAGAAAAAACAAAATTCTTTGACTGATATAGATATTCTTATTTTGAGCCAGTGAAGTTATTTCAACTGAATATATATATAATCTACTCTGGCACAAACGAAGCAGTTTTTAGTATTACAAGGCAAAGTAAAATTACAAGAGATAATGTAATAGAAGTGTTGAAAACTGGTTTACACTCGATGAAATTTAACCAGATGCTTTGTTTCTTCCTGCTTTATTTTTGCCTCTGTCATGTTTCACTTTTATCAAGTTTCGTTTTACTTCCTGACTGCTTTCTGTACTCTCATTATATTTTTTTTTATTATTTCACCCGTTAGCGGACCGTCAATGACTGAGCGGAGATGCACTATGAAAGCAAAATAATCCATATCCCCCTAGAACCACATAACATTGTTATCACAACACTTGGGAGATTATTGTCACGGTTAAACGCATTGTCTTAAGGCAATCAATCGCTTTAATACACACAGTGCTTGTTGTAACCTGCGGTTGAAAAACAATGATCAAAATACAAACTCTGATTTTAATCAATGGTATTCATGGAATCAACCCATTATACGGTGACTTACATTACACAGGGGCTCCACAGCACATATACATGTGGAAGACTGTAATCACTATTGGAACATGATGAAGATTTATTAAAGACACTAGTTATGACACCTACTGTAGTAGCATTACACAACATTTAGTAAAATAGTAAATGTAAGATAATTATGATATTTTTTCCCAGCTGTTCTTATAATTAATTCTTTTCGAACTGTGCCCCCCCCCCCCTCCGCCATTCAAAGATTTAAAGTACTTTTATCAAACAGCATTTTGCACGGTGCATTGATGTACTTGCATATGTGTCAGGGAGCTGCACAACAAGAGCACCGGTACAGTTACATGTATGGTGTATACTTTCAAGAAAAATACCCTAACATCACAAGAGCCCTTCTAATTAAGAAAGAAACAAACAAAATGCAGAGGGAAATGAGAAGAAGAAAACGGGGGAAAGAAACTGGGAACTTAAAAGAGAAGGAGAGACCGCTTGAGGAGAAAAAGTTGATTAAGGGGGAAAACATGCAAAGAAAAAATAATAATGTGAGGAAGAAAAGATGACTATAGCAGATTCTTATATCTTTGTTCTTCTTCTTCTAAAGCTCAACACTCAATAAAGGGAAAAGCATCAATCAGTGGCTGTTTTAGATCCTTCCTTGGCTAGTAAAAGAATTGGACAAAGTGTTATGGAAATTAGACTGATAGAGCGATGTCTCCACATTCCTTCCTTTATATCAACGTCTGCTCTACCAAGAACACAGTACTTCATTCTTTAGTTGGCAACTAAAATCCTCCCTAGTTTTTTTTTTTTTTTTAATTTTTTATGAATTCCAATTTAGTTGGCAACTCGACATAAAAGACTTACAGTGATGCACACAACATTATGTAAACTAACAATTCAGAATAATTTACTTCATTTTACTTTATTCTACCCATGTCTACTCCACCAAGAGACGCACAACGGCTAGTTCCCAACTAGTTGCGCGAATTGGCCACTCTATAGTTGATAACTGGAGATTTTTGTTGGTAACTATAGCTTAGAATGGTTTTATGAATATGGATCCTGAAACGAAGATGCTTTTGTTTAATAGAGAGGCATTGGCAATTAATATTTATCGTATTCATGATGCAGTCGGTGTTATACTGCTGGTACATGCAATACTATAATATCAAACATAGTTCTTGCACGCGTCGCATTAGTTTGTCGGTATAATACGATACTAATTGTTTATATAGTTGATTGTGAATGTATCGGCACAATGCTTATTGTTTTATAGTTAGGCTTGGACTGCATGGTGTTGGTAGTACATAGTAATAAGATTAGGATCTTTTTGTAAAAAATACCAAAGACTAACGAATAGAGCGAATATGTAAAGAGTTCGCTTCCAAGGCATGTTACATCTATTTTTATCAAAATTTGCCTCGGGGTTTGGGCGCGAGTGATGTTATTTCCAGAGGCTATATTCATCAACACATCTAAAATGTCACAAGCGAGCATTATCAAAACCTGGCAGTATGAAATAAGTTTGGTACCACAACGTTCTATATACATCCATTTTAGTTTGGTTCCAAAACATCAACAGACGTTTTAAAAATGATCAATGAATAAAGGTTACCTTTTTCTTTTTAAGAATGATGTTATCTTCCCATTACATAGTAATAGGCATATGAGAGAATTAAGTTTAATAACAACTTGATGATTTTATCAACACTAAGTTTTATCGACGAAACAGATTTTTTATAAATAAACTGTGTTTAAGAGAGAGAGAGAGAAAATAGTACTGAAGTGCACGTATGCCTTATTGTCATGAAGAAAGACATTAAATGTAAACAAAACATTGATTCTAAACAAATATCATACCTCAATACCCGTTTAAACCCTAAGAAAAAGTCGCAAGTGTATGAATAACATTTTAATCAATGTATCCCCTGTTCAAGTATTCGGAAAACAGTGGTTAATTGAAGAAAGCTCGAGCACATTCAGAACAAGATCTAGGCACCTGTGTCGAGGCCTTCTTGTTTTTATTCTTGTTACAAACGAATATCTAGCTTTAATGTTTGAATTATTCATGAGAGAGGGCTATCTGGCCACTTTTTATCACATACTTGTTGCGAGATCACGTCTCATGAGGGCCGAGCCATTGTTTGCCTCAAATAGCGGTGAAAGCACTATTGGACGTATTTATTGCTCTCTAGTCTACTAAACACAACACCTTACCACGTTCATTCTACTTCTGGTCAAGGTTTTTCGCCACTCTTCCATTCTTTAAACCACTAGGCGTCTTTGGAAGCGAGGGGTTGGGAGGTAAGGGTGGCAACATAATACTTAATATTTTATCATATAATAATAATAATAACAACAATAATACCTTTCTTCGCGAACGAAAAAAAGTCAATTTTTAATATTGTTCTCATCAAGGTATATTAAAGCCCCACTGTCCTACTTGTAGCTACTTGCTCCCTCTATATAGAAAACTTCCCTAATCGGTGCCTGTTGGTCCCCAAAGATCCTCTATTTCTTATGTTATTTGAGAGCTGAGTTGATGAGATAGCCACATGTCAGTGACCTCGCTGTGTGGTCTAATCCCTCCTAGCCAAACCAGTGTTGATAAGCTTTACGCATAATTATTAAAAACGAAGCATAGATTTATTCTAGGTCAATAAATGCGCACGACCTTTTACTTGCCTAACATAGTTTAAAAAATTGGCCTTTTCCATCAAAAGTTCTGACTGATAACGTCTTCAATAATATTTTAACTTTAAAAAATCTTTTCCCCACGTTAAGTGTTCTGGTTGACAAGTAACGGTTTAAGCACATTTTATCCATAAAGTACTACTCTGGATGGGACAGTTAATCTAATATTGACGGACCTTCTTTTTTTCTTTTTTTTTTTTTTTAGGTCAACGGAAATATTTCATGAGTGAATTTTAGCGGCTGCTAAAACCTTCTCCACTTGCGATGCAATGACGATGTAGGGGGGGGGGGGGGTATCAGGACTGTTCCTCTTAATCCCGTTTGCAGGTAATCCAAGTTTCTTTGATACGGACCCGGATCCGATTCCAAATTAAATCTTGATCTGTTGACAGATCTGTTTAGTGATATGCTCCAAGGGATACAATCCCACTGAGATGCGGGGCACAATGCACCAGCGTATCTGAAGGAGTGGCAAGGAGGGAAATTTGACTTTCCTCACCGATTTCCGGACAAGAAAAAAAATGAAGCAACTTCTTTTATTTTTTGATAAAAAAATACAGGTAGTTAGCAGATATTAAGGAATTGTAAGTCAAGGAACGCACGAAATATATATCTTCTCAAAATACTTGCTCCTTACCCCCTGACTGAAATGTTTTAGGCGACCCCTCCCCGTAACACAAGCGAGGCACTCAAAAAAGTTGTTTCCCTATACTAAATGTGTATGGATAGCAGTGAAAGTGAATTTTTTTAGCCCTCCTATAATAAGACCAAGGTCTGGATACGCCCATGTGGGGGCGCATCGGAGTGGACTCCATGTAGCCGCTAGAGACTGTCGCCACAGGGTGACCTCTTAACCACTTACTCAATTCCTCCTCTTCCACCGTTGTGCCCGTGCGTGTGCTTTCTCCGCTTGGCATTTTGAGGCATTTTGGAATCATCCATGTACCAAGTGGGTTGAAATGCACAACAAACGCATCGTAGAATGCGAAGGACGACATTAACTATTAATCAGAGGGAACGTAATCTATGATTTGACCTGCTTCTTCATTCTTCCCTTTTCCCCCGTTTCCCTTTTCCTTCTTCTTTTATCTATCTCCTTGTCGTTTCGTGGTTTTTTGTTGTTTTGTAATATTGTCTTGTTTTTTCCAAGTCTTCGTGGGCACAATTTGAAATAATTCTTTTTTGGGGGATCCACAAACTACAAGCACTGCTTTTTAGTGGATTCCCCCATTTCCTCAGAAATTAAGAATTTCTTGTAATAATTTGAATATGTGCAAAGTGTATTTGTATAATTACCAAAAAAATTCAATTATGTATGGAAACATGTAATACCTCTGTTTATCTTTCTGTTGGAAATAAAATAAATATGAATTAAGTTGAATTGAATTGAAAAGTATAGCGAAGATGGCTATGCCATGCTGCCTTCAGATGCTAATTCAATTAAATATGATACATCACAGGTGGTGAAATAAATCGGTCTCTTATTTAAGAAAACGAAAATGTAAATATATCGAGATTCACAAATATATATATTTGTATACGCTATCAGAAATTATTAGCATTATTCGGGAATGATTCATGATGATTCAGTACGTGACTTCAATAATACTCGACATTTCAGTTGGTTTATTAATTTTCTTATTTGCTGCTTGAATTATTGTGGGTTTGGTCAGCTAGTCTGGTATTCATAGTGTGGTGATCAGAAGTAATATTTTAAAGGGTCTATTTGAAAAGACTGGCCACTACTCAGCTGCGCCAATAGTAATTTGGGGTGAACATCACGTTCCCTCGCATGTTCGTGTGGTGTATGGAGAAGTAGCACTTCTCAAGGGACTTCTTAGTTCATGTCCATTCCAGGCACTAAGGTGGTTATTAAAGTTAAGGTTGTTATGACATAATAGGCAAAACAATAAAAACAATGTTAACAATGAAAGTAGAGATCATTAAAAGTAGTTACGATCACAATGATGATTTTTAAAAAATCTATTTATCCTCTCTTTCTTCTTCTTATTCTTCTTCTTATTATTATAAATATTATTATCGTTAATATTATTAATATCGTTGATGTTATTATTAATTTTACTATCATTCTAATCGTTACCGTTACTGTTTTTGCTATTGATATTACTGTATTATTGTTGTTTTAAAAATATTGACATAATGGTAATAATAATACAAATGACAATAACGATAAAGGTAATAATACTTTTTATCCAATTACATTTCATTTCTTATAAAAATGCTTTCAAATCATTATCATGGATCCTGGACAATAAATTTCAAGTCCATACAAAAATGTGCACCATCTCCACTACTTTCAATCCATTACTATCATAATTTAAATCATACGACATAACATGCAAGATAGTTAATCATATAAATAATAACAAATAAAACCTTTTTTGTCCTCGTAACAGCTTCGAAATTTTTATTAAGTGACAAGTTGCAACCATTATCTTTTAGAAAGTCATTTCGTATTCTGCTTGGATTTGAGCCCTGAACCATTGGTAAGCAAGCAAAGGCTGGATCCACTAGTAAGACCAAAATATTTGTTTTATTATGTTTGAAGACACTCTTGCTACAGCCATCAAAGTACAAAAGCTAACATTGGAAGAAAAAACACAAACAGGCAGTCCCGTCGCCTTAATAATTATGAGGTGATGGTTGCCAAAATAATGTATTTCCTTAAAGAGGCTGCAGACCACCCCTTCTTTCCATACAAACAGGAGTTCGGCAAAAATATCAACAAATAAAAGACAAGCACCGTAAAAAAAAAAAAATCATAAATAACAACAAAGTATGCAAATACGCCCATGAACATGGCTATTAGATCTGGGGGTGTTTCACAAAGATCCTAAGTTGAATTTATCTCTAAGTTGGACTTAACACCTTACTATGGAAATCCGTTAGCATCTATGAAAATAGTTTGTAAAAGTTATTTTAAAAATCATAAAATGTTGATTCAAATCATTCATATTTTCTATTATCATTGGAGATTTCATGTTCTTGATGTGGAATTTATGAAAATTTATCGAAAATACCTCAGTGAATTTTCGATTTTGAATATATTTCATTATAAGGCTACAAATAGCTCTTCATAATAATTAAGTACAACTTAGAGTTAGGTTCCACTTACAATCTTTGTGAAACACCCCCCTGGCATGGTCATTGAGGGAGGCAATGTGTCTCTAGGAGCTAGAGAATCGAGCTCTTCTGTTTTAATACCGACCATCCCTACTATGTATTGTGCCTGGTAGGCTCACTCTGCAAAGGGAATTACAGTTGTCTTACTCAATACATCCTTTGCCTGGGAGACAGAGAAAGAGAGGGAGAGAAAGAGAGAGGGGTATTGAGATTGAGGGGGAAAGGGAAGAAGAGAGGAGGGGAGAGAGTTAGATACAAAGAAAGAGAAAGAAAGAGAGGGGGTAATCTTGATATTGAGGGGAAAGAGCAGAAGAGAGGAGGGGTAGAGAGATAGATACCAGAGAGAGAGAAGGAGAGAGAGAGAGAGAGAGGAGGAGAGAGAGAGGGGGGACAAAGTGAAGGAGGGGAAGAAAGACAGGGGTATAGGGAGAAGAGAGACAAAAGAAATACAGACATGCAGAATGGAATGTATAATATCTTTGACATTTCGTCGCATGCTGTCAGTTTTTAAGTGATACTCACATCTCACAGTATGTAATGCAACCGGAAACTATGATGAAATTAGCGATATCTCGCTCGACCCTAGCTTCGGTAAGAAGTAGTGAATAGAGACAGAGAACTGGAATACAAAGAGATAGATTGAGAGGAAGAGTGTGAGAGAGAGAGAGAGAGAGAGAGAGAGAGAGAGAGAGAGAAGGGGTGGAGGGAGGGACAGAGAGAGAGAGGGGGTGGAGAGAAAGGCGATTATTAAAGAGGTATATAGAGATGAGATTATCAAGTACATAACAGAGAGAGGCGGTTAAGAGAGGCGGAGAGAGAGAGAGAGAGAGAGAGAGAGAGAGAGAAAGAGAGAGACCGAGAGAGAGAGAGAGAGAGACAGAGAGAGAGAGAGAGAGAGAGACATAGAGAGAGAAAGAGAGAGAGAGAGAGAGAGAGAGAGAGAGAGAAAGGCTATTATTAAAGAGATATAGAGAGAGGGGATTATCAAATTCATAATAGAGAGAGGCGATTAAGAGAGAGGGAGAGAGAGAGAGAGAGAGAGGGGGGGGGGAGAAAGAGAGAGAGAGAATTGAATAGATATTTGATATTTTTATTTATACACGGTTGAAAAAGCCCAAACAGTTACAAGACTGATTTCCATTGGGGCCGTGTGAAACAATGTAAATGCATCAAATTAACATAAACATGATAATGGTACATCAAATGACATATTTAAAACAAACATGAAATAATCAAGATAATTATCTTTAAAATAACGATAGAATAGTACTGCCGAAAAAGTATATTTATATGAATAACAATAATCAGAGAGAGAGAGAGAGAGAAGCATAGGTAGTGAGAGTTACATGGATTGCAAAGCAAGGAATGAGAGAAGGGGTGAGTGGGCTATTGAGAGCTTCTTGCATGACAGAATGACACACTGCATATATGGAGCCTGTCAAGTTAGTGGCTCGAAGATGAAGATGAATGTATTCGATTCAGCTTAACTGTAGTATGATCCATTTACTTTCATGTGCTTCATCACCAGAAGGGTTCAATGGACTCGCAGCTGCACTTTATAGAGAGAGAGAGAGAGAGAGAGAGAGAGAGAGAGAGAGAGACGCACACACATTTTCAAGGTACACCCCCCATTATTAACTGTTTATTTTGTTTAAACCTACATCACATTACAAAATGTATCAGTTAATTCGATCTTATTAATCTGCATCCCTTTATTCCCATCAGCATCAGTCATTTTAACACAAAATAGTTTCAAGGGAATGGACGAACATTATAAAAGCACTAGCTGATACACAACGGTCATGACCATAGCAAACATTATGATTTATATTACGTTAACATTACCTAGCAGATCAGTTGATGTGTTAACAAATAATCTAAACCTCTATTTGATGTTGATTTAGCCTATAATTAATCATTCACTCTCTCTTTTTTTAATGTTCTATCCTACTCATGTTGCAATTTTAAACATAAAAGTGCTTTTCTGTGATTTTAATCTTTTTCATTAAATGCGCCTTAATTGATGCTATTATTTCATATGGATTTGGTATACCTTATCAATCTTAATTGTTAGTGTTAGTAGAAGTACACTGCTTTTATTATTGGCCACCTGTCTATAAATACCACATTTTTTGTTTCCCTTGAAAATGGTTTCTCGTTGAAAATGTACTAAAGGAACCTGTCTATAAAGACCACTTTTTGTGTTTCCATTTGGATGGTCGCTATAGACTATATAGGCTATAGAAGTACATTTATTGTGATGATTCTCGTGAATGAGGGCATATAATGCTTATGTTAATAAGAGAATTTTAGAGAAGACACTGGACTGAAAGTTGAGGACCTAGGGAATGCCATGTCAGATAGGGAGAGACCAGGGGGCGTTTCACAAAGCCTTTTTTTCAATGACAAATGACAAAATCAGTGACAAATCTACTGATAACCAATCAAAAGCAAGCATTTCAGTAGCTTATAAACAAAAGCTGTCATTTTGTCACTGATAACAAATTGTGTGAAACGCACCCTGGCCCATCGTACGCATGATAAAGATATCATGCATTTTATGCATCTTGTATATTGTTCTTGTACATCACTATATCATGCCCATTTCCTAAAACCCGGCCACCTTAAAGCCCGTCTGTATTAGTTTTACCAGGAGGATTAAACCTCACTGCAAGGTCACTGACAGGTGGTTATCTCATCAAATCAGCTCTCAAGTAACATAAGAAAAAGGGGATCATGGGGAACAACAGGCACCCCGATTAGGCATTGTTTG